GTGGGGCACTCTGGGTTCTCATTTCGGATCAACCTCTGGAGTTGCAATTCCGGGTAGCCTAACATGCTCAAAACAGAAGTGGCGGCTGCGATGGGTGATGCGAGCAGTAGTAGCTGTCAGCGACTGTTACTATCAATAAAGACTCAGCGATGCACACTCCCAGCCGTAATTTGCATCGTCATCCTTCAAAGAACACTCTCTCGGTCTTCCGGGGATCAGAAGTCAGAAGTCTGCGGTGAATAGATCTCGTCAAACCGGACAAATAGTGCAATAGGCCAGCAGGATGCTACCACTCTGAGCCTACCTCGGCCCAACTTCCTTCAAATAACTCAAATCCAATTATAATAAAAGAATATATGCACACATATCTACAGTATAGTAGAGATTAGTACATTATACTATATTAGTATAACAAATATTTAGAGCATGTTGCTCCAGCGCCCCCGGCCTGTCGCACCTTGAGGTTCCGGGCCTCGTCAGCCTTGGCTTTGAGCTTTCGCTCCAACTCCGAGATCTTCATGTCCTGGGCAAGGCGGCAAGAGACTTACCGTGGGCCTTAAAAATTTCGAGTAGGGTTCCTTTAAAGGTTCCCTTAAGGTTCCCTTAAAGGGTGACTATAAGGGATGCATACGGGTTACTAGAAGGGATGTATAAGGGTAATGGTGGCCAGACTTAGGCTTCCCAACTATCCTCTAATATACCCTGAATACCCACTATAAAAGGCCATAAGATCTCCATTAAAGGGCCATTGCGGGGTCCTGCCAGAGTTACTTTAATGTAGAGGCTTTACTCTAATCATTTGAATAGGGTTTGGGGTATATTGCACTATAAATATGATAAGGGAATCCCCACAATAGTATTGGTAATTATTTGCATGGCTAAGCAAGTGACTAAGCAGGTGTGAAAGCAAATGCCAGGGGGTTGGGGGGGTTGCTACGGTCGCGATCTTCTTTTTTTCCGCCTCCTGCCTGGCTGGATAACGAAGCAGGGCAATAGATACATCTTGGGCGAATTTAATCCGTGTTGGATTGGTCTTCGTCCTCGTTTTGACTGACATCAGTTGACTTCAAGTGCGAGGCATCACCAAGATGCTCATGTTCAAGTCTGGGATGCATGCAGGCAATTCAAGGTCAGCAAAATGCCGGTTCATTTCTTACAAATTACAAATTAAGTCGCGATCTTCAAGAATGTGGATTTTTAAACATCTAAATCATCCGCCAAGTCTATTTACGACGGTGAACCTGTGTCTTCGAACATGCGGGGAATGCTCAACAGTTTTTTGATATGTTTTTGATGTGATACTACATCTGTGGCCTTGGCGGTCCGGGCCCCACCCGACTTAGTACCAAAACTTTACGCATGTTTTTTTGCTGGCCAGGTCTAAGGATTCAAAGAAATTACGGCTGAGGGTTTTCAGGGGTTTGGAACTACTGCAGCTTTGTGGGCAAGGCGGGGGATGTTATGTGCGACTGTCCGATTGCGACGGAGGTTTGATTTGCGTGTCTCAGGGAGATCGATGCTAACTGGGACATTCAATCCGAGGTTTGTGATTACGTGTTGAATCAAAACTGTTTTGGGGCGATTTAGGAATTCGAAGCCGGCCGTGCTGTTTCTTTCAATGACAAGACTCCTTCTGGTGCAACTCGCTTTCGATCAAGACTCCCTGGTCCAATTTGGCCTGCCGGTGCACAGCAGCAAGATGCAGGAGACTGTTGTTGCTAGACCACAACATGCACCACAGGAGTACGTCACAAGGTGCTTTGGGGCTGCGGCTATGCCACAGGCACCTTGAGAACAAACAATGTTCAGCACTTGGACCGCCAAGCTTCGGCTAGCGAACAGAGACTCAAGGCATCTCGGAATCCGGTGAACCTGGACAATCCTGTACCCTACACGCTAAACTTTACACAGTTGTAAGTTGTAATTGTAAAACCGCTGTCAACTTCTAAACCGTCTTGAACCTTGAACCCGAATCTTTAAAGCCACCAATTTAAAACCCTTTTTCGAGCAGGGACTGCAATGCACTCACCCTCAAACCTTAATCCCTAAGCCCCAAAGCCCTAAAGGCCCTAAACCTTTACTCCCGAAACACGGGAGCCGCCGCCGCCTGGACCTTACGCCGGGCGTCTGCCTCGCGCTCCAAGCGTTGCTCCTGAAGCTTGAGGTCGGGGAGAGCGCTTGCTTGTAAAGGATGCTCGACTGCCCCCATGCTCATGAAACTGAAAACCCTGAAGCGTTTTTTCGTTCGAGTCCAAGGCACCATCTCGATCAAGCGCTCAGTGAGGTGCTGTACCTCTGCTGGGATGCCACAGACAGTCACAGTTACACTGGTGTCTTTTTGCCACGTTCTTGAAAGTGTTGTAAGTCACTGGCCTGCTGAGCTTCGATCTCCCGGTCGTCCATGGCCTAAGGGGAGTCCATGGCTTCGGCACTGGACTTATCTTTGGTTAGAAGGGAATGGACCAATGGAAGAAGGGTAGCAACGGTAATTTTAATTGTACCCCATTCCTCCATTCCCTACTTACTAACCAAAGGTAAGTAGAAGAGGCTTCGAAGCTCTCAGCCTGCCTTCTCAAGCTCCTTCTTGAGGCAGTCGGTGTCCTCCTTGGCGGCGAGACGACTTTCGAGAACCCGGTTGACCTCCTCCACGATCTTCTTCTCGAGATCAAAGTCGGGGGCCTTCTCGCGCCGCGCGGAACTTGGCAGGGATCCCTCGGAGTTCCCGCGCTTGACTTGGGCTTGGGGTGTTCCCGTAGGCTCCATCGGCTTCCCGCTCTCGCGCCTGTAGCGCATGGGGGACATCAACGGTAAGTGGCAACTTGTTGGCTGCGAGCCGCCATCCATTGCGGACATGCTGCCGGCCCCCTGTAAAGGAACAGAGTCGACCTGCCACTCCAGCCTTCGGCCCATTCCGGGTCTGGCCGTCATGGCCTCGTCGAAAGCCACTGGGGGCTGCGTCTGCTGGGGGATCTGCTTTTCGAAGTAGTTGACATTTTGGGTTGGGACTTGGGCTGGCACCTGAGTCACCGGCATTTGTACCTGAGGTGGTCCGGAATTCCTCTGGTGAATGGGGGACAAGGCCCCAGTACGAGGATCAGGACGGATCTCAGCACAAAGTGCGTTGGTGTATGTCATCCGGGGAGGTGGGCTCTGCGGTCGCATGGGGACTGCTGCGGCCTTCATCGCCTCAATCATCGGCCCCTTGTAGCTGTGCGAACGGGCGGCTTGCTTCAGCCATGGCTGCCAGCTCTGGTTCTGCACGGGATCCATGCGACGGTCCGGCGACACAGCGCTCACCTGCCTGACTGCGGGGCTGCGCGGATACATGGCGCTACAGGCGCTAGGCTGCTCTCGAAGGGCCGCCGCTGAGCTCTGGCACAACCTTCAACCGCTTATGCTTGTGCACAAAATGGCGGGTCATCACTCACAATCACAGGCTTGATAAACCTAAACCCTAGACTGCCTCCCGGTGCCAACTTGACAACACTTGCAGTTCAGGCATCAGCCGCCTCGCAGCGCAGGCTCGACCTTCCAAAAGCTTGCGATTTGTTTGCCGTCAGGTGTAGGTAACAACTACAATAAGTACCATTAAGACTCGAACTATATAATCATCGCGATAACTATGAATGACAATGATCCTATTGTAGTATTGTTATTTTATTGTAATGATTAGTCTATATATATATATATATATATATATATATGCATATTATATATATATATACACATTATATATATATATATATATATATTACAACAAGCGACTGAAGCTGGGAGTCTGGCTCCTGGTCGCGTCGAGCAGAGCCACCTGGTGCCCGGAACCATCGGATCAAGCTTTAGCCGGTGCTTAGGGTGCCCTTTCAAGGGGTCTATAAGGGCTACGATAAGGGATCTACAAGGGTACTATAATATTATATAGGGGCCTAACAATTACTGAGTTTCGACTCTAGGGCCAGGGTGCTGAATTCCATTGCGGCGTGGCTTGCGTATGCCCTGAGCAAAACTTCGGGGGGTCATTGCAACTGCGTGAGCTCAGGTCCCCCATGGTCCTCCGACGAACCGCGAACCTTTCCCGAACGGTTCCCGTCGGACCTCCACTCGTGGAGATGGCTGCTTGTGCGTGGTGAAGTGCCTGCATCGATTCAGGGAAATGAAGATCAAATGCAACCAGACAAACAGACAAGGACACATGCACGCCTGCAACCCTGCATTACAAGTTGGAGGCATCTTTAAGACACCCACACAAAAGTTTTAATCAAGTATGATCAAGTCATCTTGCTGGGCTTTCGTCGGCCATGATTTCGGAACTACGAAAGTCGCATGCTGTTGCTCGGCAGTCATGCAGCGCAGCTGTAGAAGTCTCCGAACTTGCCCACCACCTCTTTCACATCTTTGGGAACCAGTCGTTGGAGCCTTGATAAGGCAAAGCTCTCGGGACTAAGTTGGAAACTGGTTCGACTCGCACATCGCAAAGCAGGCACGGATGAAAGCGACAGGTCCGAACTCATGCTGACTACAGGCACATCAGCTGCGACTTCCCAAGCAAGGTATCAATGACATGTCTGACAACACAGAAGGAAAACGCAGCCATGTGCCCCATCGGTGGCTGAGTGCTCTTAGCCGTGGAAACAAAGACGGTGAACAGCGATCTCAACAATGTGACAGACTTGACTTGATCCAGAGCTACTCAGCCTCTGTTTCAAAGTAACAGTACAGTCTCTCCAGCCGAAGCGGATCGCAGCTCCTGCAGGGCAGGAGGTGATCGACAACGCCTCAAGCGTGAAGCGAAATCGTCATAACCAACGCTATCACAAACAGCGTGATCTACGACACCATGTCTGTACAAGGAAAACTCTGTACAAGAGGGGCACCAAGACACACATGCCATCTTGACGACTTCCGATGCTGCTGTGCGGTTCAAGGCTCAAAGCCTCAACGATTTCCCAAAGCAAAGCGACCGGTAGATTGGATTGCAGGCAATCTCAACCACGGCAACAATTTCAGGTTGGCAAACCGTTCCCATGAATAAGCGGCTGGTGCAACAACGTCAAGTTCGTAAACAGCCCCTGTGGCATGGCTGTCAGTTCTCGCAATTGAGCCAGGTCCGCACACAGTGCCTCTGGAAGTACTCTCAAACGGTTTGAGCTCAAGTCCAACGTCCGCAGCCGAGTCAAGCCCGCAAACAGCCCCTCCGGAAGCGATGCCAATTTGTTCCATCTCAGGTCCAAGTTCTGCAACCAGGCCAAGTCCGCAAACAGCCCTTCTGGAAGCGAAGCTAATCTGTTTGAACTCAAGCCCAACGTCTGCAACGAGGCCAAGCCCGCAAACAGCCTGTCAGGAAGCGATGCTACTTTGTTTGAGCGCAAGTCCAACCTCTGCAACGAGGCCAAACCCGCAAACAGCCTGTCAGGAAGCGATGCTAATTTGTTTGAGCGCAAGTCCAACCTCTGCAACGAGGCCACACCCGCAAACAGCTCCTCCGGAAGCGTTTGTAATATGTTTGAACTCAAGTCCAACGTCCACAACGAGGCCAAGTCCGCAAACAGCCCCTCCGGAAGCGATGCCAAATTGTTCCATCTCAGGTCCAAGTTCTGCAACCAGGCCAAGTCCGCAAACAGCCCTTCTGGAAGCGAAGCTAATTGGTTGGAACTCAAGCCCAACGTCTGCAACGAGGCCAAGCCCGCAAACAGCCTGTCAGGAAGCGATGCTACTTTGTTTGAGCGCAAGTCCAAGCTCTGCAACGAGGCCAAACCGGCAAACAGCTCCTCCGGAAGCGCTGCCAAATAGTTCCAGCTCAAGTCCAACGTCTGCAGCGAGGCCAAGCCCGCAAACTGCCCCTGCGGCAATGCGGATAATCGGTTTAAACTCAAGTCCAACCTCTGCAACGAGGCCACACCCGCAAACAGCCCTTCCGGAAGCGAAGCTAATTCGTTTGAACTCAAGTCCAATGTCTGCAACGAGGCCAAGCCCTCCAACAGCCCTTCCGGAAGCGATGCCAACTTGTTCCGACCAAGGTCGAGGATTCGTAGGGATGGAAAACCGGTAAAAGCCGCCATTGGCATTGCTGTCAACAGATTCTCACTGATGTCCACAACTTGAAGCCTGGGGTGCGCAAGCAAGGGCAGGTAGACCAAATTGTTTCCACGAACGACCGTCTTATTGAACTTATTCCTTTTTCCTCCTAGAAGTAGCTGCTCCAAACGCGGCATATGCGAAAGATTTGCCGACAAGTTGGTGAGCTTGTTCTGGCTCAGCGAAAGCAATCTGAGCTGTGTGAGTCCCACGAAGGCCTCCTCGTCCAATTTGTGTAGCTGCGACTTTCCCAGGTCGAGCGCCAGCAAGCAGCCAAGGCTCTCGAAGCGCCGGGCTGGCAAGGAGGTCAGGTTGCTGTTACTGAATGACAGACGCTTCACGTGGCAGCCAAGCCCGGTCAAGGCCCCTGGCGCAATGCTGCTGATCCCGCTGATCGATATCTCCTCTTGGCGCAGGGTGGCTGCCAGGGCACAGCTCTCCAGTCGCACATTCCCGACCTTTTGCTTGCAAGGCCCAGCTGTCTCGTTGCTCAAAGCACCGCAATCCTCGTGGTAAACGCACCGGCAAGGGAAACACAAGAAATCAACAGCGCTTGGGTAGAAGTCTGGGTCTTGCAGGAGCAGGACGAGAATTAGCAAAAGGATCGGAGAGTAGAGGACCTTGAAGCAGCGACGCAACGGCAGCCAATGGCCTGAATCGAGAAACTTTGCCAACCTGGAAGAACTGGGTGTGCTGGCAAATCTCAGAAGGCCAGGCTGCTCTTGAAGCCGCGTGGAGAGCTGGGGTAGCTGCGGCAGCTTTGCAACACGCTCCACAGCACGGCAGGCACAACAGGCATGCGCAATGCTGCCATAGACTGCGAAGAACTGAGGTAAAAAGATCGCGGGAGCGACTCGATTGCTGAAGCCCATCTCCGCGTCCTCTCCAAAGTTCCCAGACACGAGTTTCTCAGAGCTCAGGTCGGACGTCGCGATCGTTATCATCAGCAGATGGGTCAGCACATACCCAACATCCAAAATAATATCCATAACAGCAGAGCCATAGCGACACCACCAGGCATCCGGAAGCACAAACAGCAGGCTTGGATATGTGCTGTTCAAGGCCATGAGACCCCAGAACACCCAAAACGTCTGCTCAAGTAGCGAGATTGCCACAATGTTCTCCGACATGGCAAACGTAACAATAGCTCCGAGCACCTTTACTTTGCCGAAAGCCTGCAGCAGGACTGTCATAAGCTGCAATATTGCCACTTTCAATACATAGTAGTCTCCAAAGACGCCAAAGTGGCGCTCATATATGAGCTGCGAAAGCTTCAGCTTCCGCCGAGGCGGGCGTCGGCACCGCAGTAAGTCATTTACAAAGACGATGACCAAGACTGCATAAGGGAATGCAAAGGATAGTGCCTTGGCCGGTGATGGTTCCTTGACTATGACCTGCTGATCTTCATAGTCACAGAGTAGCAGATGCAGGAGAAAGGTCGGGATTTCGGAGGGGCCGGCATACTGGATCAAGTATAGTCGCGCGAAGTAGGCACTACACAGAAGCATAGTGGCCCTCACAAGGCCAAGGGCAACCAACAGAATGACAGACTCTTCCTTGGTCTCGGGCTTGGTCTGGGAACAAGCCACACCTCGACAGGGCCGTGACTCTGCCAGAAGCCCGAAGCAGTCGGCCAGGCGGCAGAGGCCTGCCAGCTTCGCCTCTGCGGAAGCTAGGGAAGTCTCCAGCAGCCGCACCGTAGCCAGGTAGCCGTCGATGGACACGACAACCTCACAGACCCGAGTAACCTCCCCACCGGCAAAGCCATCCCGCAGAGCTATTATCCTCACAGGCTGCTCCTCGCCCCGCAGACATGAGGTCAGCTCAACCCACACCTGTTGCACGTGCAGCAGGCCGTTGCAATGGATCTCATAGTACAGGAGGTCCAGAACATGGGCGGCTCCTCCGTAAGCAACGGCAGCCTGGAATGCCTCATCGGCAGGCTTCAACTGTGCGCCCTCGCCATGCGCGCCCGCCGCCTGCACGGCCTTCTCCACGGCCCACTGAAAGCATGAAAAGTGGCGTCGTGCACGCAGAAAACTGCTCTTCAAATCTACTACTTGCTCCTGCCACACCTGGTCGATGCTTGGATATTCGTCCCCGGTCGCACCGAAGACCAGCGAAACATGGAATAGGTGCTGATCGGACGACAACACTTGCGCGTAGAGAGCCTCCACGGCTAGCGACAACTCCGTCGTCGCGCTTTGCAGTTGGTCGAAGCGAAAACTGGCGTAGGTGAAGCCGCCGATGAGCAGCAACACCGACATAGCACAAAGTCGCCACGGGACGGGCATGCCAGCTGACTCTCCGAAGTCACAAAGAAGCACCGGGCACAGAGACAGGAGGATGAGCAGCAAAAGGCCTCTGGACTCGATATCAGCGGCTGCTTGTACCAAGAAGATGAGAGCCAACTCCAACCGTTGCAGGGCCTCGCTGATGGTGGCAAGGAAATCATAACAGAAACCACAGCAGCAGTGCTTGTCACAATAACCATTCGCGTTAGCGTGGAAGCATCTGCAACCCTTCCGGCTGCATGGAAACGGCAGGTCCTCATCAATCTCCACCTTAGCCCACTGGAGCCCTGGCTGGGAGCTGCTGCCTGTGCCCAGCACGGCGCGGGGCTGCGCCTGGAAAAGCAGCCGCTGCAAAGCTCCCCTTCCCAGCACAGCAAGTCCCTTCAAGTCGTCTGACCAGGTTGTCACGTCCTCCACACAAAGCCACATCTCCAGGTCGGTGTTGCTGCTGCCGAGCCTTCGGGCAGCGTTGTACAGCGCTTGCTTGGAGGCCTTAGGCACCCGAGGGCATCCCTGGATATGGAGGACCAGCTCCTCCAAGTGCAGATTCAGCAGAGCCGCGTTGCTGTGGCCCAGCTGCAGGTCCTCAAGCCGAGGAAGATTGGAGAACCAAAGCTCGAGATACTGCAGCGTCGGAGTGCAGAACGCCGCAAGCCCACGGGCTTCACGGAGTTTGCCCATGAAGCGCAGCTGCAGTGTCTGCAAGTTTGGGCAGACGAAGCCGGAGGCATCACAGCCGAAGGCGCCTTCTTCGGAGGATCCGAAGGCCTCCAGGCCAGTGAAGACGAGGTCCAAGCGGAGGCTCAGTAGCCGTTTCGGCAGGTGCTCCAGCAGAACGCAAAGCTCTGCGTCCCGAAACCGGGCACAGCCTGCTAAACTGAGTTGCATGGTGGCTCGCTGTGCATCTCCGCGCAAGCTGTTGAGGAAAGCACTGGGGTCTTGCCCCTGGGCATAACAACCATAGAGGCTGTTCAGGGCAAAGTGCGACGCAAGGCATTGGTTAACGGCCTCGTAATTTGGATGGCTCTCCTGGTAGCTTGCATCAAGGGCTTTGGTGTCACACCGGGGGAACGCAATGCTGTTCAGGATGCGAGTCTTGTCCACCTCCTGAGAGGCCTGCGCGTGCTCGATCTGGATCAACAGCCCGCTTCGAAGGAGTGCAGTTGGGAAGGCCTCCTCGCGACGGGACTTGGCAACAAGTCCGAGGACCGGAAGCACGGAGGTCTCCTCGCCTGCCAAGCCATCCGTTATGACATGGGCTATCGAGCCATGCGTTGTGGCCACATCTAGGCGAAGGCCAGCAGAGTCGCGGTTCTCAACAGCAATGCTTTCCTCGAAGCAGCACCATATGCGCTGAAAAGGTGTGGCATCAGCGTCCAGCACAAGCAGAACTCCGCGGCAAAGAAGCATGGCCCGATAAAACGATGTCTTGCGAGGGTTGTCCGGGATCTCTTCCTCGAGCTCATGCTGATTGTTGGCATAGGCACAGACCCAGTACGCAAAGTTTCCTCGAAGAGCGCGGACTTGCGCGTGGCGGCGCAGGCACTGCAGGAAGTGAACCACGGGTTCGACCCATGCGTGCGAAACGAACCAGCAAGGTTGCTGGGCCACCGAGGTCTCGGCCACCAACTCGACATAGCTGCAGCCTCTTGCATGCCAATTTGCCGTAGCGGGTTGGATCACCCAATCGCGCGCATGGTAAAGGTTGAACGTCTCGTAGCACAGAGGCGTGCCCCATTCCGTCCCGAAGGTCCCACTCCAAAAACCCACTGCATCGCGGACGAAATCCAGAAGGTCCTGGATCTGCTGGATTGTAATCCCACAGAGCTCCGTGGGTATCTCGAGTGGCCCGCTGTCAGCTTTGGGGCCAAGGCGCGAATAGTTGGCCAGCGCAAAAGCGTAGGCGTGGCAATCATCTTCGTCGGAGCGGAGATGCTCCGTCGGGGCATAATGTTTAGGCCCACGAGAGAGCAGTGCATTGCCGCGCCAGGTCTCCGCCAGGTGCTCCTGCACCTCAGCCACGATGCGTCCTGCAGTTGGCGCCTCATCATCCAAGTCGATCTCCACCACCCCCGTGCCACTCACATGAATTAACATAGCTGCCATGGCCCCACAGTCGCAATGTGGCACTGACTTATGCAGCCCACGAATGTAAGCAATCCAAGGAGGGAAATCGAATGCCCGACCAAATCTTGTCGCTATCTGCTATATCATGTGAACCTCTGCTTGCGCATGCTTGTGCTCAACGTTCTGCATTGAACACTTGATCTGTTTGGGCATGTGCTTCTCCACTCTGCACTGTGCACACCCTTCTGATTGCACGTGAACCCAAACTTGAGCCAGGTTCGGGGTTTCTTACCCTCGTTTCTACATCACCTCTAAGTTCATCGGCACGAAGCAGCTCAGGAACCGGCTTCTTGAACATGGGACTTGCCGGCCCTAAACGGGGCTTTACAGTTGGAACCGTGTTCGGTGGTTGGTGAGTCTTGTTTGGCAAGTTCAAGCCATGCCGATACGCCCATACAGCTGTGTGATGCGTCCGGATGCCATTCGAACGTGCGCATCTTGAGAACAAGCTGCAGAAAGTAGCATCGTCTGTGAGTGGGAGTGACTCGCAGTGCAGGGCATTCTGGTGATCGTGCAGATTCACACAAACTCCGCGAAATGAAGATAGCCGACTTTGCACAGTTTCTCGCTTCAAGAAGGCATCACCCCACGCCTTCTGTGCCAGCATTTGACAGGAGGTAAAGTGATCCTATGTCCTGATGCGGGCTGTAGCCTGGAAACAGTAAGTGCTGCATCGACCCAGCGAGTCTTGTACCTCCACTATACAGTTGGCACGGAGTGAGACCCGGCAATTGCTGTACAAAGGCACACGGCAAGCTGCAAAACAAACTACATCTAGGCTGCCACGAGAGTCAGGAAGTTGTACAAGCAGTCCTGCATGCCTAGCCGCGCCTACGTGGCTCCTACTGCTATTGCGCTACGTCAAATCGTAGATCCCCTTGTCATCGCCGACGTCCTCTATTTCGTCGTTGTCATCGCATATCAACCGTGGGGCACGCTTGAGCAGCGGTTCCTGTGAACCGCCACCCAACGGCACCTCGCCGGCGGGCAAAGGCTTTCATGCATGACTCTCTGATTTATAAACTTAGCGTGAGCAACGAAACCACGACGTGAGTGGGTACTAATCCCAAGCATCATGTACAGCTATATAGCGTTATACTATGTTATAGGGTGGGCATAAAAGTTACAATAGACAGGAGCAGTAGCACGATTATGCGTAGTAGCGGCAATCAATAGTACTGATTTTTTTGCCTCCTGCATGGCTGAGTACACGAAGCAGGGAGTCAGGAGATATACCAGTGAATTCAGCCATAGCTTTCAGGAAGCATTGAATCAATAGTACTGATGATGAAGATGATACTGGTGATGATGACAGCTGTCAAAACAATATGGACGATAATGAATGTATCACTGCTTCGAAACGACTGCTAGTGCAACGAGCAGCGATAGTTGGACATAACCCTGCGGAAATACAATGTAGCAGCCAGGATTAGGGGTACCCTTTTGAAAGAGCCAGAAGTAAGAAGTGGGGTTGAGAAGGGATGTCACTGTATTCGGGTGGTTGTCAAAATTAGCATACGCGCAGCTATGGACATCAATGAAAATTAGGGTCCCTTTTTGGGTACCCTAAATAATAGGTGCCGTGTTCATATATTAGGGACCCACAAAGGGACCCTAATATTGACAACCACCCATTAGAAGTCGGAGAGCCTGGAAGCTGCCATTCGGTCGCAGAGCAACTGCTGAGTTGCGCCGCTCCGTCCTGTCAAGATGCCACCAGGGGTTTAAGGCCTTTTAGGGTTTCGGCGCTCACACTCCTTTTAGGGTTTAGGGGTTTCGGCGCTCACGCTCGGACAAGGGGTTTAGGCTTTAGGGGTTTAGGGTTTAGGGGTTTCTACACTCACACTCGGACAATCCAAACGAGGCATGTGATTTGGAGTCTGACGAGTGAAACGACACTAGGAGGAATCGTCAAGTACGTACCAACAAATCGGCTGCCAACACATTTTCCCATCCGCCGAACCAAAAGAGAACACAGGACCTCGAGGGCGACTATGCGCAATTCGTCTAGGATACCCGGTATCTGTGAAAATAGACCATGAAACCAGTTGAAAAATGATAAATTACCAATCAAGACAAGCCAGGTACCTACAACTTACTCAGAATCGTTATCACAACGATTCAACTTTGTCAGCGTGTTACCGAGGGGTGTGGGGTTTGGGGGTTTGGGGTTTCGGGGCTTAGGGTGTACGCTCTCATACCCGGAGTCTGCCAGACGAGGTTCGCGAGTCGGCTAGGTGGGACAACACATGAGATGGTACTGGAGCTACATGCGTTAGCAGACAAGGACTGTCGTCCTAAGGTTAGGATCCTATACTATAGTTTTCGGTTAACCAAAAAAAGCGAACTACAATAGAGACGATAGGAAGAGTTCATGGCCCGAGTCGAGGTGGAGTATTTTGGGAGGTTCCGCTTCACTGACCAGGCTCCACTGCAGGGGAACTACTTAGCCTGGAAGTTTCCGGAAAATTAGGGGTACCTTATTTCGGGGGTCCTTATAAAAAGGATCCTAATTACTATTTCGGCGCTCACAAATTACTATTAGGGAACTATATTAGGGTCCCCTATTCTCGGAAACTCCCAACTCGGTTCGGAGAGTGTGCCAGTCCGCGTAGGGCAGCGGCGAACTCGCGGGGTTTAGGATTTCGACGTTCGCACTCGCAAGGGCTTAGGATTTCGACTCACACACTCGCACAAGGCAGGCATGGCTTCGGATTTAGGGTCAAGGGGACAGGAAAATCAAAAGGACACTTACAGTAGCAAGGGAAGGCGCAGAATGTTGATGTCCGTGCTCTAGTTCAATGCTTCTCTACCTGGTGTGTTATCAAGTTCTCACTCTTTGCATGCCGCTGCTTCCATTTTGTGCACGGACTTGTGTCGCTTGCACTTTGGTTTCTGTGCCATCCTCCATTTCCAGACCTGAAGCATGAGCACCTGAAGGGACAAAAAAGATAAAACTGTAATAGCCCCAGTGCTGTTTATAATGATACAGTACCTTTAGTAATACAGTAGGGATCATGCGACTCTGCGCAGCGCTTGCCGCATAAACGTATGACAATAAGCCATCGGCGCCCCATTGCAAGCTGATTATCGGAACCCTTCTAGTAACTAGTAGCCTTATAGTTTTCATGTGTTGGGATGCGAGAGGCCTCCGCTGTGGACGCCCGGCGCGAGCGGAGCCTTCAGTCAGAAGGAGTTCCCTCGCATACTCGCGCTGGGCAGGCCGGGACTGATTTGCCCATGCGATATCGGAAACAAACCACGTCAACACTGCAAGACATGTGAGAACCTAAGATGCTGTTAGGGGCTACGATTTGGGTTCAGGGCTCAGGGTTTCGGGTCGACGTTGGGGGGTCTACGCTGTCACAACTCGGACTGGTTTGGGGGTTGCACTCTCGCAACTGGCACAAGCCAGACAAGGTCTCAAGGATTTGTGGTTTCGGCGACCCTGACGCCTGCCGGCATCGATGCAAATGCCTCCGTACATATAAGTTGCAGACAACACGTAGACAGACTGGTACGATAGATAGACAGGTACGAGCTATTTTGGAAAGCACGCATTTTCCATACTTACGTCACAAGCCAACATGAAGGCAGGCCGACGCAGCCCACCTCTACAATCAAAACATATCAAAATGCTGCTACGAGTACGAGGCCCAAGCAGGATCGACGGACGGGGTCAGCTGCCTCTACAACTCAAAGGTGATGTGGGGCTTACGAAGCGGTTGCAGGGGAGATCCAAAAGGTCGCTAAAGCCGCTAAAGAGCTGAAAAATGGGTTTTGGTACAAGTAGCAGGGAGCCACCGTTTCCTGGAATCTGATGTCAAGTGCTGGATTTTGTTCCATAGCCCTCAGTGTGTACCAAAACCTCCAGTGGATCGTCCGGCCTTAACAGCTCCCTGGCCGTGTTGCCAATCGAGTTTGACCTTGCACATTTACCAACTGAAAGAAACTAACACTTAATAATAGATGGGACTTGCATGTCGCGGTGCGAGTTAATTCCAACAGCGGAGGCAGCACATCGATGCTGTTTCTAAGCTGCGGGCCCAATTGACGCATCCCATCTGCAAAGCAGTTGATGCACAAGCTCTGACTCTGGCATCAGCTACTTTTTGCAAGATAACGACCATCTATCGACAAGCTCAATTGATGCAGATCGGAGCGCAAAGAACAGGTGCACGCTGATACTGCGACTCTGCAGCTGGACGCGACAAATCAAAACAGAGTGCGATGTCGGGCAAAATAGACCACTAGTCTCCCATACCAAAATACTCGAAAAGGAGCTGTGTGCACACTGACCAAAACTCAAAAAACACAATCCGAGAAGGAAGAAAGCACATGCACCGAACACTTCTTAAGCAGTGAAATCTCACTAGCCTGGCCGTCCGAACCCCAAGTTTACGACCTAAACAAGCATGGGACTTCGGTGCCTTGTGCTTGTAAAGCACCGGCTTCTCATAGCGCTGCCGCTGCTCCATGACCCATGCGAAAACCCGCGGATACTGAACGATTCCGAGATCCTGAGAGGACTCGGATCTCTGATCCGTTGACACGGGGCTCAAGAGCGCTCCTCGATGCAGTGCTTCGTGAAATTCTCCGTGCGACCGATGAAATTCTGCCTCTCCCAAAACCCAGGTCTGCGTCTCGTCTGCTTGTCGCGCTCCCCACGCCTGTCGTCCTCGCTGTCACTCCAAGGTACCAGCTTGCCATCTTCAAACCTGCCCACCTGCAGAGCGACGGAAAGTAAACAGGAGAGAAGAACCAAAAGGACCTTGGAGTGCAGACATGCCTGGCATGCCTTCTGTCACCTGAACCAACCGCGACCCCTGCACCAATCGGCCTGCAAGCAGTCAACGAAGGTGACCTTGGCAGCCGAAAGCTCGAGCGGTTTTGGCAGCTGCCCAAACTCTTTTTCTTGCTTTGAGTGTCAACAGTCACACCCATGCCGCCGTTCTGCGAACCCCTGCAAAATCGCACAGAAAAGCAAAACGAAGGCGGGAGGAAAGCCGGGCCCAGCTCCTCCCCGACCAGCTGAGAAGACTTAGACTGCGCGATGCAGACTCGACCTGCGATAAGAGTAATACTGGTAACAATAGTAGTTAATTAATGATCGCATATTAATAGCAATAATAGTAATCAGAATCTTGTTTATTGCTCTAGCAAGCATCGTCGCTGCTGTCGTTGTTGTCGCTATGGCTACGGCCGTTGCTTTGGACTTCTTTGTTGCAAAGGCCGGTAGTGTTCGTGTGGTGTTGCCTGCGTTTGTTATTGTTGCTATCGTTGTTGCTGGTCTGTTGTGACACTTGTGTGTTCTTGGAACATTGACATGTTCAAGGCCATGGCAACACTGCGACATAGTCACGGTGCGTTGCTTTCAGCTCACATCGCTTGAAACGACCCAACACGCCCTGAAACCTCAAACACAAAATTGCGCAACCACCACCACTGGCACCACAACAACAACAACAACAACAACAACAAGGTACAAACAAAAACTGCAGCCCCGTCAACCCATATATCTGCTTTTTGTCTGTGCATTCGGTAGACACAAAAACAGGAGCCCCGTCATGTTGTTTTACCCCCCCCCAGCAACAACAACACAGTGCCTGTGGACGCCTGTGATGCATACTGTTTGGTGTGTATTTTCAATGGATTTCGTCTGTATTTCTATCATGGGGCAGTTGCTGCGTAAACCATGGCTCGCACTTCCCAAAACTCTACAGGCACCCTATGCGGTCACCGGAAGCATTCCCAATTGCTTCTGATTAACAACAAGTACGGGCTGCTGTTTTTGCCTGCACCAACAACAACAACAGCAACAGCAACAGCCGCAGTAATCACGACCAGCACAACCATAACCACCACCACCACCACCACCACGAATAGAATAACGGCACAGTATACAATCATGATCTCATAACGGGCAGAAGAGGAACTGACAGCAATCGTCAAAACTGCAACAGCAGCTGCAACAAACTCGAAGAAGTACCTCAACTCATCAGGGTTGCAGCACAGCCTCGCTTATGAAGCGCAGAGCCGCGGATCTCCCATGTCTGCACGGGAAGGCTTTCATGAAAATTCGGGATCGGGGTCGCCAATAGGGTCTATTCAAAGACCTCTGCGCGCCTCCATGATTTTCAAGATTCGATAAAGCTTTGGGCTTTAGAGGGCTTTATGTTCGAGAGGCCATGTGACAGTGTTTTGCAGGAGTTGCCTCACGTTACGTTGCGGTACTGCTGCTTAAAGGCTTTAGATTTTGCTCTTCAGTTCCATGAGATTCTGAAACTTCCCTGTCCAGCTTGTTGCTTGGAGTTGCTGCGCAGTGAAAGGATTAGGTTTTTTTCAAGCGGCCCTTGCGGCCCTTTTCGTCTCAGCACGGATCTGGGTTTATGGTTTGCGGGTTCCGAAATTAGAGCACTAGGATTCAGAGTCTAGGTTTTCGGGATTGCTCGCAACTAGCAAGAAGACAACCAACCGGGGCATAAGAGATTTGTCGCAAGATGCAATAGGCATGGGCCAGGAGTGGGCATGGGCAGGCTTAGAGGCAACTCTTGGCGGTTTAGATCTGGTCAGATACCATCATTTGCCAAAACCGTTCGCAAATCGCAGACAGTTTGAGGGTACTAGGGATCCTGTTTTGGGGGGCTCTCTTCACCTCACCCAGGCAACCCAACTAGGCCTTGGTGCTGTCGAAGATCTTGTCGCACCACTGCTTCTTGATGCGGAGGGCAGCAGACTCAGTCGCAGAGGGCTCAAAAAAGACCATACCGGTGCAGGGCCTCGGGCACCCTTACTGCATCTTGGCTCTCTGAAGTTCTGCCGGACTGTACATCATAATCTAGAACAATATCCCCTTATAGACTCTGTGTAGTTGCACTATTTGTTAAAGGCAGGACTCTAGACTCGAGGCCCTAGACCCTGCTCAGAAGCTCTTTGACTTTGCCCTAAAAGCCCCAATTAAGGTGCAAGGAGGCCAGCAATTCATCTTGGAAGCTGGCCGGGCGATGCCTCACGTCCGGGTTGGCCTGCTGACAGGGTCGAAGTTGAGTCTATGCTCTCACAACTCGGACTGGCCAGGCGATACCTCTATTTGGGTAGCCCGGAATGTGAAATTTCTCAGGCGCAGTCGACTTACCGCGTAGCAAACAAGGTTGAACGTTCTTCTCCCATTTAGCTGGCATTTACAGGGTGGTCTTGGTTAGTTGAGCCTTATTCTTTTGGGATAAGGATTCAGGATGAGGTGTAGGGTTTAAGGGTAGTTGGTGAGTGGCGACTTCTGTAGAGGTGACAGGTCCCGCCATACGGAAAGCAGAATGAAGATCACCAGAACCAAGTGGACGAGTTCTCATTTATCGCAGTCTATAACAACATCATGCTGACAGCAAGCTCACCTGCGTTTCCCTGGTAAACCCAGAATCCCGAAGACCCAAAGACAAGATTGTGATCTGAGCCTGCACGAGCCCAGCAGAGGCTCGCAGAGATGACCTCCTCGGATGCCTCAGTTTGGGGGTACTGTTGCTTCGGAGAGCTTAGACTTGTGTTGCTGCACATCGTCCTGCTCATGTCAAGACCCTTCAATGCAGCCGGCTTCCGTGTTCATGCCATCTCTTGGATACCTTCCATCGGAGCTCTTGCAACCAAGCAGCTGTGAGAGTGAATGTCGGAAGGCTTCCTCGGCAGGAAGGACGGTTTCATGGCACTCAAAGCACACGACCAGGACCGAAGTAGCTGCCGCATTTGCCGGCACCGAAACTGTGTGGTTTTTGGTGATGCGCTGGACTGCATATTTGCAGATTTCCCGGCACAGCGTGCAACATCTTGCAGCCTAAGTGTTGCACCTTCTCAGCAGGAGGACATCTCGAAGGATTCCTCGCAAGCAGCAGCAAGCCGAGTCGTCAAAAATGAAGGTTAAGTGGTGCCCTCAGAAGCCCGCCGGCGCTTACACCGAGGCTTGGACGCAGAGAGCCTCAGCACCTTCTTTTCCTTCCTGTCCCCTTGTGCCACAGCACGGGGCCTGAAGCGCTTCGGCCAGGCTTCCGCGTGCACTCAAACATCGCTAGCATGCTCGTGGCCCATTAACCGCTCATCCGCAAGATTGTGCATGCCCTTGCACGCCTTGACGTTGAATCCAAGGACAAGCAAAAGCAAAGCACGCATAACAGCTCAAACTTGGTGAATCACTGGCTATCAACATCTGTACTACTGTATATTGTATATAACTCAGCTGCGACAAAGGGTTCGGATCTGCTTACCGTGCTGCAACTCTGCACAGGGAGTACAGGCGTTTTACAACTAATCACTCTGTTGAAATACCTTTAACCTTTAATGTTGTTGCACATTCTTGCAGGCTGCAGCTCTTCTTCGTCTTCTGTCGGGCTTGAATGGAGCTTGTCACCGATGCACCCTTCGGGCGCTCAGAAGCTTGCAAAAATTTGCCCTTGTGACGTACCGGTCTTTCTCATCATGCATACGCACTGTGTGTCGGTGCGAGAGATCCGATCTATCCCAGCGGCTTGACGACCAATACTTAAAGTCTTGGGAGCTCCGACCCTTCCTAAAATATCGAAATTCCAAACAAGACTGGCGAACGTGCTCCAGCACAGCCATTCGCCCCAAAGACATGTTGGTGCAAGGCACGATCAAAACTTACAGCGAGCGAGTATACATTTTTTCGCAAGTAGCAGTCGCAGACCGCAGTGTTTCCCAGCAGTTAGGGTGTGAAACAAGAAGCCAATCGAGCAACTCGTTCTTTGAGCATGGGCCCGCGGGTAGTTAATCACTGCATGTCATTGCCACCCTTCATGACGGCCTGCAAAGGCACAGCAAAGGAACCATCCAAGCCAGGTGTTGGACGCCCAAGTGGTATTCTCAGGGAAGCCCTGGGCAAACGGCTCATTGACGGGATCACTGGGAGGAGGGCTGTCCATCTGGGCAACATGCTCGGGCTCTGTCCTCAGTACCCCAAACACGTGGGAGTCCCAACCAAAGGGGGTGCCCTTGGAAACATCCAGGTGTAGAAGATTTATGACGTGATTTGAGGGGTGCTTTTGAGAATAATTGCCATATCGAAAAGGACCCATGTAATTAATAAGATCCCCCTGCGGAGCCCATGCAGCAGAAATGACGCTTGAAGGGGCGAGGCTCTGGTCAACAGGTTCATTGACATGAAGAGTCGGGCTGTTATCGCTTCTCGAGGGCGGGGCGCTGGCTTGTTTGTGGTCTTGGCTCGACCTAGGCTTACTTCCCTTGCATTGCTTGTTTGCCTGCTTTGCCTTCTCAGCCTTTTGCACCAAGAACGTTTGCTGCGCGATGCGTTCTGATCGAAGCTTTTCCTTGCTCCTGAGCTTGTGTGTTCCAGGCTTGTTGCCTGCAGCCGGAGCCGTCTCAAATCCTTTCCGCTGAGCTGCACGTAACGCAGCCCTGGCCTTGCTAACTTCTTGCCGCTCCTCCTTGCTACAGCATGCGTTTGATGGGATTGATTGGCCATTGAGGTCGCAGAGGAGAACATTCCTGGCATCTTGAATCCGCTGAAAGGCTGAGGCCAAACTTGTCCGGATGGTGTTGCAATGCCTTGGACTTGAAAGCCTTCTGGATCTCAGGCTCGCCTGCCCCGAACGGGAGGTCGAGGATGCGATAAGAGGCATCCACAGCTTTGTCCATGATGGCCAGTTCAAACCCCTAGCTGCAAGCTTGGTCTTGTGCACAGAGCATCTGCGAGCGGGTCTCTTAGAATGGCAGAAGTCAGAAATCGAGGAACCAAGAAAGTGAAGTCGCTGCAACTCTACGTTCTATGCACACTATATAGCGACTGCTTTGATAAAGCTTCTGGCGAACCTATACCCACACAGATATCTATCTATCTATATATACATAGCATAATGTGTGTGTATATATATATATATATACAAACTGAGACCACCAACGGCTCCGCAAACCTTGATCCCCACTGGATGTACATGTAGACATGCTGGCAGTCTTCCGCTTGTTGCAAGGATCCCGGGGAGTGGCCACGGAGCGAGGACACAACCCGAGGTCTGCTGTCTGCTTGAGGCATCTACTATAGTACAGTATTACTAAGTACAGTGTAGTATATACATATAATATAGTATAGTGTAGTATATACATATATCTACAAGAAAAGCAGGGGAGCCGCGAACTCTCTCCTGCTCTTTGAACAGTACTGCAACATGGACGTTGCCCTATGAGCCCTAATTTGGAGCGAACTCCACGTCGCCGGGCTCAGGCGTCCGAAAACTTGGATTGTTGGTCGTTTTGGTCTGAGACAGGTGTCTTTAAGGTTATATAACAATTATTTTAAGCTCTCCCACGTCTTCAACCTTACAAGTCGTTTGCTCGCAGCTTCCAGGCAGCCAAGTCCCGGGCACATGGCCCCGGTAGACCAGGGGCTTGAGATCTGTCGCGGACAAGTCGGCGGGCTCAACACCACAGGGCCTGCACGGAGTGCGGACTGCTGCGTTTCTGGTCAGGGCTTGCGGGATTTGATGTATTTTTTCCCTCTCGCATATTTGATGTATTGAAGGTTTCGGGGTTTAGTGGAGTTTAGGTTGTAGTGCTTCGAGGCTAGTCTGGTGGGTTCCGACCGTCTGATTTTCAGCAAACGTGGGCATTTCACCGGCTCACACGCTACTTACAAGGTGTAGAGTCGCATCAGCAGCATAGTTGGACCCTGGCGACTTGCCGAACCGAGAGCTTGTTCGAACACCCACACCACCCACTGCTGATAGCCCCACTGGCTATCGGCTATCGTGTGACGCGTGACTCGTGCTGGGACAATGAGTACGCTTGAACTTCTGAGCTTGAAGCCCAACGCGTTTCCTGCTCTCCCGTTGCAGTAAGGCATTGCCCCAAGACTCTGTTCTACCAAGCTGCCTGAGTCTTGCCAGCCGTGAAGGGCTCCAACAGCGGCGCCTGTCAGTACGTTCCGGAATTGTGGCTTCGTCGCCGGGTTGAAGCTTTGCGGGTAGTCTTTCTTACAACGGCCCTTACAAATCTTCAGGCTTTTTGGCGCAGGTAATTTTGCGATATTTTGCGCGGTCCTGTTCGAATCCAAGGCTGAGGCTCGGGCGGAGAAGGCTCAGCTCGACCTGAGAAGTGAAAAAGCGGGGAACGCTGGAAAGCTCCAAGGTACCTAAAGCCTTAAACTCCAAATCCTGAACCTTCTTGTGTTGACTTCCGAGCCTTTTAGGGGTCCTGTGTCCTACACGTCAACTCAATTCTGCTACTGAACTCAGGTCCAGCCGAGACTTGAGCCCAGTAGCAAAACCCAAACTCCTGAAGGCCAAACCCCTTGATATACTCAACTTGGCACCCGGCTTCTGTCATCCGGAACATTGATTTCTCTTGGGGCGGCTGGCTCTGCACAGTGCCAGCAATTCCTGCTACAAGCTCCGTCAGTAGTTTGGGGCATGGAGTTTTGGAGGGAGTTTCAGCACTCACACTCGGACAAGCTGGAGCGAGGATCCTGCTACGTTAGGGTTTCGGCGCTCACACTCGGACAATCCCGGCGAGGCATGTGGTTCGGAGTCTGACGAGTGAGATTTCACTAAGACTAAGAGGAACGGTCAAGTACAATCAACAACACCCTACCAACAGCTAAAGTGACCGTGCTCCATTAGACCTGTCCTCACTCAGGATCCTATACTCTGTAAAGCAAAATGCATAACTCATAGGACCCTTAGACCAGACAATAGCAGATCATGTCAAAGAGTTGTAGGGGCTATCGGGATGAGCTAAAGGTGGAAATCTAGGGTTTGGGGACTCTTGTGAACGAGATCTATCTGAAGTGCCTGCAAGTTGCCTGCCTAAGCGATAGCCCCTAAAGCCTAAACCTTTGCGGAGCTTGAGTTGTTGAGAGTCCTGCTCACCGAGCTCGACGGCTGATGTCTTGTCGGCGTTTTGGCGCCGTCTGCCTGGATGCTTTTTTGCGAAGAGCTGTCCACGGGTGCAGCACCTGAGTCAATTCTCAAGAATAGTTTGCAAGAGACTGTTAAGCTCCAAGCATCCACCGATCATGTCTGATCAGGGCTCGGCTTGTCCCCCCAACCTTACTATACACTGATGAACCCTAAACCCTAAACCCTGAACCCTAAACCTTTAAGGCTCCAGCTGCACAGTGAAGCCGTCGGTGAGTCTTGACTTTCCAGCTTCATGCCAGGCTCTGGAGGGCTCCGAGCAGCTTCCTCGCCCGGGTGGCCTGGCACTGGAGAACACCCCACATCATAATGTAATAATGTATAATATGATGTTCTATAATATGCTATCATATAATATAATATACTACAGTATAGTTTGATGTTCTATGGATAATAGCATGTAGTCTTTTATATAACATAATGTAAAAGTAGAACATAATAACAACATCTTCTGTGTACTGGGAAAGTCAGCGGCCTACGTTCCCGAAGAAGACACGCAAACCCAAATGCAATCCGCTGCCATACCCCACTGCACAGGGCAATTACTGCCTGGCATCTGTGACTTGCATGGGCACTTCCAGGAGTGAGTAGACTCGACTACAAACGTACACCACCTCCAGGCCCCCTGCTAGCACCTCTGTAACCTTCTGACAGATTCGGGTTGAGCTCCCCGCCAAGCTCGTCACCGCCGGTGATGTCGATTACGTCTTGGGCGGCTGGCTCCAGCGGTGTAGCTGAGAGGTTGGACCTTGACACATCTACTCCGTCTCATGACGATCAAGTTTACAAGACCCAACATGGTGACACAGACTTCATCGCAAAATCCGACCCCTTAGATGCCTCGTTGCTGTTCGTCTTTGTCTTGTCATCGTTGTTGTTGCTGCTGCCTCTCCTGCAGCTGTAGCTGCTGAAGTTGTTGTGGTGAGGGCTGTTGTAGCGGCTGTTGTTGTAGCTGCCGTTGCCGTTGCTGTTTCCGTTGCCGTCGCTGTCGTGTGTGTTGTTGTTGCTTGTTGTTGTTGTTGGTGGTGGTTCGTTTGTTTTGTGTTTGTTTGTGTGTTTGCTTGTGTGTTTGCTTGCTTGCTTGCTTGCTTGTGTGTTTATTTGCTTTTGTTGTTGTTGTTGTTGCTGCTGCTGCTGTTGTTGTTGTTGTTGCTGTTGCTGCTGCTGCTGCTGTTGTTGTTGTTGTTGGTGTTGTTGTTATTGTTGTTGTTGTTGTGGTTGTTTTCGGTGGTTGGCTTGCTCCTTTGCTTGCTTGCTTGCTTGCATGCATGTTTGTTTGGGTGGTTGTTGATTGTTGTTTGCTGTTTGCTGTTGGTGCTGGTTGTTTTCGATGTTGTCGGTGATGAAGATGTTGTTGGTGTTGTTGTTGTTGTTGTTGTTGTTGTTGTTGTTGTTGTTGTTGTTGTTATTGTTGTTGTTACTGTTATTGTTATTGTTGCTGTTGCTGTTGTTGTTGTTGTTGTTGCTGCTGCTGCTGCTGTTGCTGTTCCTGTTGTTGCTGCTGCTGCTGTTGCTGTTGCTATTGGAGTTGTTGTTGTTGTTGTTCCTGTTGTTGTTGTTGTTGTTGTTGGGTGTTGTTGCTGTTGATGTTGATGTTGCTGATTCATTGCTGATTGATGATGTTGATGTTGTTGTTGTGGTTGTTGTTGTTGCTGTTGTTCTTGTTAGTCTTGTTGTTGTTGTTGTTGTTGTTTTTGTTGTTGTTGTTGTTGTCAATGTTTTTCCAACCCTCTCCTACACCCGCACTCGGCAGGTCAGGGCACTAGCACATACATCCTGAAGACCAGCCCGAACAGCACACACTGATGGCCACGCCTCTTGGAGACAGGCTCAAACAGCTAGCTGGTGCCACGGGAGGCCGGGGTGGTTGCTGTTGTTGTTGTTTGTTGTTGTTGCTCGTTGCTGTTGCTGTTGTTGTTGGTGGTGGTGGTCGTGTTGGTGCTGTTGCTGCTGGTTGCTGCTGCTGTTGTTGTTGTTGTTGCTTGCTGGTGTTTGTTGTTTCTTGCTGTTGTACGTTGTTGGTTGTTAGTTGTGGTATGTTGCATATTGATGTTGATTGTTTGTTGCTGGCTGCGTGGTGCGTGTTGGTTGTTGCGTGTTCGTTGTTTGTTATTTTTTGTTCGTTGTTGTTGTTGTTGTCGTTGTGGTTGTTGCGGTTGTTGTTGTTGTTGGTGGTGGTGGTGGTGGGGGTGGTGGTGGCGGTGGTGGTGGCGGTGGTGGTGGCGGTGGTGGGCGGTGGTGGGCGGTGGCGGTGGTGGCGGTGGTGGGTGGTGGCGTGTGGCGGGTGGGGGGTGGTGGTGGTGGTGGTGGTGGTGGTGGTGGGTGGTGGTGGGTGGTGGTGGGTGGTGGCGGTAGTCGGTGGTGGTGGTGCTGCTGCTGTTGCTGTTGCTGATGTAGGAGTTCTTGCTCTTGTTGGTGGTGTTGGTCTTGGTGGTGATGATGGTGGTAGGGTTGTTGGTGGCGGTTGGTGGTCGAGCTACTGGTATTGTTGACGTTGTCGAGTCCCTGTTCATAACATTACACCATCACATGCATGACGGGGTTTTCAGGCGAGTTACAGTCTAAATCTACCAGTGACATGCCGTGCCAATCTATTCTGTCTTCCATGCAAAGGATACTTCGCTCTTCCTGCCAACGATTTTGATCTTCGCTGAGGCTTATCGTTCTCCCAATCCCTTGCGGTCGCTATCCGTCAGCAGCTGCATTGCATGCAGGCTTCTGAGCAGTAGCAAGCACGACACGAGTCTCGGCTCGCGACTGCTGCTCTTCGCTTTTCACCAGCTGGTGGGCTCGACGTGGTGAGGCGGCGCCTCGCAGAGCAGCAATGACAGTTACCCACAAGACGGTGAATTCATGCCAGATAGATCAAAGGATTTCGACTCGCATACTCGCACAACGCAGGCACGGCTTCATGAGGTTTGGCTCAAAGGGTTTACGGGCACAGAGTTTGGGGAATTAGATTTATGTGTCTCCTTACTGGAAGTCGGGTGCAGTGCCAGATGCAGTAAGGCACCGGAAACTTTGAGCTTCTGGCTCGGTTGCTGAAGCAGGCTCTCGACGACGGGGCTGCGCGATTTTGGAGGCAGTCTCCGATGATCCAAGCTCCGATCTTTGATCTGATCCTCCAAGCAAGCAGGCACATTCTGTACATCTCTGTACCCTCCTTTGCAGTTTGAGCTGGGCACCATTTGAGGGCAATTATGAGCAATCTCTTCAGGTCAAAGATATCTGACTAGCCTACCAGCGTGGCTTCCGTTGAATGTCAGACTGTCCGGGAGATGATGAGGATTCTGCACCAAGTACTGCTCCAGCACCTCGGATGACACTCTGCCGACTATCGGCTGCAGCTCGTGGACCCTCGGCATCCGCGTTCCATTCCGGGCAATCCTTTTTATCCAAGCAATGTCGGCAAGCAGGCAGTCAATGCAGTCACCACGGACTCAGCGGGTTTTCTGGCTGTACCCCCGCAACCTGAGGCAGCGCGACTCATCCTGCACAAAATTTCCATGCTTTGGCTGCTTGCGATACTGTGGTCTGCGCCAAGGTTCACTCTGCACTGAAGGCGCCTGTATCCTCTCAAACCTCATTCGCATTATCTCAACGATGTAGTTACGAACATAACTGCCTAGCCGTTTCTTTGCTTCTAGCAGGCGGTCGCAAGCGAGGTTTGAAAGGCGACCTAGAGCATCATGGAAGCTCCACCGCAGCATCCCCACCACGCAAAATCCGCATGTGCACGAAAAACACAATGCGTGCAGATGACTGCAAGCGGATGGGGTCCGAGCCATATGTACAGAAACTAAAATCCTCAGTTGAACAGCACCTCAGCCAGTCCCGGTCGTGGTGCCTCTTGAGGCAAATCTTCGTATGCAACCACAACCTTATCGTAGTACTCAGAATCGATCATTGCCCGCAGCTGCTCTAGGGGCGTTGTCCTCTCAGGCAGCTTGTTCTGCAGAAAGCTCTTCAGCATGCCCTGGCTGAACCCAGAAAGCATCACCACACCTGGCGAGTGGCACAACTGGAAGGACAGGGCACGGTGCAGCGATGATGATGTCGATATGGTGGTGGTGGCGTTCATGAGAATAGAACCCCACTATGGGAGGGTTTCTGTCTACTACCAGTATCAAGTTATTAACCCCGACACCTTCTTGGTTGGCCATGACCGGCAGTCGTCCGCGTGCACACGAGTCACGTAGGTTCCAATAGACAATCTCTGGCACGTGGAGCCCATAACCAGCTGTCCTGTCGGGCGGAATGATGTGAAAGCAGAACCACACTACTTGCGCAGCCTTCTGGCCAATTAGACATCACATGTGTCTGCATTCAAGCCTGAACTTCTGCAAGATCTTTTGGTGGGTTGTGCTCCATTTGCCGCCTGCAGTCGCGGAATCGAACTGCATGTCTGAGAACACGAAGAGAGTCTTCGGCATCTTCTCCTGTATGGTCTTGCTTGTTCAGAATTTCAAAGATGGGGAGGCAAAGGTTAACTCTTGCATAATACTGCATATAATCACATAATCATCCAGCATGTAAGGACAGCAACATCTGGAATGATAATAGCAGCAACAAGTTCTGTCAGAGACATTGCAGCTTGCCTAGTTGCTAAGTTCCGTGGCCCAAGCAAAGGTTACGTTGACCCTCGCTTGGCCTGTGACTTATGGTACAAATACATATACCTGAAAAGTTTAAGGTCCTACTCAGCACGAAAAGAATCAAAAAGGCTGGCGGCAAAGGCGGCTAAGTGGCTCCCGGCACTCCGTTCTCCACGGCTATTTTGAGCATTTCTGTGAACACCTTCCTTGGCATTGGGACGTGTGCAGCCTATTTGAGGTTGCTCTAGTTGCTCTTTCCTCCAGCTACGTCGTCCTAAAATCTTGCCCTTTCGTCCAGCCAAATCCTAGGGTCTTTCTCGCGGGTTCGGTGTTTTTTCCCTCCTACCTAGCAAGGACGAAGCCCAAATTGCAGGGAGTCTCGGATGAACAGTTGAACTACATAGCCGGGTTCGGTGTAGGTTTCAGGGTGTTGTTGAAATTCTTCCCCTCAGCTCTCCCCTAAACCCTAAACCCTAAACCGCAAAAAGCTGTAGCTTCCTGTGCCCGGCACCATGGTCCCAAACCACCCAAGCGGAAGGATTGAGCAGAAACAAACAACAAAAAAAAACAGCTTGGGGCTTTACTCGGGCCTTTAAGTTCGTGTGCTTCTGCATGAGTCCCAGATGCTATTATTATTATTGTTATTATTACTACTATTAAATAATTATTATTGAGTCCCAGATGCAGGAAATCTGTGTTCATGCCCCAGTCGAGGTCCTCCGTCGCCTTTGCCCGGCTCGATAAGGTCGTAGTCGGGCCGGAGGGGATCGTCACGAACTGGGGATTCTTGGAGAAGGTGCAGATCTTTCCGTGCCAGGGTCCTTCTGCCACTTCGCTTACCAGGAGGGACAGAGCAATCGCAACATTCATGGGGGTCCCGGACATGGATCCAGAGACATCCGCAACTGCGAGGCACTGGCCAAGGGCCCCAGATTCCCGGACATCTGCTACCAAGTCCCTCCATTGTGCCTCCACCTCCTTCTCCTCCAGTTTGGAACAGTCATACAAGACTTTGTAGACAAGCTCATGCGGCATGACAGCTCCCCCCTTGACACCCCCGCCGCGTTTCAAAGCCGTTTCAATATGGGCCGCATATCGGTCTGGATCATGCTTTGCATATACGCTTTGGCCATACAGCAACCTGCATCTCGAGGCCATTCTGTTGTAGTTGACTTCGCCCCACTGCCCTCGCCCAACGCAGGACTCGGGGACTTCAGTAAGCTTCCTCAACGGCGTGAGCACTTCCTGGCGGTACTTGTCCTTCATTCGGGACACATAGTCTTCGAAAGTTCCATCAGGGATCATATAGCTCTCCTTGGGGAAGAGCCTTTCAACAATCCCCTGCACGATGTCCGTCCTCTTGTCATGCATTCCCTGTGAAGTAGGAGCCCACTTTGGCACCAAGCTGCCAGTCAGGGCCATTCGCTCATCGCGCGTCAGTTCCCGTCCTTCTGAGTGCTTCTGCAGGATCCGGCGCAGCTCCTGTAGAGAACTCGCGAAAGCATCTGCGATGGTGTCGTACAGCTGCCGGAGGTTTGCATCTGTCGCATAGAGCTTACGCACGTAGAGCCTCTGCTGACAAACCCTCTCCTTCGCCTCAGCGTGCAACTTGGCATTCTTCTCCCAATCTACTTTCTCGCAATAGTCCGCGAACTTTGCCTTGATCTTGTCGGAGACCCACTCCTGCAAAACATCACGGGTCAATTCAAGCATCAGGCGATGTGACATCTCCTACCAGCCAGGTTCACATTGCAGGAGGTGGTTTTCGTCGAGTTGTGCGTGGCTGCTTGTGGGTAACTGGGACCTAAGCATATTCAATCCGCGACAACCCAATCCCTGGTGCAACTCTTTCCATCCTGTTTTTTGGGTTCCTTTCTTTTGCTAGATGGATGCTCCTCCTTCTCAATCCACGGCATGCGTTTAGGAACAGACTCGTCTCTCCACTTGCGTGGGACCCGAAAGTCTTGCTCGTTCCTTAACAAGGGCGTGGGCGCAGAGAGTCAGGATTTATTTCCATCGAATTTGAATGTCAACCCTAAATATCGCCAAGCCACCCCAGGCCCTCGTCGGCAAGTTTCTCACAAAATGCCTGTATGCGAGCAGCTCTACCTTCTTGCTCTCTGGCCCGCCGAGCTTTGCCGTTCCTTGCACGAGAGCCGAACAGATGTCTACGTTCCTCACGATGATACACGTCTCTCGTGCTACTCATGCGTCGACAACAATTCAATCACAGCCTGATTTCTCTGGCCCTGCCGGCTTGCAACGGCTCCAGACACTTTATAGACTCTGTTGCCTACGAGGCCCTTCCGAATGTAGTCAGGATTCAGTGCCTTGTCCTGCATAAAGGCCGCGACCTTGCGATCTTTCCTCTCATGCCCAACGGTGCCTGACCCGCTGCGGATGCATAAGACTGCACTGAGAAGCCCTCAACATGTATGACCCGGTAGTGTTCCCGCCTCTGTCCGGATGGGCGGCCAAGTCTTTCGATAGAAAATCTTCGGCATCCCAAGCAGCATACATCAGCAAGTCAAGCATTCCCTTCAAGCAGGTGTGGTGTGCGACTGCGCCCGATCTTATGTTGGCAAGGACCGTAGCCGGGAAGTTCCGCCACAACCACAACAAGCAAAGCTGATGGTTGTCCCGGTTGGACTTGCCTTGGCGGGGGTCGCCCAACTGCATAACCAGCTTCGTTGCGGTCAAAGGATCTTCGTTCCAAGCAGATCTAAGTAAGCGAAGCAATTCTTTTTGTTTCATGCCGGGAACAACTCGAAAGAGGAAATCGACGCAGGCTTGCCCGGATTTGGCGAAGGCCAGGGCTCCGTTCTCTGTGGTTGCCAGCTGTGGCCCGGGATCAATCTCTGCAACCCTTGAACTCTGCGATGTGCGCGGCGGGATTGCCGCAATTCCGCGCTGGGCAGCGCGGCCGACAGCTAGCGGAACCAACAGTTGCAGCATGCTGGGAGTGGAAGATCCAGCAGACGCATCCCCGGTCCCAAAGTCGGGGATTCGCGGAACAGCAATTATGGGCACAGCTGCGCGACTCTGACACGGCGAAGGGATGGCGGCTTTGCGCAAGAGACTCGAAGGAACAGCTGCCAGGCGCGGCACCTGCATCTGCATCTTTAGCGGCTGCGGGGGTCTTCTCAACTGTGGGCTTAGGGCCAAAATGCCTCAGCAAGCGATGGCCACTTCTCCAATCACACTGAACGCAACTCCGGCCTTTGGCTGCTCCTGCAAGATTACATATTTACAATGTAGGAGTATCAAACTGGCACACATCTTCCCAAAGACTCCAAGACCCCTTGATGAAGCAATATACCTTAAATCATATTAGGGATCCTACTATAATTTCAAGTACATTCCTTAATTAAGGGATTTTGGAGTCTCTGGATTGGTCTTGCGATCCAGTGGCTACCCTAAGCCTCCCACCGAAAGCATGTGCTCTATCGCCGCTCTTCTCGAGGCGTCTCCACTGTTTCCTTTCGACCTGGGCTCTGTTTCGTTTCTCCACTATAATGTAGGAACGTGATTAAGAAACCCTAGAACGCCAAAATAGTAGGATTAATATTAGGAGCCCTCATACCAGCTCTGGCTCAGCTGCTACATTGGCATCCGGAGAGCTCGAAAATCAAGCAGGCAGCCGAGTTAGAAAGGGACAGGATTACGGAGTTTCCATTGCTTAGACAAAGCAAACGTACAACATCTGAGCTGGGCGCTGCATCGTTCGCGCCTGGCTGCACATGTTTCATTGGCAACAAGTTCTATACCATTCTATACTATCTATACCCAAGACTATACAGTATATACTGTCTTACATATCATATTTTAGACACACACACACACAGAAGAGGCCGGTCAGCACAATCATTTTCCAATTCCATTCAAGCGTTCTGCTCTTTTTTTGAGTCACGGGCTCGGGCCGGTACTTCCGAATAAGCATTGTTCTGCTCTTGAAGGCGATGCTTCGAAGCTCGTCTCGGACTTGTTGTGCCACTGTGAAATGGTCATGGCCTGAATCCGACCCAAGCAGCGGACCATAACGGAAACAAGGCCTGAACTGGCCAAAGACCTTTTGTGTCGACACCAGCATCACATTGAGCAAGCGTATTCGCTAAGTCGCTTTGGTTCTGCATTGTCCCGATCTCCCCCCTTCGGTGTCCGTGGGTTTGTCAAGATTCAATCAAGAACGATGATCGCCTCTTATCTCTCATCCTGAATCCTGCTGTTCCCGAGAGCAGTTAGCCGTCGTCGTCATCATTGTCGTAGGGATCCCAGCGCAAGCGATGTCGTTGCGTTGCATGAGCTTGGCCCAATATTCAAAACCCCATTCGGTCAAACACGGCTTGCTGCCTCCGAGCATGCTCCGGTGATTCCAAGCTCTTCAAGGCCGGGAAGATCTTGGAATCCAAATCCTCATCATCTGTGGCATGGTCCAGGATGAGAACCCCATTGAGGTGGTCCAGCTCGTGCTGCAAGGCCCGAGCTGTCTCGCCTTCCAAGCTTTCTCTGTGAAGCCGCCCCATGGTGTCCAAGTACTCCACAGACACCGTTGCATCACGGAGCAGTGTCACCAGCACATCGGGAGGTAGGACCAGACAGCACTCTCGCCACCACCTCATGTCGCCCTCTGAACTGCGCTCGGTAATCCGTGGGTTGACAAGAATCCGAGGTGCGGCTTTGCCCAGGACATCTTGATCTAGGAAGATCATCCGTGCGTTGACCCCCACTTGGCTTGCAGCGAGCCCAACGGCGCCTTCCGTCCGAGCGGCGACTTCCAGTGCTCTTCCTAAGAGATTCAAGTCCTAGGTGGATTTCAAGAGTCACCAACATGATTCATAATCATCGGGCTAATAGCTAGGAATTGGGGCTCAAGAAGGGAAAATTCAAAAGCTATCCCAAATCGATTCCCCGAGTCTTCAGGAGACTGGAAAGCAGACTCGGCCACAGGCTCCGCCACTCGTCGTAGTATCGGATCTGGATAGCGGGCCATGGGGAAGGAGCGTGTTCCAGAGCGCAGCCGCGTCACTGCTTCTGCAAGAGTCTCCATCCGTAGCCGTGTCCCTGACCATTTGCCTGAATCCATGCCCGAAGCTGCGTGCATTCTGCCGCCAAGTCCGACGAGCATAGCCGTGGCGACGAGAACAGCACGCCTGCCGGCCTCCCTGGTGTCCGAGTCCAGGGCCTTGCCGAAAAGGATCCTGTTGCTGATCCTCCGTCTGAAATAAACCAGCGTTCCAACATCTGCTGCAGGCCTAGGAATCAAAGTTTCGGGCTTCACGGAGTGCGTGCAGGCGAGTGGTCTCGGTCTGGTAGACGTCGAAGCTGACAGAGCACCTGCTGGCCTTGATAGTGGAATCATTTGGCCCTTTCCAGCACAGGCAGCACGCGGCTAAGTCTTGGCTAAGTCTATTCGTGGTTGAAACCTGGGCACACTGAGCGTTAATCAAACCTCGAAACACCAAGCATATCTCTGTCTTTGGAAGTCCATTCATATCACGACGCCGTTTTGGCTCGCCTTTGCTGTCGCTACCACGAAAGGCTGGCCAGCTTCCAAGAAACAGCCGTCAATGTAGCATTACAGAGAAGACATTGGAACAGACAGCCCTGCCAAATCCGACACTTCATGAGAATCCCTACAATACCCTTGTAGCACCTATAACTTGATTCTGATTCATTTTTCCTGCCTGCTCTAGCCCCGCAGCACTCGACCAATGCACATCAGTGCACCACCGAAAAACACAGAAAAGAGAAGCACCACATAGATTAAGCCCAGAAGTATAGGAGATTAGAGGGGCAAACGCGCCTTCTTGCGAAGTCTTGCTCCCACCTCATCAATGACCATCTGAAACGCCACACCTCAGATGTTATCACATTTTCGGCCAGATTTACGAAAGTACAACGCATCAAGAACACTGGGCGCTTTAGTCCGTCGGTTTTCAAGTCATGATAACGGCTCCGTCGTTGCAATGATGATCTTGGTGCGTACAAGCATCGAGAGCGTTCTGAGCAATGCACCTAGACCTGCAATAACCGCACGATGGATTCCGAAGTACGAGTAGCCCCAGCCAGTTTTGCTCAGCAGCACTGCAAGCTACCCGACCCATACTTGGCAAGATTTGGAAAGTTTGCAGAGTCACACCTGCTCCCTTGACCTGCTGAGCCCCGAGCACATCCTGATCTTCCCGCGTCGGCACTCAGTGCCTACATGCAGTTGCTTCATAAACTGAAGACTGTAAGCGACAAAGTGCTGGCCACTTGTATGCCAACAGCATCCACGACGACAGTCGCAGCGCTCCGAAGTGACACTTTAACTTTCCTACGGCAAGGGCGCCGCTTGCAATGCTGAGGGTTCAGCACTTGCACTCGTGGGGCGAGTCACCATAAACAGTCCTCGCATGGGATCGGATGTTGGATGAACAATTAACGGGAATGCTTGCAGGAAAGGCCGGTTGCTCCGACTTTGGCCAGGCCTTCCAACTAGCCCAGTGCGTGATTTAGAACAACTTGATATGAGAAACACCATCGCGTGCCACAAGCATGAGCGTTGCTCGCATCAGGTTTCAGCTCTGGAGATTTCAAGAGGCTCTTTGCTGTCGCTGCAACGCCAGTTCTGTTCCTGGGCCTCTCTCCAGATTAGCGCAGGCAAAATGTCGCATGCCTCATGTCTCGGGAATTTAGGCAAGCATTCGGCTTCAAACACTAATGATATGACTCCACTATGTGTCAGAGCTACCCGCCTGACACCGCAATCTCGACTCGACAGCGGCAAGTAGTCTTCCACTGCTGCCAGGTAAGCCTCCAACTAGATCCAACTCAGGCACATGGAGTACCAAGCGATAGAGAGAGAGAGAGAGAGAGAGAGAGAGAGAGAGAGAGAGAGAGAGAGAGAGAGAGAGAGAGAGAGAGAGAGAGAGAGAGAGAGAGAGAGGGAGATGGAGGTGAAAAAAGGAATAGAGAGACAGATCGGTGGTTAGGCCGCTAGGCAAATAAAGCAGACTGGTAGAGAAATAGGTAGAGAACGAGACAGATAGATAGATACACAGGTAAGTAGACAGTTGGATAGACAACTAGATCGATAGGTAGACAGATAGGTAGATCCAACGATCGAGAGATAAGTAGGTAGACAAATAGATAGGCAGAACCCAGGTAGATGGCTAGACAGGTACGTAGATCAGATTTCAACAACCGGATAGATAGATAAACATAGCGACACGGACACGGATGGAGATTGAGATAATTAAACCTAAAAACTGGAATAAATAAATATATGTATATATATATATGTGTATATATATATATATATATATAACAGTGAAGATATAGATAAACATGACTCTAGGTAGATAGGTAGATGGACAGATGGATCGATCGGTTGACAGACAGATAGAGCCGCATAGAAACATCTATCGGCAAATAGGAAAACAGATAGGTAGATAGATGGATGCACAGAGAGATAGATGGATGATGGATGGATAGATAAACAGGTAGACAGGCAAGAAGACAAATGAATGTCGTACACGTGTCAGTGTATAACATGTACTTCTCTCTGCATGTGTGCAAATAGAATATACAGCGCAAGTATCAACACGTGTCTCGCTCTTCGTTTATTTGTTTGTTTATAATCATTTCAATGATCTACAAGGAATCTACAACTAGCAGCCCCGACTGAATCAGAAGGGGCTCCTAAACCAATAAATCAGGACACTTGCTTCTGCACTCAGTGCCTCTGCTCGCTTCTTCGCCTCCAACTTGCCGCTCAAAGCAACCTCAGTACAAACCCCAAACCCTAAACCCCTAAACCCTAAAGTGAACAAGCCCGTGCTGTGGCTGCAACAGAACTGAGTTAGACAGCAGCATCATCTGCAGATCTTCATAGCATTAAGCAAGCCTCTGCGCATGCTTGGGGCAGCACATAAGCTGCCACTTCCATGAAGCTTTCGTAGTTTCGCCTGGCTTTACGACCGCGACTGTAGCTGCTCACGCTTGCTTGGGTGCTTCTGGGCTTCCAGGTCAAGCACTTTCAATCGTTCGCGTGTGCATGTGACTCACAGATTAACAGCTTGTGAAATTCCTGGTTCATTCTCGCCTGTCAGACTTCGAAACATCCTATCTACAGCATTCTCGCTGTAACGGGCCATGTAATGGTGGATAATGAGCAGCGAGCAGGCAAACTCGATGGAGCCACGGAATCTTGCCCTTGCACATCTTCACGATGACTTCTGAGGGATTCCTAAGGCTGAGCTTGAGCTTCGCGTGCCGACGGTACTTGGCGACTCTAGAGGATTAGAGTCCAAGCTGCAGATTCTCCATGAGGTAAGCAGCACGGTCACCTAAGTAGGGACTCAGAAGCTCCAGTTAAGGCTCAGAGCATGGCTGTACACCTCAGAGCAACCTGGAATAGTACACTTTTCGGCACGGGTTGTCCATGCTGGCACATCGCTCCGTACTACGATGGGAATTCGACCTTCCGATGCTTAGACAAACGCTTGCAGAGTGTCGCCGGCCACTCTTTCACTTCTCAAGTGTGCTATCGCGAGATGCAAGGCACAACGAGCTCTCAAGTCTGCAATTATGACTGGCGACTACGACCTCTCTACCTCTCTGGATTGGCCTTGCCAAAGCGTTCCAATCCCGCAAAGGCTTCCAGTGGAACTCTGCACGTGCTTGTTTTCAACCTGGAAAGGGGCCTATGTGGATATGACATCTTAAACGACACCAGCGGGTTAGCTTGCCTCCTCAAGCGCCCTAAACCCTCTGCCTTACCCGTCCTGAGGTCCATGAGCAGCTCGTAAGCTTGCGGCAAACGGCTTGGCGCTGCTGCTTCAGCTCCTCCTTGGACATGCTCGACACACCCAAGGTACCTCTGGCGCAGGCACAAAACCAGGCTAGAGGACTCAGCAAGCACCGGTTTCCTGTAAATGGACCCGTAAGCCAATAAGATACCCCCTGCAATGATTTTTCGAAGGTCCCATGCAGTCAAGCCAAGAATAGAACAGGATGGTTGGACAAAGACCCTCTTGGCGCACGCAGCACATACTTCTCCTTGGCACTGCGCACCGGGGGTGCCTGCGCAGCCGGCGACGAAACGTCCTGCCCCACTTCCAGAACGAAACCCCGCGATGCGCTGCAGCTCTGTCTCTGTTATCAGGTTCGGGACGAGGATGGAGCTGAATATGCAAATGTTCGGGAGCCGATCTTGAGAGAATCGCAAGTTCCGTGCGAATCGCCTGACACGCGCTGGTACTCGTCGGGGATTCTGGCACGGACGGCGCAGAGTTTTTCTTCTGCGCGCGTCCGTCAACCAACGGTGGCAACGGGATCGCCTGGCGGGACGTTGCTGGCTAGCATTTCGCTGGCAAGTTCCGTGCGAATCGCCTGACTGAACTTGTGAAAACTTGTAATCGGATGCAAACTTGCCTTATATAATCCTTACCTTGCAGAACTTGCCTGCTAGCTGCTAGCAGAAGACCCAATTCTCCCGGAGGGTTCAACCGCGCTCCGCGGCTTCTCTCAACCTCTCTGTCATGCCTATCCTTCATTGCTTTGCTTCTCCATCCCGCTTTCTCCCTCCATCACTCGCACGAGGCATGAGAAGGGAGTGAACAGAACTTACTGCAACTAGCAGACTAGCAGCAGCATGGAATCGATAGGAATCTAGCGCGGGCATTCTATCCGGCTCAGCTAACCATGCAGGTCAGTGGAAATTGTCGGTCGAACACAAGGGCTGGCACACAAGAGAAGGAAGGCTTCGGCTTTGGCTGCATCAATCGATGAATTCGGCAATCCGAATCTATCCTGAGCCTGTGTCTCTACCTACATATCCGGAGGCTTGAACAGAGTGTTGTGCAGCGTGGACTGACTTGAGCCCTGTTTTGGTATCGCATGCCGACCTCCGCTGTGCCAGGTGCTGGGAAGCTTGTCTCCAGTCCGCTGCACCTGGGGCATTGGGCCGAAGCAATCGCAATGAGGGTTGAGGGTTTAGAAATACTATTTGTATTAATATTAGTGTTAGTATTAATATTACTATTTTAGTATTAGTATTAGTATGAGCGGCTGTTCTACAAGAGATCTCGCACTGAGAGGCAGGCGCTGGTGTCGGCAGAGAAGGCGGGACTTCACGTCTGCGCTTGTACTTCTGCAGGGCTCTAGGAGCCTGCGACGGCACCCCACGCATCTTTGCAAGGACTGAAATCGGAGTCCTGGAGGCTACGCATACCCAGAGACTCCAATACCCCCTAACCAAGGAATATTGGAGTCTCTGGGTACTGGGCGACCTGTAAGGAGTCTATGCCCGACTAGGAGGCATCGTAGCACAGTTGGTAGAGCACTCGTGTAAGATGCGTTGATCTCGGCCTCCAGCTCGGACTCAGGATCGACCTGCAAGTCGCTTAGCACTTGGGAAGTGGTCTCAAACTTGTTGAAGGTCCTACTTGTCGGGTATCATGGGGAACTTAAGGTTAACCTTTTTGGTTCTATAGGGATTATTTAGGGACTATATTACCCAAAAAAGGTTAAAGGTTACCTACTCTACTGCTACGTGGACAAATGGACGAAGGCCTGGTCTCGCCTGGGCAGCAACTCGAGGCATCCTCCCACCTGCCAGCATTGGAGTCTCGAACTTTTAAATGCTCTGCATAGCACACCTCACATTGCTGAGGAACGGGCCTCATGCTTTTCATGGCCCATGCTGCGGGCATAGATGTGGCATGATCCGGTGCAGGCGGCGGCCGCCGAAAGCCAACAGAGCTGACTAAAGTTTAGGGTTTAGGGTTTTAGGGTTTAGCCACGGTTTAGGGTTTAGGGTGACTACAGTTGATTGTATTCAAAAAGTTTCAAGACCAGTCTTACGAAGTTGACCTTTGGCACAAGCGTTGTGAGCAGTTGCATTTCTCTGTGTGCTCACGTCTCGTCTGCACGTGCACATGTACTGTATAATTAACTGCCAGGCCAGTGTGTTCATAGTACATGGGAGGCCGCATCGAAGGGCTGCTGCTGTGCCGCGGGCCGGGGCTTCGGCGCATGGGGCCCCACATGGTACATGCCTAAGCCGCGTCGGCCTTCAGCTATAAATGAAGATGCTGCGTGAAGGAACGGTCAAGCTCAGCAACGTCAACATGGGCTGCCGACAGCAGTCGATGCTGCATGCAAACTGCGTTGATACAGGTGTTGAAGGGCCGTCCGACAAGCCGGATCGCATTTTAAGCTGGGTAAGCTGAGCATGTTGCAACTCACTGTCCTTCTTGTAGACGAGTGCCCATGATCCTGCCAGGAGAAACAAAGGGGTAGCAACCCCAATAATTCTAAAGGCACGGCTACCGAAGGAGTTACAAAAAGCTTCTGCATGGCTTTGCCATGCATCTGCCAACAGCGTTGCTTTCCCGCTGGCGCAGGTGTGTGTCGCCAAAATTGGCCTGAGCCCCGGTAAATACTCAGAAGCCAGTACTCAGGTACTCCCAAAAACAATGTGGTCCCAAGACTTTCCAAAACCAGGCTCAAGCCAAGTGCACATCTTAGCTAAACTAATCTTTCACGGAAGATGCTCTTCCTATAGGGTCCTTCCTGTAACAGGATGGCCCCCGTAGCAGCATCTGCTAACTAATATCCTCGACAGGATCTCTGCTTCTGGTCCAAAGCACTTGATAGTTTATAGATGCTCGTAGGTTTCTGGAACTTTGATGTGAAGACTGTCTGTATCTTGGGGGACGGCTGGATAATTGCTAGGAGCTCTTCGGAAAACCCTGCTGCTAAGCGGGCTGCACAAAAGCCGAGCCTGGAAGACGTTTCATGAAAGGATACCTTGCCTGCTGCAACCATTTCGAAATGAGGAAGCGGCGAGCATTCTGGTCTCCCAGGAAACGCATATGTGCTGGCTACGGCGACGGAGGGAGTGCGACTGGATTCTGGAAATTGCCCACCTGGTACGCGCACCTGGCGCCCCGTCCGGTAGAGCTCAGCACGGGAGACGGAGAGCAAGACCAACAAGAAGGGGGGTCGCTGACGGTGCCCAAGGTGATGTATGTCTGAATGCCTGGCGGGCATTTGTTCTGAGCGCAGTCTACCGCGTCCTCCGTAGCTGTGCGGACAACGACTTCTTCCTCGGTCCACAAACGGAGCAGCTTCTACAGGGACCGAAGCACTGCCAACAATGCTATCAACAAATGTCCGCATGCTCGTGCGTGCTTTTGCTTGGCCCCGTGGCCCATGCATATTCACTAAATCTTTCCAGGGTGCATCAAAGAACTGACATCCACAGCAAAGGAAGCGTGCAGAGAGTTGAACTTCAGCACCTGCGTTGAAGGAGACATTCAAGGGGTCCACTATCAAATTCTCCATGTTGATGTCGAGAACGGTCCTCCTGAGCATCATCGCACCAATGGCGATGACATCACCTACGCCGAAGGGCGACACGTCATCGACGGGAATCTGTGTTGAGCCAACTGGAAGTTCCTCCAATACATCTGCCGTCGTCGGGACGATGGGCTCGGGTGTCGTAGTGGTCGTGGTCGTCACGGCGATAGTTGTAGGTGGAGCTGTAGTTGCGGATATCGTCGTCGTGATGGTCTCAGTGGTGGTCTTGGTGGTCGTGGTGGTGGCCTTGGTGGTGGTGGGTGGGGGGGTTGTGGTGGGGGTGGTGGTGGGGGTGGTGGTGGTGGTGGTCGTAGTCGTAGTGGTGATAGTGGTGGTGGCTGGGGTGGTGGTAGGGGCGGTGGTCGTGGTGGTCGTTGTGCTGCTCGTGGTGGTCGTGGTTGTGGTGAAAGCTACTGGGTTTTGGAAATTGCCCACCTGGTACGCGCACCTGGCGCCCCGTCCGGTAGAGCTCAGCACGGGAGACGGAGAGCAAGACCAACAAGAAGGGGGGTCGCTGACGGTGCCCAAGGTGATGTATGTCTGAATGCCTGGCGGGCATTTGTTCTGAGCGCAGTCTACCGCGTCCTCCGTAGCTGTGCGGACAACGACTTCTTCCTCGGTCCACAAACGGAGCAGCTTCTACAGGGACCGAAGCACTGCCAACAATGCTATCAACAAATGTCCGCATGCTCGTGCGTGCTTTTGCTTGGCCCCGTGGCCCATGCATATTCACTAAATCTTTCCAGGGTGCATCAAAGAACTGACATCCACAGCAAAGGAAGCGTGCAGCGAGTTGAACTTCAGCACCTGCGTTGAAGGAGACATTCAAGGGGTCCACTATCAAATTCTCCATGTTGATGTCGAGAACGGTCCTCCTGAGCATCATCGCACCAATGGCGATGACATCACCTACGCCGAAGGGCGACACGTCATCGACGGGAATCTGTGTTGAGCCAACTGGAAGTTCCTCCAATACATCTGCCGTCGTCGGGACGATGGGCTCGGGTGTCGTAGTGGTCGTGGTCGTCACGGCGATAGTTGTAGGTGGAGCTGTAGTTGCGGATATCGTCGTCGTGATGGTCTCACTGGTGGTCTTGGTGGTCGTGGTGGTGGCCTTGGTGGTGGTGGGTGGGGGGGTTGTGGTGGGGGTGGTGGTGGGGGTGGTGTTGGTGGTGGTGGTGGTGGTGGTGGTGGTAGTGGTGGTGGTGGCGGGGGTTGTAGTAGGGGTGATGGTCGTGGTGGTCGTGGTCGTCACGGCGATGGTGGTTGTAGGCGGAGTTGTAGTTGTGGCTGTCGTCGTAGTGGTCGCAGTGGTGACTTTGCTGATGGTGCTCGTGGTGGTAGTGGTCGGGGCGACGGTGGTTGCAGGCGGAGTCGTAGTCGTGGCTGTCGTCGTTGTAGTGGTCGCAGTGGTGGTTTTGCTGGTGGTGGTCGTGGTGGTAGTGGTGGGGGCGACGGTGGTTGCAGTGGTGGTTTTGCTGGTGGTGGTCGTGGTGGTAGTGGTCGGGGCGACGGTGGTTGCAGGCGGAGTCGTAGTCGTGGCTGTCGTCGTTGTAGTGGTCGCAGTGGTGGTTTTGCTGGTGGTGGTCGTGGTGGTAGTGGTGGGGGCGACGGTGGTTGCAGTGGTGGTTTTGCTGGTGGTGGTCGTGGTGGTAGTGGTCGGGGCGACGGTGGTTGCAGGCGGAGTCGTAGTCGTGGCTGTCGTCGTTGTAGTGGTCGCAGTGGTGGTTTTGCTGGTGGTGGTCGTGGTGGTAGTGGTGGGGGCGACGGTGGTTGCAGTGGTGGTTTTGCTGGTGGTGGTCGTGGTGGTAGTGGTCGGGGCGACGGTGGTTGCAGGCGGAGTCGTAGTCGTGGCTGTCGTCGTTGTAGTGGTCGCAGTGGTGGTTTTGCTGGTGGTGGTCGTGGTGGTAGTGGTGGGGGCGACGGTGGTTGCAGTGGTGGTTTTGCTGGTGGTGGTCGTGGTGGTAGTGGTCGGGGCGACGGTGGTTGCAGGCGGAGTCGTAGTCGTGGCTGTCGTCGTTGTAGTGGTCGCAGTGGTGGTTTTGCTGGTCAGGGCGGTGGTCGTCGTTTTAATTGTAGTAGTGGTGGTCGTGGTGGTGGTCGTCGTACTCGAGGTGGTGCTTGTAGTTGTCAAAGGCACGACTGGAGTCCCTATGTCCCCGATCTGGTAAGCACACCTCTCTGGAAGGCTTCTTGACAGCACCGGCGATGCTGAACAAGACCAGCACACGGTAGTAGGCGCTGAAGTGTCGAGAGTGAGGTAGGATCCACCACCTTCAGGACACTGTTCAGCACAGTCCGTCGCATCGTCTGCAGGCTGCCTGATCTCGACTTCGTCCTGAGTTTGGGGACATGCCGCCAGGGCTTGTGCTTCCCAGGCATCAGCAACATTGTTTCGAACGCTGGGTCTAGCTGAAACTTACAGAAACGGGCCGTTCAAATCTTGTACATTCTTGAAACTGCGGTCAGGTCACATCAGCAAACTGACATCCACAGCAAATCAAGCGTGCAGTGAGCTGGAGACGAGGGAAATCTGCAGCGTTGAACGCCAAAGTCAATGGATCCACGACTAAGAGCCCAGGAGCAGCGGAGCTGCTGGAACTCGTTCGTTCACTCCCTGATTGCATCAAGGTGGGAGTGGGAAGAAAGATGATGTCACGAATTGTCCGTGTCTCTTCCTGGGTTCCATCAGAAATGATGATCACGTCGTCTACGCTGAAAGGCGAAACATCATTCACGGCAACTTCCGTCGTGCCGATCGGGAGGTCTTGCGTGACGAAACTCTGTGTTTTCACCGTGCTTGTGGTGGTGGTGGTGGTGGTGGCGGCGGTGGTGGTGGTGGAAGTAGTTGTAGTCCTCGTTGTCGTAGTGGTGGGGATCGTGGTCGTAGCGGTGGTCGTCGTCGTCCTGCTTGTTGTGGTCGTGGCGCTCGTAGTTGTAGTGACTGTGGTGCTGGTTGCAGTCGTGGTGGTTGTGGTGGTGGTGGTGGTCGTCGTTTTGATGATGTCTCTCACCAATGCCCGCAGTTTCTTGCGGAAGAACTTTTTAAGCTTGTCGATGATAAGGCGTCCTTTGCCGAAGAAGCGGGTGGCATCTGCTCCCTGCTGTGCTAACTGTGGGTCTTCAATGATGTCCAGGATCACTCGCTCTTCGCCAATCTGGGCATCGTCCTGGATAACGATGTGGTCGCCCACGTGAAATCCAGAAACATCCGTCACGAGGATCTCGGTGTCGTTGGGATGTGCGTCGGCAGCCAACTCGGAACTCGGTGGTCTTGGCATTGTGGGGCCAGAGGTCGTTGAAGCCGACATCACCTCGCTTCCGTCCTCTTGCAGATAGGCGGCATCTGCCCGCTTCTGCAGCAACATTGATGAGTCCGCCTCAGGCGTGCATGGCGACGACATGCTGCCATCACACGTCGAGACAGGCGGCGGCCTCCCAACCACCTCCCCAGACACGACGGGGACGAGGCCAATGCACAAAGCCAGGAAGGTTGCCCATGGTGCCCACATAGTGCCGGCTGGAAAATCAAGCAGCAACCCGTGGCTGTGTTGCAAGAGGCGATGCCGTGCACTCAACGGTTCGGTTTGATGCAAAATGCTGCCCAGAAGCCACTCTACAATGATAGTACCGGTACGTGCCCCTTCGACCCCTTCTGCAATTGAGACTCTGACTCGACTATGGTCATATTGGCGGCCTCGAGGCCCTTCCTTACAACCTTACTATAGGGGCCTTAATAATTAGAATAGGGTTTTGGGGAATATTATTCTGTAATTGTAATAAGGACCCCCAGAATAGTATAGATAATTTTTTTGGACCCTATAGTACCTGAATCCAGGCACTCGGCGGCAAACACCATTTGCGTCCCTGACTGGCGTCGCGAAGGTCCGTACATTTTGGCACCCACGCCTTGCTTCGGTTGTGTCTGGTTTGTAGTATGGTATAGCAAAACACGACAAAGACTGTACAAGCAGCGTAAATGTGATGTAAGTGTAAGTAAACATGCTAATAACTGAGGCGGACGAGTATTTTATACATAACTACGATAAGATATCAATCTGCAGAATATACTGCGGCATAATGATGTGTGTATATATATATATATATACATATCCATACCTTGCTTCAAAGAACAAGCATCAGCTCCTTGAGACAACTTTCTCGCTCGCGCAAGCAGGTCTGGCTCATCGCCAAAACAATCCAGCGGCATGGATCTTGTCCATGATGATGGACCTTTTTGGGCTAAATATAGGGCTTAGGGGTTTCAGGATCTAGGCGGAGACTCCTGTCACGAGGCGAATTTCGGCTGTTCACTGCCATCGCTTGCCGAGGCGGGAACTGCAGGCCTTGGCTGGATTCGCGGACCTCGCATACAAACTGCGGGCTTCAGCACAACCTCTGGTAAGGTCCACGCAGGTCTCCACGGAATGGCCCTCTTTTTTCTGCGACTGGTCTCTGTCAGCAGCGAGGCGGTGAAGCGCACGCAGCGCTCCCTGACAAGGGGAACAGGCTGTAGGTTGCGGGTGTAGAGAAAAGCTAGAAAAGTACAGCACTCTATAAAAACCGAGGTGCAGGCCTGTTTGCCATTCCAGGAACCCTAAAAACAAGACTCTGACCCGAAATGTCTGATGTGTCGCTTACTTGGCCCAGAATCAGCATTGAGGCATCCAAGGCTCCGATTCCGATCGCCAGCATCGCAGACGTTCGCGACTTGAGCGTCACCCGTGCAGGTGCAGGCTGCATCCTCAGACTGCAGCGGATGTTTGCTACCTGCTACCATTCTGGTCATCGTGGCTTCAAGCATTTATTTGGCCAATGTCAAACGTATGTCGACTAGTGACGAGTTGCATCTCGCACTGATACATCAGCCTGTCCTAACATCAAAACTTCTTTTTGAGAGGAACGTGCTTGCGTTGCACGGAAGCATTTAGACGGACAGCGAATCCCCTCCAGACTGTCACAAGCGCGCACAGCAGATGACCTCATAACTATAATATAAAACTTACATCACACATGGGCAGCGAACTAACTTTTCAGCAACTGCTTCTACTTGCGTACTTCGCTGCTTCATACTAGGTCGAGGATCCCCCGTACCCGAACAGCAAGCGTGCAACCCCAAAGCGTACAAAGAATCCCTAAATAACCACAGGTCGGTTTCTCCTTGTGTTCGCCCGGAGCAGTTCGCAATTCATAGTTTGCCTGTACATGTTGCTCTTTCTCCATGCCGGGGCTGCAAAAGAAAACTATGGTGCTTTTTGTGGCTGAGTCTGATATCATACGAAGCAGTCCAGGGCTATTGCCGGCTTCTCCTTGCTTGCGCCCGCAGCAGCTCGCAATTCACTGTTTGGCTGTACATCTCTTCTGCCTCCATAACTGGGCAACAAAAGAAGACTGTAATGCTTTGTGGCTGATTCTGAGATCAAGTGAAGCAGTCCCGGGCCATCGTCGGCGTGACCCTGCGCAGGTCGGCGTCGGCATGGATGAGCTCGACCACACGAGCTGCCAGATGGAGGAAGGTGATGTTGTGCCTGGAGGAAGCCTTGTCCTGGAACATGTCCTCGTAAGCAACAGCCCTCCCCCAGAGTTGAATCCCAGTAGGTCGGCCATCCGAACTTAGGCCGGTGGGCACAGCGAGCTTTGGAATGTGGATATGCTTCAGTATTTCGTTTATAGGATAGACGCTCTGCCACATGTCTGATAGCGCCGGCTGACCTTCTTCATCTATGGCTGGCATGGTACCAGCCAAGGCCTGCGCTAAATCGGGGGTTGCATTGTAGGCTGCAGGAACCAAGATGAAATCCAAGTCCTCGGCATCGAAAAGAGAATTGTATCTCTTGACCTCGTCCTTAACGAATGGCCCGATTGCATAGCGATAATCCGTCTCGCTTTTGCAGGGCATGTCTTTGTAAAATTTGGTGGGTTGGTGTGCACCAAAGGGGATCGTGTCTGCGCAAATCTCTTTGAGGCTGACTGGCGCATCCAGGTACTCGTAGACGAACTGGGCGATTTGGCCAGGAAAGGTGTAAAACAGCGATTGAGGAGCATCCTTGTCGGCAGTCAGCGACAGCACTTGCTCAGAATCTGCCAGGGGCCATCCTATGTCCTTGACAGTCAGCGGTTTCAGAGCTGCCCTCACCGCATCGTAGGCCTTGCGCATTGTTCCGTCTAGCTGCCGGCTCTTGCCCTTCACGAAGGGCCACTGAGGGCAGGCAACCCGGATGCTGTGCAAGTCCCGCCCTGCGGCCTCCTTTGCGGCGCTGGCATGGAGCTCCGCAGCATTGTGGCGGTCTTGCATCAGTGCCCGATCGTAGAAAAGGAGATCTGCCATGCTGCGTCCCAGCACTCCAATTTGATCATTCGTGAATGTCATACCGCAATTCCCCTCGTTGGGGTAATGGTTGCGAGCTGGGTCGAAGCCGAAGAGGCCGTTGAACAAGGCTGGGACCCTCGTGGAGCCACCAGTGTCCTCGCTCACAGCAACAGGACACATGTGCATGCTTACTGCTGACCCGGCTCCACCCGAGCTACCGCCAGGAGAGAAAGCATGATTGTAGGGATTGCGGCATTGGCCACTCGCACGGTTCGCTGTGTTCGTGGAGCACGCAAATTCCGGCACGTTGCTGGTACCGAAGATGACGCCATTGCGGTTGTAAATCATATCTGTCAGGGCGCTATTCTTGACCGGGGTGTAGCTGCTCAATATGCCAACCCCACCGCCGGATGGAAAGTCGACAACAGCTGCAGTACCCTTCATTGGGATCGGCAGACCATACAAAGGGCCGATGGCATCAACACCCTTCGACTCCGCAATCCTGTCCAAAGCTTTCGCACGCTCCACAGCAACGCTGAACAAATCGTAGCTCCGGAAGGTCCACTGATTCATGTAGCGGTAGTAACAAGCCCGTCTGACCAGCAAAGTGGCGTACTCCTCGCAGGTGACTCTGCCAGCTGTTCGCTCTTCGCAATATTCCTTTGCAGACAGCCTCAGAAGCTGCTTCTCTCGATCTGTAAGAGGCTGCGGGGTCTTCATAGGCACCGCTCCAAAGACATCTCGGAACCATGCTGACAACTTCTCGCCCTCCCGACAATCAGGAGGAGGAAAGTCAGTGCTCGGGGTGTACTTCAGCCGCTTTGCCTCCATGGCACTTGTAATGGCGTGGCAAGCGTAGTTTGCAAACGGCTGGCCGGTCTTGTATTCCATCTCTCCGACTGAATTCATCCTGCACTTTAGTAGTATCCACTTGGGCTGCCGTACATACGAGATACCCCAGATACATTCTCCTCAAGACTCCAAGTACTTGCTCTTCCTGAAGCATGTCCGAACTCAAACAACGAGTGCTCCGGTTGATGATAGAAATCCTGCATTACCCATAATAAGGAATATGCCATAACTCCCATAGTTTAGGGTCCTCAAGGTAGTGCAGGATTTATATCATCAACAGTCGGAGACTTCGGGTCCCACCGGGTCTGGCAGTTGCAGCTCTCCCGAACCACTCATGACATCACATGGCATGTGCTGATAGTGGTTCACTGGGTTGTAGTTTTGGGGCTCTGAAAAGTATTTATGAATAGGCACCTCTATAGGAACCATAAGGGACATTAAAAAGTCTAGTTCATCTACCTTCCAACAACCGATGCAGAATGACGAACAGCTGGCGAAGTTTTCTGCAAGAAGTACGGGAGTTGGGACATTACTATCACAGCCTTCACCGTTGCCACCAGTAGTTGTTCTTGTGCCTGACCAATGCCGTCCTCATGTAATATTGCGGCCTTAATAATTAGAATAGAGCTTTGGGGCCCATCATACTATACTTACAATACGGAACCCCCCAAATAGAAAGAATTAAGGCCCTTACATTATGTCGCCACCGCTACAGTACAGTAAGCCGAGGCGCGGCGGGCACGCCGGAGAAGCCCTCTTCGGCCCAGCGAGAGGTGGTCAGGAGCAGGGCGCCGCCGTCACTGAGCTCGATCGCTTCCTGACAACATGCTATACTATACTAAAGTATGCTGCTTTTGTATTGTATGATATGATACCATATTCTAGTATAGCATATTACACATTTATCTTTATCGATATGAAAGTAGAGTAAATTATCGTATGATACTTAGACTTGTAGGTGTTTGGCATGACTGCAATACAGTTTCACCGCTGTTGTGGGGAGTTCAATAGCCATGCGGCCTTAGTGCTGCGAAACTCTGTACATGTCTACGCTAATCGCGCTGAAAAGCTGCGGCCAAGATGTACTGCAGCAGCTGCACGTGTTCTGTGACGCAGGGATGGAAGCTTCTCTGTCTGAGGCAAGCAATTTCAACTAAAGCCCTGAGCCCGAAACCCTCGTCTGAGCTATTGGCTATTGCTCCTAATCTTATTATCATCCTTACTACTGTCATTCTTGCTATATTGCGATTTAACATGATTTTCACTGCCATTTATACTGTTGCTATTATTGTTATTATTGATTTACTGTTGATGAAGTGATGGCTAGTATTAGCATTGTGACTATTTGCAATGAAAATGATGATGGTGATGATGGTGGTTACTGTTCTTGCTGTTGTCAGTCTACAAGATATTGTTTTTCGCAACATTCATACAGATATGTTGACCATGCTTATGTGTAACCATGATGCTTCTCATTACTTTATTCAGGCAGGTCCTGCTCTTCGGCTTTTCCGAAGGTTCTCTGTGCAGCCTCATCGCCACAGAAGATGACAGGCACCTTCTCCAAGAGCTCTGGGGCTTAGATTCAGATGGAAGTTTCCGAGAATAGGGGACCCTAATGAGCACCCTAAATAGTAGGATTCATAAGGCCCCCCCCCTCTCCAAAAAAAAAGATACCGGTACCCCTAATTTTCGGACTCCCAGATGTTGATGGAGGTTAAGGAATTGTGGTGTATGCTCTCGGAACTCCGGGTCCGAGCTGCAAGGATGTTGGCAGCATGTAGGGTTTACAGGGCTCAGGGTTCTGGAGTTGAATTCAGGAATGTTGAGGCTTTAGCGTCTTTTGGCATATTTAAATGAGGGTTCAGCAATCAATTGCATAATTTCTGGAGTTCTTTGGCTTAGGTTTTTAGTGTTCATGCTGTCACACTCGGACCCTGCCCCGCCACATGAAGTGTATGGTGCAACGTCAACATCGGCGTGAAGCACGACCGGAAAGCAAGCTTGACTAGGCTCATGGAAGTCATTCGGCTGTCGCAGGCTGTCCTTGTTTTGTCTGTCGGCCCGTGCAAAGGTTACTTTGTTCTCTTGAGTTGCCGGCGGATGGTCGTTTCCTGTCCCATACCGCAGCCGTCAGTCAAAGAGATCTCCAGCCACCAGGGGGCTGAGGAGACCTCGCTGAGACTCGGCACTTGCTGAAGAGTTGGAACTGCATTCGCCTCGAGATGCTCCCAAATGATGGCTGCGATGCTCTCAGGCGTCACTCGGGCACTAGGGACGGGCAAGCAATCCTCTTGTGGGATCGAGAAAGTGGCACCGTCGCTCGTGACGCAGATTTGCCCCTTGGACTCTGTGATCTGAGTGCCACCACTGGCCAGCTTGGGTAAGATGACCTTGTCCGACAGTTTCCTGCAAATGTCGGCCGCGGCTTCGCGCAGAAGGCTTGCATCCACACCAACGGCAGCGGCCAGGCGCACTTTCACTGCCATGCTCTCTGCCAAGAGGCGCAGGCGTCGTCTGTCACGTGAGGCAAGTCGCGTGCAAGAGAACCTCAAGTCCGGCCCTTGCACCAAAACCTCCCAGAGACCCTCTGCAGGCGCAGCTCGCTGTGGCCCCTTGAACCCCGCGTGCTCCCTCTTCGGCTCCATATGGCCCTCCTTCAAGGGGACGACGTCCTCAACTCTGGGGGCCAAGAAGGGCTTCGGAGCGGGAGGCGCAGCCTCCTCGGCCCGCATTGCTTCGCAGGCAACGCAGAGCTCTCGACCATCCCGGGATCTCAACCTTTGTCCCGTTTAGACGACAAGGCGGCTTCAAGGGCTTTTTTCAGGGCAGTTTAGGTTTACCAAAACCAGGAGCTTAATGTGTGCAGATTCTTCCGAGAAACAAGGGCGTCAAGTGTTGAGCGCATGACTCGTTAAGCAGACACCAACCCTGCAGCAGGTGCTTGGCAATGAGGTTCGGATACGCCGCTTCTCCAGCTTCGCTTCGGGCCATGGCTCGAGGCGGAGGCGTCGGCAGAGCAGAACCAACTCACCCCTTCTGCTGGGAGCTCCTGCTTCTAAAATAAACATAACAGTCAGACGATACATACTTCTTGGACTCGATTACGCCCTCATCCTAGAACGTCTTGACCCTTCTGACATGGTTTTTGATACTCGCGCTTGACAAGTCAGACAAGGTTTGGGGATCACTGACAAGTGACTCTCGAGCTCATTGGCTCGCAACCAACAGTAACCTGGACTGCCGACATGGTTACTGAGGAAAGCTTCCGAGGGAAGCACAGCCTTCTGTGACAGATGTGCTGTGGCTAATACCTAGCTGTATAGGCTGAAAGCTCATGTCATTGCTGGCTAGAAAGGTTGGCGTAATGCCATGTCACGGTCGTCTGCACTCTGCTCCCCTTTAAAGCGCCACTGATGTGTACTTAGTGGGTTTGTGTACTTGGTACATGTATCACACTGGAAGTCGGATATCACCGTTCCGAAGCGTGGCCGCAAACTGATACACCTTCTCCGAAATACCCGGTATCTCAGAACCCCCCTCCCCCGAAGACTCCTTTTGAAAAACCCCTAAATAAACATACTTAAAAGCATTGGCCCGACCTTTGCCCGCCGGAGTTCCACGGCCATTAGCTCGGAGGCAGAGGCACTCTTGGAGTTCACCAGCACAGCTGCGGCCTCACGCGTCTTCTCCCCTTGCTTAGGGCTTAGGGCTTCTATGCGGACGCACCACCTCTCATTAACAGTCTTATTTATGTTATTCCTATTCCCGGTGACGACTACCGGCAAACACCAACCATCAACACGACAGACTATGAGGGAAACATTGCGACCTGGGCACACGACCAACTGCCAATGTCAACAATCTACAACTACCCTTCAGCTGACTCTCAGCTGGTTGCGATGGACCTACCCACCAGAGCTGCGTGTATCGAGATCTCAGCTCATGTAGGTATATGTCCAGTCGGAATGTGGCAAACAGCCGGAGCACACTAGTAATCACGGGGTACATTCGCCTGATGCATCAGATGATGAGACTATTCCAGATTGCTTGTCATGTGCTCCAATGCTGGCTCTGTTTGCCAGCCCACGCGAAAGTGTTGCAACTGCTGACTTCTTCTGAGTAGAAGCTGGTACGGCAAGCAACTGCCGCCCTTGAAAGCCTTGAGGTGTCGGCGTGAATATGTCGGATTCCTGTTCACGTGATTCTAAAGGGGTTTTCGCGTGCCTTCGGCAATCATGTCCTGCTTCTTCGTCTTCAAGGGCTTGCAAATAGCGAATCTATTTTCCTATTGACATGCTGGGGCATCGCTGTCCTGCCCGCCTCTATGTTCTTCTGTGCCAGCTGCTGCTGAAGCTCTGACGTCGCTCGCTGTGCATCACTCAAGCGGCCGCCACCTCCAGTCAGAACAAGTTGGAGAAGGTGCAACAACACTGCTTAAAAGACTCATTCACAAATCTTAATTAAGATCAGATACGGTTGTCGCGCAAATCCAAGATGAGGTAGCGGAGCTGCTGCCTTCCCACAATTCGAGCACAGGCCTACTCTTCAGGTAGACTGTCACTGCGGACAGTCGCAAACTTGCGACAGCACCTCTACGTCTTCCGATCATCTTTCGTAATGTGCAACCACAACATCTGGCCTGACCGCATCATACAGAGCTCCACGAAAGGGCTTCACCACATCCGGCCCATTGAAGCTAATGACGCGGATATAGCCTGGAAGAGAGAGAAGGAGCGAGAGAGAGAGAGCGAGAGAGAGAGAGCGAGAGAGAGAGAGAGAGAGAGAGAGAGAGAGAGCGAGAGCGAGAGCGAGAGCGAGAGAGAGACAGACCGACAGACTGACTGACAGACAAACAGACGGACGGAATCGGACGGACGGACCGACGGACCATACATACATGCATATATACATTTATATAGACATATAGTATGACATAATAAATATGCACATACATGAGTCCATTTGTGGCACTCGCGCTCGACTGGGTCAGGCGGGGCGTCCCACGTCCCGTAGCAGAATGCTCATCACGAGCAGGGCTTCATTGAGCCCGTGCCAACATACATACATACATACATACATGCATACCTACGTACGTACGTAGATACTATGTACATATATATATATATATATATATATATATTTATTTATTTATTTATTTATATTTATATTTATATCTATATTTATTTGATATGAATGAGAGAGAGAGAGAGAGAGAGAGAGAGAGAGAGAGAGAGAGAGAGAGAGAGAGAGACAGAGAGAGATAGCTGACTAGCTAGATAAATAGATAGACTCGAATGAATGAAAGTACGTGTGTGTGTGTGTGCATGTGTATGCGCGGGTGCATGTATGTACGTCTGCTCGTGTGTGTATATGTATGTATGATGTATATGTATATATGTATGCAGTTAAACATGAAGGTAGATATGGCGGTAGAGACAGATACAGGTATACAAGTATAAAGATATATGTATATATACAACACAGATGTCGGAAAGGAACCGGTATATACGTATACGTAAAAAGATGTATATGCACACGGGTACACCAGTATGCACACCCAGAAAAGACAATGGCCGGATGCAACTGAGGCACCCACGCCTGTAAATGGAACGCGAAATTCTACAGGCTGGACTCGCATAGGTTGTCGTTGCAAAGTTAGCGAGTAATCCTCATCCTCGGCAACACGACCCTACTGACTTACACAGATGACAGCTACGACACCGCAAATGAATGCCGAAACCGAAGCGAGGGGCTGCCATGGCTGATCCTTTCACAGAGGCCCGGCGCTGGAACCTCACGTTGGCCCAGGTACCGGGTCGGCCAGGGATCCAGCGGGCAGCATCTGCTGGCACACGCACGGACTGCCCGTCAACTTCAACCAAACGGTCGCCGACCTCGACACCTGCATCTGCGGCTGAGCTCCCAGGAACCACGGCCACAACTTCTGGAGATCCACCTCTTCCGCGAGTGGTGTCTTGTGCAAAAGCCACACCAATGCCGGCAACATCGCCTCCTTCGGCAACCTCTGTCATCTCAGTCCACTCCTCGGAAGGGTAATACTGGGCATAGGGATCTCCAAGCTTCTCCAGCAGACGATCAGCAGCATCGATGAGCCGTTTGGATGTATGCTCACGACCATCCCAAGTAGGATTCACACCGAAGTTGCTCAGGAGCGTATCGCCCAGCCACTGGAATCCATCTTCCCAGCGGGTGGCTCTAAGATCTTTCAACCCTTCCAGCAGAGTCTCCGCCCACTTATCTCGACCACCGGCTTTGGCGAGCTCAGCATCCAGCCCATACATACACGCTGCAGTCCTCAGGGGCTCAGGACATCTTGCACACCCTCGCCAAACTGCTCAGCTGCCCCGGCAACACACCCTACGAGTATGACCTATGATGCAGGCACTGTGGCTCAAAGCATCTCGCAATGCTTAACCGACGGCTGGGGACTGCTTGTTTCACAGACACCCAATGTCACCGAAATCTGCACTCTTGTCGGCAATGGTTGCCTTTTGCAACCGAACCAAGCGACGGAGGACGTCGAGGCTTGAATTTGCGTCGGCCATCTTGGCGAGACTCTCTAACACCGGACCATGCCTGGCTTTGAAAGTTTGAAAGCCGGCAGAGAGCTCGGTCAGTATGAGCAAACGCTGGCCGGACTCGTCTAGACCAGCAATCACATCCTCAGCGTCAAGCTGTGAAAAGTCAACGCCTGCCTTGGACAAAGCTGCCACTAGGCTTTCCCAGCCGACAGCCGCGCCCGCAGGCAGGGAGGTCGACCCGGGTGAGAATTCTAGAAGCACCTGGCTCAAGTCGACCGAAGCGGCGAAGCAGGCCCTGAACAAATCTTCGGCATGTCGTCGCAGAAGCCCCCGCGAGCGGCGCAGCATTGTGAGGAAGGCTCGGTAAGAGGGCTTCTGATCCCTAGCAGCCAGGAAGGAACCGGCCAGGATCTCAGCAACGTGGCGCGGCACCCTCATGGAATTCAGGACCCGAACCAGGCCCGCAAGATCTGCCTGAGCATCCATTCCCCTCTCATGTGCAGAAACGGACAACTCAGAGTCTGAAAAGCCGGCCGAGGAAAGACCGCAACTGTAGATGGCCGCTCTGACCTCAGATCGGAACTCGGACACCTGGGCCAGGTCTTCTGGCCGTTGCCGATCGAGATGGCCACAGAACCTCCTGAAGTCTGCGTAGGTGATAACTCCCCGATCCGTGGGATCGCAGAGCACCAAAGCGTCGCTGACGAACTTGGCCAGAACAGAGGGCCATGCCTTCATCTGGCACACCACGTCCTTGCTGACATGCCCCTTCGCAGCGACATCTAGGCAAGCGAAGAGGACATAACTTGGCAAGTCCAACCTGCTTAGCTCGCTGACTCCGGACTCGCCATGGACAGCAGCTGCGGGCACCGCATGCGGGAAGGAGCGCCGTCGCCATGAGTCGTGACTCTGAAATAAAGCATGTGAGTCCAGCAGACCGGAAGTGGCCCATCTCCGGGCGACCTCCAGCACATCAGCGTTAGCAATCGCAATGCCTGCACCTCGCACCGTGGCGAGGAACTGGTCCAATCGCAGGAAACGCCCCCCTTCGCCTGCACAATGAAAAGCTGCAGCCGAAACCCTATCAATATGTCAAGTAAGGCTTCAAAGACCCCTTCGGCGTGACGGAGCATCTGGAGGATCCCGAAATTTTGTAAAGTCTTATTCAGCAACTAGAAGTGGGCAGTTTAGCAAAGATATCCAAGCAGCAGCAAACCCTGGCCGAGCCACCGAGCATTGCGCAGGACTCCTTCAGCCGACTTTGCAGTTCTTTGGGCCCCAGCTTGGCAGACAGAAGCGCAGCAAAGAACTCCTGGGTTCTTGTGAGGGATTTTGGTTCAAGTTGCCACGTTAACTCACAACGGAAGCGCGGCATAGAAAATCTTGCGTATCTACATCTGCCGATATATCTACACATCTGTCTGAATCTACGTATCTACCTATCTACTGATCCCGATTATGGCAACTTCAAGTTTTCCTTTACAGTAGAAGCCAGAAAGTTGGAATATGATTATCCTAAACCCTTTATGGTAAATTATAGGGGATCCTACCATTAAGCCATATTATCCAACTTTCTGGAGTTCCCTTTAAGAAGAGACCAGACTCCTCCTCGCGGTGCCTGGCGTGGTCCCTTGGATTTGCTTTCGGTGTGATATATCTCAGAAAGCTTTACTATGTTGGATTTCGGCGCTCACACTCGGACAATCCAGGCGAGGCATATAGTTCAGAGTCTGATGTTGGATTTGGGGTGCTGGGTTTCCGTGTAGGGAAAGGCTGTTTAGTCGGACACTCCAGGCACAAGAAAAAATCACGAGCACTAGGCTCAAGTTGGCTCCTACCGCAGTATCTGCAGTCCTAGCTTTGACCTCGCATGCTAACTTAGGAAACTCCGACAGAAAACGAAGCTACTCGCCTTCGGCTTCTGAGTCTCAAGGTCCGAGCATCGGGTCCGGGGACAAGTCGCTGAGAGCCATTGCTTCCTGGATCTTCGCCTCGCGGACACGAAGCTCGGAATTCTCCAGCTGTGCCAGGCTTCTTAAAGCCGCAACTGCTGGTGATGCAGAAGTCGGGAGGCGCAGTGTCTGCCAGGCCTTCACGACTTCAAGGACTCCGGTTGTGTCAGTTTCCAGTATGCCAGCGAGGACGGCTTCTTCGGAACCATCGGAACACCACAAGGACGGCTGCCTTCTCGAGACTTCTTTGGCCACCGTGTCCAGGCAGCTGCAGGCTTCGAGGAGGCGAAGTTCACCGGCCGTGAGTAAACAGAAGAAAGCAGAGAGCAGCTGCCTGGCCGCCGGCAGCGAGGGCGCTCGGAAGGGTTCATCCTGTCTCCTTTTAATCCTAGCAGCCTCCATCGTTTCGTCTGGCCTCGGCCCTCTCGGCTCGGCTTTGCGCAGTGTCTCAGCTCTGCGCGCTACCAGCTTGGCCACTGGCCTTGCTGGCAGAATCCCAGCCGAGCTTGGGTCCAGCAGGCGCAGCAGCTCCTCCATCAAGCCCCAGCGTGGACCCCTGGAAGCATGCTGCGCGAGGGCGGCAGCAAACTCTCCATGACGAAGGCTCGCTTCCAGGCCCAAGGCTGCCAACTGCTCAGCGAGCGCAGCGAGCTTCCCCAAAGCATCACAGCCCGCCTCCGCCAGCTCCTGCTGAAGCAGATCAAGTGCAGCTTCAACGCGAGCAGACAACTCCAACACAACGCCTTTCCACAAGTCGGTGCTTACCATCCGCTGCCCGCACTTGGCTTTGCTGGCCAGCAGTACTGCATGCTTGGGTGTCAAACCTTCCACGGTTCGCATCAGAGCCTCACACAGTTCGTCGAGCTCAAGAGAGCCAAGAGGGCTTCGCGCACTTCCAGGCTTTTGATGCTGCCTGCGGGCTTCGGCCAAAACATCGTCTGCCGATATGCCAGCGGCGACCAGCCAAAGACACGAAGAAGTCTCGTCCCGAGCAGTGCCAGGCAAAGCCTGATCGAAGGAGCCCCGCAGAGTTCTTGCAGCTTCCGGGTCTTCGGTCGCCCCGATCGCCTCAAGAGGGCCTTGGGACACTTGCGGCGGGGGTCTTGCCTCGACCCTTGAAGGCATGCTCGGAGAGTAGGGCGGCTGGGCCTTCAGTGCCCGGGCTGGCCCAGCATGGAGAGCAAGCTTCATGCGCCCAATGACGCGGCCAGAGGAGACCGAGCGGACATCCACGTCTTGGCACAGCAGGAAGATTGGGGGCCCAAGCCCGCTGGGCTCCTGGGGAAGGCCCGTGGCCGGCAAAGGCAGCGCCGAAAGACCGAAGAGTTGCTTTCCTTGCCAGAAGTGAAAATGCATGGAGCTCAGCCTTGGAGCATCGACCCTCCCGTCTCGCAGCTGCCACACTGGCGTGGAGGAAACATCCGCTGAACCCAACAGGTAGCTGAAAGAATCTGAGTCCTCTTCCTGCAAAGAGGCTGCCACGCTTACTTCATCTGCAGGGCCAAAGCGGAAGGCCACATGCAAGTCACCTGCTGACGCAGCATCCAAGGCTGAACGCTGCAACCGAAGTCCGCACAAATGTACTTGTAAATGCGCACCAACCACGGAAGGCTCCGCTTGTCCGGCCTTCTCTGCATCATGCCGCACATCACGCACGACCGCTCGAGTGCGTTCCTCTGTGAGCCTGGCTTGCCACTCGTGCTGCTCGAAGGAGCGTATTGCCTCGGCTTTTGGGCGCAGCTCGGCATCTTCAGCCCAGTCGGTGCGAAGGCAAACCCGAAGCTGGCCAACCATCACGCGATCTGAATGGCTCCGCACCACTGGGAAGAAGCCCTCCACCCGCAGTGCATAGTCGACATCCGGTCCGCGCAGCCAAGGTTGCAGGTCAATCTCACTTAGGCCGACCGAATCACCACTCATGCCCCCCGAAGTCGTGATGCCATACAGGCGGATGCAGAGAGTTTTCATGTCCTGCAAGTATGCCGTGAAGCTCTTGGGGGAAGCATGGATAGGGAACTCGACTGTCCGGAAGCCACTTTGCTCGCGTCCAGCACGGGCTGGGTGGCTCCACAACTCGAGCGGCGGCATGGCTCCGGGCTGGTCTGGATCTTGTCCCCACCAGTCCAACACACCGACGAGCTCAGTGGGGATTTCTGCCGGCCTCTCTGGCAAGAACTCATAAAGCTGGACCTGGAGAGCCTGGGCACTGGACACCACCAAAGCCTTTCAACAAGCGCTACCTGCTAGGCTTTGGCGAGACATACATACTTGCACACGGCGCATACATACGCAAACAAAGACATGCCTGCATGCGTGCAGACGTAAGTACGCAAATGAAATCAGGCTTGCATACGTGCATAAGTGCATGCAGGATTCACGCAAGCATACTCTACATGCAGAAATACTTGCACACATGCACTTATTGCTCATCGTTATTGCTTCGCTCTTCTGTAGTCGCGTACCTATGTTGCTATGAACCTGCATGCATGCAGACGCACCTTTTCGCTTTTGACTGCACGCATGTCCATTGTGTAACATGTACTTGCCGTGTAATCACAGAACTTGTAATCACAAGCCCCCCTCGCAAAGAGAAAGAATCCCATTCCGGACCGAGCGACTCCCTGCAAGGTGCCCGGCACATGAGGAGGGAGACTCGGCCAGCTCCCGCGCATCCCATGGGAAGGTGCGTTTGGCTGTATGCGATGTTGAAGACCTATTTGATGTTTGAGAAATTTCAAGTTTTCCAGGGCTCAACGGGTTTGGTTTAGTCTTAAAGCCCGGTGGACGAGGAATATCTCTCCCGTAAGATTGAACTTGCAATGATCCTGGCGAGGCTTCATCCTCCAGATGCATATGTCTCTTGCTGCGGTTAAACATGTGATGGGGAAATCGAGGCACATGAAGAGCGAGCAGCTCAAGCCTAACGACTTCAACGTGTGGTTTAGATCTTGGTGTGAAAATCCCTACAGCCCTACACTCCTAAAACTCCTACTTGTAAAAGTTCTTGGCTCGAGACTCGAGAGCCCCTACTATCACCCTTGCAGCAGCCACCATGCTCTTTCCCCAGCCGGTCCAGATCTGCAGGAGAACTTGCCTCGCAAGTAGACAGCCACGGCTTAGGACCAAGTCGTGCGGAAGGAGGTCGGTGAACAAAGGCAGTTAGTACTATAGTTTATAATCGTATGCAAATGACGACCGGTGCAGAAATCAAGCAAGCTGCTCTTCATCGGGCAGGTCTGCTTGATTTCGAGGTGACCCCGGCGCTTCGGCAACCACACGCTGAACCGTCTGTTTCACCTTACTTCCGCACTCTCAGGCTGTGAGCATCGGAAGGACATACTATTTTGAGGGTTCCTTACTATAAATAAAGTATACTGAGCCCCAAGACACTATTCTAACTTTGAAGGCCCCTACAGTACCCGACTGCTCGCTGCTTGAGCCTGACTGAGGCTTGGGCAAACTCGGCATTGTTTCGCGGCCGCAGAGTCCAGGCAGCCTTTGGCCGGAAGACACGGGTATTGTAGGGGCCTTCATAATTAGAATAGCGTCTTGGGGCTCATTATAGTATATTTATAGTAAGGAACCCCCAACATAGTATTGGTAATTATTCAAGCCCCTATATTACCTCCCTGACACTTGCCACAATGTGGGTTGCCACAGTCGCCAAGACACTGCGGATCGGCAGCAAGTTGTGGCTGCTACAGCTCCTCGCTGCTTCGGAAGGCTTGAGTTCAATCCGCCCACTACGCACCAAGCAACACACAGCCCCCGCCCCTCGGTGACAGCATCACTTTTTGGCCAAACTGCACAAGATTGCACAAGATCAAAGTGAAGTCCGGGAGCTGCAGAGCCGCCTTAATTATTCCCGGCAATGCCAAAGACAGCGCGAGACCAAGAGGAAAAGGCGGACCTTGTCACAGGCCTGGAGGCCTCGAAGATGCGAAATTGATGCCTTGCGAGCTGAGGGAGACCAGCACTCCCCCTACTGCGGGCTAATCCTATGCTAATCTGGCGTGCAAATACGACTGTCGAATTTCTGCACTTATTTGCGGGACCATTTCCAAATAAGCCAGTCGTTGCATCCAATCTGAAAAGACGGCCGGAGCTCATCAAAGGCAAGGTACCCGACAGCTTTCAATGCACAGGCACAGAAGCTGATGCATCCGACGGTGAACACCAGGGCGACGGTGATCTTCTCTGAGCGCTTGACAGGGTTGTCCAGCCCACACTCTATGTTTTCCGCTGCTCGTCGGTGGAGGACCTTCCAGTAGAGGACCGCTGGATAGATCTGGGTCACCCATGGCGTGGTCAGAGCTGTGACGAAATCCAACAATGTGTTGATGCTGGGGGTGAAAGTGCTCAGAAGCAATGCGGACAAGAAGGTGGGCAACGAATAACCCAAGTATCTCAGAATATCTGGCATTGTCCAAGTATCCTTGAAGTTTGGCGCCCAGCTTCTCTGGCAGAACCGACTGAGTGGAACTGAGTCCAGCATGTACGACACAAAATTGCCACCCAATTGAAAGGCATTGAAGAGAGTATTGATCACGTCTCCCTTCACGAATGCGCCAACACCCGTAGTGATGGCGATGACTTCGCCGACATTGTAACCCCAGCGAGCCACGACCGTAGTGCCAACAATCCTTACAATGCTTTTGTTCCATGACTGGATGAGACCAATAATTAATGTAATAATCATATAACAGTAATAGTAGTAAAGTAGTAATCGCAATAATAGTAATAAGCTCGTGGCATGCCACACATGACTCTCAAGTGCACCCGAGACGCACGAAGAGTATCACGTTGAGGCTTCCGGCCAACAGCAGAGATTTTTTGAAGTCGGCCGGGTTTCGCATGCAAGTGCTGAGTTCGACGGTGAGGAAAGCGGGAATGAATGCCCAAGCACCGATCGTAAAGCCACTGGCAAGACGTATGAGCCTCAAGCCCGCGTTCGGCTCTGGATTACCAAACCACTGTGCGGGGACTTTGGGAGTGTGCTCATACTGAAAGGCACCGATCACCATTGTGATGACCATGCCAACGACACAAAGAAATGAAATCACGGTAAAGCCCTGAACGTTGTTGAAGCTCCTGACTTGCGTAGTCAGCAAGCAGATGCCGGCAATCACCCACACGTAGTAATCAATGCAGTTACCAAGTGGACCAAGCGTGCCAATGGAATACAATGACAATGCACAGAATCGAAGAGCGCATGGCATGAAAAGGCAGAAATTCCCGAGCTGGATCACGTTGCCCCACATCTGCGCGGGCCTGCCGATCACTTCCAAACCAAGATCTCCGAAGGTCTTGCCTGGGCCACTTGCGGTCACTTCTGTACTTCTTAGCTATTAGGTTCATGTACGGAAATGCTACGTCTAACATGGGCCAAACGACAGTGCGGGTACAGCAGCTTCATCTCCAGGAGCATGTTGGCTCCGGCAACTGAAGCCGACGTGAGGATTATGCATAGAGCCATACCGCCGGCGTAGCCGGCGTTTGCAATGGCGAAGGGCACGGCCATCACAGCAGAAGGTGCTGCGAACGTAAACACTGTGATGCCGGCCTGTTTCCACCCCATGTGGCCTTCATCTTGCTGCACGAGAGGAGCAGTTTGTGCCTCACTCTGGTCCATGGCTGCTACGAGACGCCCTGGCCGAGCTGTGGTCTCTAGCTCCACTCTGTGCAAGCGCGAAGGGCTTGCCGGGCCCCAAGAAAACGAGCCGCACGTTGCGCAAACAACAACTGCTTGACCTGTAGTGAGCTAATTACCCATGAGCTTTGACATCATGAACGGTTCAAATGCGAGATAACCTACAGCAATAAGAGGGTGAGAACAAACAACATGCATTTCCGCACTCACACAGTGTCGGCGTGACCTTGCAGCCAGGGCCATGCTGAACCTTGTCGTTGTAGCAGAAACAGGGAACACCAGCACCAGGCATCAGAAGCATGCAGCAGTAGTAGCGGCACTGGTGGCAGTAGGAGCAATGTGAGTTGTAGGAGTCGGAGTAGGAGGAGTAGGGGGAGTAAGCAGGAGTAGTAGTAGTAGTAGTAGTAGTAGTAGTAGCAGTAGTAGTAGTAGTAGGAGCAGGACTAGCTGTAGGAGTCAAACGAATAGGAGTAGGAGGAGGAGCAGGAGTGGGAGGAGTATGGGAAGGAGGAGAAGGAGAAGTAGCAGTGGCAGTGGCAGTGGCAGTAGTAGTCGTCGTCGTCGTAGCAGTAGCAGTAATCGCAGCAGGAGCAGTAGTAGTCGTCGTCGTGGTGGTAGTAGTGGTAGAAGTGGCAGTAGCGGTCGCAGTAGAAGCAGCGTAGCCGCAGTAGCAGAAGTAGTAGTCGTCGTCGTCGCCGTAGTAATCGCAGCAGTAGCAGCAGGAGTAGCAGTCGTCGTCGTGGTGGTAGCACTTGTCGTAGCAGTCGTAGTATCGTAGTAGCAGCAGGAGTAACAGTGACAGTAGCCGTAAGAGACATTGATAGTCGTAGTAGTCGTCGTCGTTGTCGTAGTAATCGCAGCAGTAATAGCAGTGGTAGTCGTCGTCGTGGTGGTAGTCGTGGTGTTGGCGGCAGTAGCAGTCGTTGTAGCAGCAGGAGAAACAGTGGCAGTAACAGGAGGAGACATTCATAGTCGTAGCAGTCGTAGTCTTTGTAGTAAGTGGCGGTATCAGTGGCAGCAGAAGGAGTCGGAGTGGTTGTAGTCGATGGTAGCGGATGCGGAAGTCGACGACGACTATAGCAGCGGCACCAGCACTCCGACCCCCGCTGTGTACGAGCTCATCAAAATTGCTGCAGTGTTTCTGCTGGTCCCAGACATGACATTACTATCACCGACCTCATCCTCATCACCTCGCCGTGAGCTCATCGTGACGAAGATGGCCAAAATAAGCGTCGGGGTCAACTCGAAAACTGCTACCACCTCCACCAAAACAATCACCAGCAGCCCCACCATCCTGCCCATTCGCACCGGCTCTGCCATCAAACCCCACCAGTACCTCCATCGCTATTACTGAAGCGGCCCACTCATCATGCTCGAGCATCCCACGACAAGGCCCAACACCGGTCTTGCTCTCTGCGGTCATCATTGTACCCCTGGTCACACTTGCACACGAAGCACCCACCACGGCCTCAACATCAGCGTCAACGTCATCAACAACCACATCTTGCTCACCATCAGCAGTAGAACATCGTCATCACCAGCGTTGGCCTCGGCATCATCCTACCACTGGGAGAACCACAGCTCATGTCGACCTGATGACTGTCTGTGGAATCCCCTGCCCAGAAGCACTTTCTGGGCCAACCTGCTCAAGTCCTTCGACAAGCTATGTCGAGGAGATGCCTCATCGCCTTAATTATCTCAGCATTGCCAAGTACAATTCCCGAGACCAAGAGAAAAAGGCGACCTTGCCGGCATAGGCCAAAGGCCTCAAGATCGACACCTAGCTTGGGCCAAGTGATGCTTGCCTTCTGAGCTCAGGGCCTCGACTCATTCTGGCATGCACTTCTATGACTACTATATGACTGCACAATGTCCACGCTTATTTGCGGGACCATTTCCAAATAAGCCAGTCGTTACATCCGATCTGAAACGACGGCCGGAGTTCGTCAAAGGCAAGGTATCCGACAGCTTTCAATGCACAGGCACAGAAGCTGATCCATCCGACGGTGAACACCAGAGCGACGGTGATCTTCTCTGAGCGCTTGACAGGGTTGTCCAGCCCACACTCTATGTTGTCTGCCGCTCGTCGGTGGAGGACCTTCCAGTAGAGGACTGCTGGATAGATCTGGGTCACCCAGGGAGTGGTCAGAGCTGTGACGAAGTCCAGCAACGTGTTGATATTGGGGGTGAAAGTGCTCAGAAATAATGCCGACAAGAACGTGGGCAAGGAGTAACCAAAGAATCTGACAATGTCCGGCATTGTCCAAGTATCCTTGAAGTTTGGCGCCCAGCTTCTCTGGCAGAACCGACTGAGTGGAACCGAGTCCAGCATGTACGACACAAAATTGCCGCCCAGTTGAAAGGCATTGAAGAGAGTGTTGATCACGTCTCCCTTCACGAATGCACCAACGCCCGTGGTGATGGCGATGACTTCGCCGACATTGTAACCCCAGCGAGCCACGACCGTAGTGCCAACGGTCCTTAAAGTGCTTTCGGCGATGATTGGATGTGACTGCTCCTGCTCCATCCAGCCCCTGGACATGCCACACATGACTCTGAAGTGCATCCGAGCAGCGCGAAGAGTAACACGTTGAGGCTCCCGGCCATCAGCAGGGATTTTTTGAAGTCGGCCGGGTTTCGCATGCAAGTGCTGAGTTCGACGGTGAGGAAAGCAGGAATGAATGCCCAAGCACCGATCGTGAAGCCGCCGGCAAGCCGTATGAGCCTCAAGCCCGGACTAGGCTCTGGGTTACCAAACCACTGTGCGGGGATTCTGGGAGTGTGCTCATACTGGAAGGCACCGATCACCATTGTGATGACCATGCCGATGACACACATGAAAGAGATCACCGTGAAGTGCTGGACGTTGTCAAAGCTCCTGACTTGTGTAGTCAGCAAGCAGATGCCTGCGATTATCCAAACGTAGTAATCGATGCAGCTGCCCAGCGGACCCAGGGTGCCGATGGAATACAAGGACAGGCCGCAGAATCGAAGAGCACACGGCATGAAAAGGCAGAAATTTCCAAGCTGGATCAGGTTGCCCCACACTTGTGCGGGCCTTCCAATTACTTCCAAGCCAAGATCTCCAAACGTCTTGCCTGGTCATTGCCGCACTTCTGGCATTGGCCTAGTGAAACATGCCTACAGAAATCTACGTCCGTCCAACCGCGACCAAGCGACAGTGCGGGTAGAGCAGTTTCATCTCCAGCAGCATGTTGGCCGCAGCAACCGAAGCCGACGTAAGGATTATGCATAGAATCATGCCGCCGGCGTAGCCGGCGCTTGAAATGGCGAAGGGCACGGCCATCACAGCAGACGGTGCTGCGAATGTAAACACTGTGATGCCGGCCTGTTTCCACCCCATGTGGCCTTCATCTTGCTGCACGAGAGGAGCAGTTTGTGCCTCACTCTGGTCCATGGCTGCTACGAGACGCCCTGGCCGAGCTGTGGTCTCTAACTCCACTCTGTGCAAGCGCGAAGGGCTTGCCGGGCCCCAAAGCAAAGCAAGCCGCACGCTGCAAACAGCAAGATTACTGACTGTGATGAAAGTAACAAGACTTTGAGCATTGACGCAGGCCAGCCGTCCTTGGATGAGATGACGACGGCCACTCGCGTAGTTCGAGACATCGACCGTTTCTGACGAAGCCCTGGAGGTGAAGGCCTGCGCGCGTAGACCGTGCCAGCAAAGCGGAAGTAAGGGTAAAACTAAGCCGACCCTCAACTTTCAGCCTTATGGCGTAGTACTGAGGGTGATTGACGACTGTGAGTGGCGAAATATACAGGAATCCGTGCCTGGAAGGGTATCGGCGGGGCCACCAGCACCGCACAACTGAGTGCCTCGTACTATGCTTCGGCAAATGGGAGTTTCCGAAATTTGGTGCCCCTAATATAGTACTCAAAATAGTAGAATCCTTACTATAAGGGATCCCCCAAATAAGGTACCCCTATTTTCGGAAACTCCGAAATCATGGTGGATGCATCATGCCCGGGGTTGATCCCGTGCTAAGCAACTGCCTTGAGGATCATTGATGTATGCTTGGTTAATGCGTTTTTCGACATTTTGGACTTATGGCTCTGTTTGTTTTCCTGTGTGTTTGTGTATGTGTATATGCATATACATTTTTGTATGTATGTATGTATGGGGGACAGTATGTTTGGATATATGATGCCAAGACAGGATGCCTACACTCAAATATTGGGTCTTGCGTTGAAGTTGACTAGGTTATGCTTTTCACCTGATTGTTTAATGTACTTTGGTGGGTATGCTTTATTTGTTATGCTGAGTGAATACATACATTGCACACACACACACACACACACACACACACACGCACGCATTCAACAACTTAGGCCACAATTTTTGACAGTGCTGCAGACACCCACTCCTGAGCATTGAGCCCGTGACGAGCAGGCTCACGCCGTGGAGTGAGAGCCGTGGCATTGTCGCGCGCCCATGAGGCGGACGGAACAAAGCACAGAAGCAATTTGTCTTTAGGAGGTCGATTCAGGTAGATCAAGCTTACCTCATAGAAATTACCATGTACAGTGCCGCCTTGCAGTTGCATCCTGAACAGCTTCCGGAAACTAGGCCTAGGCGCCCCACGGCTCTTGTACAGGCCCATGAAGGTTTCTGCATGAAGAGCATGAGGTGATGCGAAAGCACAAGCCGCATCAAAAAGTGTTTCTTGTTTCTTTCTTGGATAAGCACATCATGCCTGGGCACAGGCAATTGGAAACCGAGTGAGACATGATCGAATCAATCCTACGAGGCAGCCCAGACACTGAGTCTGAGCTGCAGGCAGCGCTTTCGCAGCCCTGAGGGCTTCCGGAAACTGCTGCGTAGGTTGAAAATAAGCTGCTAAGAACAGGTCTTAAAGCCCTGAAGCCTCAACGGAAACAGGCTTCAGGCTCGGTTGCTCCGACTGTGAGGCCGTTAAGCACCGGGAATAAGATCAGTCTTGAAGGTTGCTAAGGGCTGTGTTTTTATACGATTGCTATCTTATTTATGCTGGCAGTCAATAGTCATCGTGGTAAAAGGCAGCGATGCTCACTTCCAGAAAAGGCCCAGCTGGTGAACCTTGTCCGTGAGAACCTTCGTTAAAGGCCGGCTCGTTCGCAAAAGGCCAATCACTGACTCGACAGGCTTGATGACAAACAGACATGTGTGCATCTGCATGGTCTATGAACATGCGCATTGCATACAGCTATTCGCGTTCCTTTCAATTAGTCGATGCCTGGTCGTACTCCGGAAGTGTACGTGCATCTTAGTTGCACGTGCGTGCTGCATGTGCCTACATATATTATATCTACCACTGCATAAACAACTTGATACGTGCCCCGCAAGTCATTCAGGTTAACCTAGTCAGCTCGGACATGTGAAGCAATGGTTTACGCTTGTAGCTAAGTGGCCGGGTAGAGCGCTTCGGTACTTTCCGTCAACACCTGAGCAAGATGAAAGCCCTTTCTGCAGAGCGCATCCTATGGTCTCATGCCATCCGCGAGCTACGGCGGCTGCAAGGGTTATACCCCTAAACCCTTCTTGTTACTCCCCTAAATCCTAAACCCTTTTTTGCAACAAACTTTCCACTTCGCCCCCGAAACCCTAGCAAAACCCTAAACCCCTAAAACCTCTAAACCCCCCCCAAGTCCAAGGCGCCATGAGGAACTCCGAGGCCGCTTCCTCCTCGCCGTGGCTCCCGAGGTCACTCCGGAGCCGATCCTCAGCTCCGAAGGGTCGGACGGCTCCAGGGTGTTGGTTTTAGGGAGGTAGGGTATGGTATGGTCTTGTGGTAGCGTATGGTAGCGTCTGGGTAGCGTAGGGTAGGATTGAGCCTTGAGGCTTGAGGGCTTTTGGCGCCTCTAAGGTTTTGACTGTTTAAGTAAGTTAGGATGTTTGAGGGTTTAGTAGGGTTTGAGGGTATAAGGCTTGCGGAATCAGCGTTTTAGGGCTAAGCGATGTTCAGGGCCTCGGGTTTGAGCCGTAACGGCTCACGAAGTTTGGACACTTTCGGAGTTTGTAGGGATGGCTGAAGGATTTGAAGCGTTTTGGGTTTGAGTTTAAGGATTGGTCTTGGGAGAACAAAAACACTATGCTGCGCAATCAATCTTGCAGGCTAAGCCAAGCAGCTGTAACAACGACGACAGCAGAATTCGCATCTGCACGCAATCCTGCGCAGCCTGCACCACCTGCCTGGCCCGTAACTCGAAGGAGGGACACCCACCTGAGATGGGCAAGTGCTGCACTGTGTGCCATCCAAAATTTTGTCCCAACTCCCTGCAGTCAGATTCCTAAGTGACATGCCAAAACCGTAGCCGTAGCCGCTAACCCAATGCACCATTCTCAAACATAGCAGCAACGGTGCAAAGGCATGGAGCGTCGAAGTGCGATGTACGCCCGTCCGGCCAGGAGGAAACATCGGTCCAGCAAGGTACCTTAAGGCCAAGCAGAAGCTCAGCAAGTGAGGCAGGAGATTGCAAGAAGACACATCAGCAGAACACCCCGAAGCACTACAAAGCACAGGACTTCGGTCCCTCATCGGTAAGATCCCAAAGTCCCATTTTCGGTGCTAGAAGCCACCCGACTCTGCGTCACTCACCGCCATGAGGACCTCGACCAGGAACTTTTCGTGGCTTCATTGGAGGGTTGGAATTGGGGCACGAAAGCTGCGAGAATTCCAAATATGCAGAACATCAGGTTCTTCGAACTTGTGTTTAGCAGGGTTGCAAAATGAGTTGAAGATCTCTTGCTGAAGGTATTCGCAGGTAAGTCGCGCCTTGCGGTTTTAGTTTGAGGCCGGCGAAACTTCGTAAGTCTATGGTATATGGAGTTGCACGTAAGCCCGCTGTGCTTAAACCCAGGAGGTCTCGGAACGTATTTAAGTTTGAAGCAAGCCAGTGATTGACTCGTGTCGATCGAGCCCGTACAGTCGCCATGAGGAAGCCGCAGCATCTGTCTGCTGCAAAACCTCAATGTGACCTACATTTTCACTCGCTTTTCATGAACCAGCTTGCGCACGATAGGCCATGACATCGCAGTCTGTTGGGTCAGGGATGTAAAGCACGTCCTGCAAAGCCTGGACATCTGCAAGGCCCAGGCCCATGCTCAAAGGATTCCAAGTCACACAGGCTGCAAAGCCGTGGGCCTTCCAGAACCTCGCGGCAGCAGCGTCAAGCGGGACAAGAAAGATGTATTTGCACGCCGCGTGCTCCTTCAAGCCTTCAACGCATAGGGTCCCCGCTCCTGAGCGATGGATAGCGCCGAGGCCGCTGACGACTAAATTCGATGCAGCCTTGATGGTGGAAATGCCTCCCAACATGCTGGCGCAAACGAACACCCGACGGGCGTCGCTGAACCTCTGAGCCAGGCCCAACTCACACCAGGCATCTGCCTCATCGCTTGTGGATACCTGCCGCCCAGACCTCTTATCAAGCCGAGAACTCATTACGGCTAAGCCCCTATGCATCGCAAGCTCTGTCATAGCGTCCGAGCCATCCAGAAGCATGAGATGTGGGTCCGGCAAGTTGCACTGCACGCCGGTCTCTTCAACATGGAGAATTTCCAACTCCTGGTCTATCATGCCATTCGCATCCTCTGCCATGACATTTGTCTCCAAAAAGGGCAAGTGCAAATCGTGGCCCAAACTGGGGTCGCAGGCTGTCCGCGCTCCGGAGTGCACACGCGGAACGTCTCTTTCGGGAGAATTGCGTTCAACAATGAATCTTTGGCGAGGTGCCATCTTGCTAAAAAAGCTCATTCCGGAGCTGGTGTGCATCGCTTCGCCACGCATCTCTTTCTGAAACTGCTTGTTGAAGTTCTGCGTGTAGGCGAGCTTGCAGAACAGCCGCCTCCTCGGCTTGCCCGCGAAGCACATCCCTCTCAGCCGCAACATCACGAAGCAAAAGCGTGAGGCGATGTACCTGCCTTTTGGCGAAATCGCAATGATAGTTGGCTCTTTCCAACTGATGTTCAAGAGGGTCTGTCGATTTGAGCTGATACGCCGAGTAGTTTGCCCGCACCAGGGTGGCTATCAAAGCAGCATCCTGATTGTCCGTGCTCTGCGTGGGTGTGGGACCCTCGCTGAGTCCTAGAATAGCTGTCACCCAGGACCACGCCGACATTGCGGTGAAAATTCGCTGCTTTTCTGAGTCTCTGAACTTCTTTGAGCCAAATTGCAATAGGCAGGGATTGGACAAGCCCAAGCGCTCCACCACCCTTGGTGCTGATGTAGGTCTACTGATATCGCGAAGTGGCAAGAGGAACAAGTCAAAGTATACCAACAATGACAAACACAAATTCATACAAGAACTATTGTTGTTGCCGTATTCCTGTAGCGCCGGGATTTCACGGTGTCGGCAGCTGGGGTACTTCAAGTGCTGGCTGCGGCAGTCGATGAGCAAAAGTAGTAGTGACCAAAGCATAGAAGGTTGTACTACGAAAAAGGCGGGAAGCGAAGCCGCTCCCCTGAAGAGATCTTGAACGGGCTGATGCTTCACTCAACCAACAACTAATCTAAAGAAGCGTGTCCTGTGTCCTCCGTCGTCGTGTTATCTCCAAGATAAAACATGATGAGCACCGCACGCTGGCAATCTGTTGCGGCAGCCGCAGGCGTGGCGCAAAGGGCTTTGGGTCCTGTGAATGCGAAAGCACAGACAGGATTGTTTCAAATGCGGACATGAAGGACACTCCGCAGCATAACTTGGTGGCTTCCCTGGGCGGCAGGGCCTGCCTCTCCGAAGATGAAGCCGAAGTCGATGTGGAAGAAGTGCCCTTCTGGGGTTATTTGCAAGTTGTCGAGGTGACGGTCCCCGATGCCCAAGACCTCGCAGAAACTGGCTTAGGACACACCTTCGCGGTTCTCATTCTGTTCCCAACATGTCGCAACATGCAAGCGAAGGCAACGTAACCCTGCGGCTCTAAAGCGCGGCACTTCTTTCGAACGCCGAATCAGTCGCGCATGTCAGCTGCTTCTGACAAGGCTTTGCCGGGTCAGTGCTGCCCAGTATAAGGGCCCCCAGCCGCCGAGATCAGGCAAGACCCGCCATCCGTAGCGAGTCGACTCAATCTCCACTCCCGGCACATCATTTTCCATGAGCAACAGGCGATTTCTCCTGTCGTTTAAAACTTCTTCGATGACAAAATCATTCTCGATATGTGAGAGCGCACAAGTGGCATAAATGACAATGCCTCCCGGCAATGTATTCTGCAAAGCAGAACTCAACAACCTCACCTGCCGTCGTGCATTTGCTTGTGCCTTGGTCAGCTTCCATACTTCGGCGTTCTGTCCACGCCGCAGCGACCGCAACAGCCTCTCACGCTCAGAGGAGCACGGTGCATCAACCAGCACAGCGTCGAAGGGACCTTCTTGCAGCCGGCCAAGAACCCTCGTAGAGTCAGCCCGGTGTACACGCACGTGACGCGAGGCTTCGTCGGGCAAGTACAAGCGGAGGTTTTGCTTCAAACGGCTAACTCGAAACGCGTCGCTTTCGATGGCCACGAGATCCGCGCTGTGCAAAATGCGGCTTCTCAATAGGGCCCCTGCAAGCAAAAGGAACTTGCCTCCTGGTGCCGCGCATGCATCCAGCGTTGCGCTGGGCATGGAAGGGCAGGCTTGCAGTAGAGCCAACACAGGCATGGCTGAGGCCAAATCCAGCGGATAGTAGGTCTTCAAGCCAGTTACAGAACAGGTTGGCGGCTTTGGCAGCAACTGCTGCTCTGCGGTTTCAGAGGGCGCCCACAAGTGCGCCTCACCAGCAATGCCTGTTAAGGGCTCCAGTCGGTGCGACCTGAGTACCTCCTGCGCCGCACCTTTGGCAGCGAAGGGGTTGACCCACGCGGCATACCTCTTTGGCTTACCCAAGGCCTCTGAAAGTTGAGACCACCTAGATCCGAACTCGCTTTCCAAGGTGACCACTGCCATGCAAGGGCTGCGCCCCAAAAGGAGCAGTGAGGCCAGACCAAGAGAAATCCAAGCTCGGAATCGGTAGCATCGGCAAGCACCACATCTGCTCATGCAGGCTGCCCTTACTGACTAACCCAGTATGATCTGACATCATGGGACATGCTGCGACAGTACAGACGTTCACACATGCGGTGGTATTGCACCATGGACGAAACTCTTCGTTCGGTTCCACCCAAGAAGCTGGAGCATGGCAGAAAAGTGATGATTCTTCGTACCAACGTCCAGGACCAGACTATTTTAGCACATCCAATGCAGCGAGTCTTCGAGATGTCCTGTCGTGCATGGTCACTGTTCACAAGCATGACATCTGCCTGAAGACATGTGGATTCAATCAGGGAGTGTTCCGGGAGCCTTAGTTTAGGATACGACAGGGGCCAGAGGAAGTAGACTAGGGTCTCGGGGTATAATATTCCACTATAACTATTTAAGGAACCCCCCAAACAGTATAGGCATTGGTAATTACATTTATCTGAGCCACTACAGTCTACAGCATCCAGATCGGCTCTAAGAGCCGGACATAGGTTGCCACACAGTAGGCAGCCGCACTCCCGCACAAGTTGGCGAGGACCTTCCATGGAACGCACACGTGTAGGTTGCCACCGGGGTTCATCTCAGAATCACAAACAGAAGCACTACACCCGCATCTCGGCTCTTTTTGCTACTGGGCTGAAGGTCTAGCCAGTCTGCAGACTCGAAACGCCAAACCATTGCATGCCCAAGCACTTCGTCGAGGCTCCTTTCGTAGGGGCGATTGGCTGTCAACCAGACCATCAGGTCCTTACACGACGGGTGGGGGAGGAGGTCCAGGCCTAGGCATTCAAGTTGTCGAGTTTGAGAGCGCAAATTTTCGGCTTCAGGCTGAAGCTCAGGAAGGCAATGCGGCTCGATCCAGAACGGTAAACATATTGCTTGTGACAGGAAGTACAATTACAACTTCTTCAAGTTAAAGTCGTTGTGCCCCCAGTATGTGCTGAAGATCGCAACATCAAGACGAACGCCGAGCTTCGCCGTTCGACTGTGCCAGTGCTTTCGAAAGCGACACAGCGCCTGGGACAAACTTGATGTAGCCGGCACTGGGTGTCATTGCCAGCACTCCTGGGCGACTGGGACAGCCCGGGGAGCATCTCGGTCTTCCTGCATGGGAGTTTCTTACAAAGAAGCTGTACCTTAATTAGTCGGGCTCTTTCTCATCAGGATCCCCAGTGTTTAGGATCAACATCTGAGCCCATTCTGTCTGAAACTTCCGTTTTCTGTGAGTGTAGTTGGAGACACTCTTCTGAGTCTTCTGAGATAATCTTGGGCGTTGCAACTGCTGCTACGCCAGCCTCAGGGTCACCCAATGAAGTGAATCTGACGTAAACGTAGTTGCTGGAAGCTGCAGCTTCCTGAATTGTTCAAACTTTTGCTTCCCCGGACCTGGGCAGGTGCACGTCGAATGAATCATTTAGGGAAACTGAAGAACTATGATCAGTGTCACTGCCGGTGCTCTTCTTCGTGCCCTTGTTGCTACTGCTGCCATCCATCTCCAGGCAAGATGCTGTAAGGGACAAATCGGAGCATCCGAGTCTCGGCAGGAGGCAGCCGCTCCTGTTTGAATGCAGAGGCAGAGGGTTTCGGCGCTGGGAGACTCCAGGCATGGCAGGTTCGTTCATCACGGATGGTTTGAACGCTCAAGCTACCGAAATATCTCACCAGCAGGTGGCAAGGATGCCCCACACAGCGGCAACTTGTGACCACGGTGGGGCCATCCTGATGCTTTGCACCCAAAAGAAAAACCAAGCAAAGAAACAAGAACAGCGTGATACCAGCATGTCTGTAGCTGCTATCCTAGGCATCTATGCATGCTGCAGAGAGCCCCTGGCTTCTCGGAAGAGGTCGTACCGCCCTCCCTATGATTGCTCAGCGACTCTCGAAAAGCCCAGCCAAAGAGTTCAGTGCACGGTGACAACCGCACCCTTATGCCGGCTGAATTGGAGCAGCAAGAGAGCCAAACATGTTACAAACAACCCACAGAACACTATTATAGCATTTTATAGCATGGATAACATTCGAATGCGCGCTTTGTACCATTGCCATGACTGATTCTATGACCGAGCATTGTAGCTTTCTTCCTGCACAATGTCAAAATTGAGATCACAGCTGAGAAGCTCCCTTGGCATCATTCGAGAAGACAGCTTGACGAGAGTTACTGGCGGCAAGGGAGGTTCGCTGTGCAAAGCACGTCTACAGCTCACTTTCTTTGACTTTGGCGGTGACGGTGCGGCGTTGCACCAGCCATGGCCGTGACTCCAGAGCAGCAGCACGCTTCGACTTGCGAAGGCGCGACCGCTTTTCGACCGACACCTTCTGAACAGTTCCTTCGATAAGGGAGCCGGGAAGGCGCAGGCACTGGGAGTAGTGCTCGTTGCCCCAGACACATGTCAGGCCCTCAACGCAACATTCGGAGCCAGTCCAGCCAGCACCACCACACTGTTGCCAGATCTGCGCACAGGTTTGTGTGCTGGAGTCGTCCATGACGCACTGTGAGTATTTCGAGTCCTTGTACTCACACCTCAGACCCGACACACAGCAGCTGCTGCCCGTATACATATCTCCTCCACACTGGTCGTGAAGCTGACCACAAGAGGAGTGCACCGGACGAGTCGGAGGAGGCGTTGTCGTAACCGGACCGCCCTGGAGGCGCAGGCAGACGTAGCCCGTCAAGCTGATGCTCGCCTCGATGGGATGCGTCCATATCTCGCACCTCCTTCCGATGTTTTCGATGCCATGACACCCGACGGTCGAAAGGCAGTGTGCCTTGCACTCATCCAGTGAGTCTACGCCTCCACTCACTGTTGTGAAGTAGGATGCGTCGTTGTCTCCGGCATGGGCTCCACGGCACGCACGGCCCTCGCCTCCGTCCACAGGCTCAAAGCTATCCGACGAGGCAGGCGTTGTTGAGGGCATTGTAGTGGTGGTAGTCGTAGTGGTCGGCATGGGAGTTGTCGTGGTTGTGGTGGCGACGGTGGTTGTCGTCGTGTAAACTGGCGCAGTCGTTGTTGCGACTGTGGTGGTCGTCGCTACTGTTGTCGGAGCCATGGTCGTAGGGGCGTTCGCCAGCCACTTGCCGTTGCAGGTGCCTTCGCAATTGGCCTTGGACTCCCAGCAGTATCCACTCCCCTCACAGCCCTTATTGGCATCCCAATAGCAGCAGCCATCTGTAGGTGATGTGGTGGATGCAGCCAGGGTGGTGGTCGCTGTCGCTGAGGGCGTGGTTGAAAAGACAGGTGTGCAGCCAACAGGCAGGCCATCCCACGATGCGGCCTCTGAACACATCTCTTTCGAGGCCCCAAGAACCGGGCAGATCATATTGTCGGATGTGGCTGCACCAGCACAGGTGCCGGGATTGCTAGGATCCCATGCAGTGCACTCGCAGAAACCAAAGGTACCAACGTTGGCCGTCGGAGTGAAGACGACAAGATTGGGGTTCCCCGTCACGTCAGACCCGAAAATCTCTGCGGCACTCAGGCAGCAAGTGTTCGAGTTCCACGTATGGTAGATGTCTGTCTTGGACTGGTAATAAACCTTGGTCCCGCTGGGCACCGTAACATCCCAGCAAATTCGGCCGTCCTTCTCCTCGCGGGAGACGCGCTCCACCGTCCGACCAGCAGGCTCGGTCCAGATGCATTCGCTGCTCGCGGTAGTGGTGGTCGTGGTGCCTGCCGGCTGTGTCGTAGTCGCCACTCCGCCAACAATGTCCAAGTCCACACAAGACACGAAGATCTCGTCGGTGTACTTGCACACCCAGAGCCACCGCACGGTTACCGGGCCGGAGGGCATGTCTGCAGGAAGGTCGACAGTTTGTGGGAACCATTGGCCGGACTTCCAATGGTCGATCTCATTGGAGGCATCCCAGTATGCATGGACGTCAGTCCAATCATTGATGGGCCGCGACCTGAAGCACTCCTCCGTCTGGGCTTCGGAGTGTGGGCAGTAGTCGAAGATGGCATCTCCGTTGTGGTCTGCATCTAGCACAATGTTGGCTTCCAGCTTGCCACCTGCCGTGTAGGAAGGTTCGGCTGGAGCCGTGGCAACACGATAGTTGTTGTAGTTGCTCGCCGGATACGGTGCATCACCTATTTGAGAGCCAAGGCAGGGCGAGGAGGGCTCTGCATCTCGGTTGACCACGCCCGACGGGTTCGTGACTGGCTGATGCTCTCCCACACACCACGGGCAATACTGTTGCCCTGACACCAGGCGGGGCAGTGGCTTGGTCAGGGCGCCGTGGCCCAAGGCCCCAACGAAGAGCGAAAGCACGAGCACGTGCGCAAGCTTCATCGCCTCAACAGAGGTGCAAGGCTTTCCCGACGGGTGCGGGTCCGGACGCACGATAAGTTGAGCTGAAGGCGGCTTGAGCCGAGCGATGCATTCATCGGTCTGCATGTCAGTAAAAGTCTGCTGTGCAAAATGCTCGGAACTTCTTCTACCAGCAGGATGATCTGACGTGGAGTAGAGCAGCAAGACACATGTTCGGAAGCAATGGACTTGGGCAATGCCAGCACACATGACGAGGTCTTGTCCTGCCACACGAGATCCATCAAGTGAAGCATTTGCAGCACCAGCTGGTCCTGCACTCCCGCCCACCCGGGGATTTCACGAAGCTCTACCCGAGTCAACTTGCAATGTCGGACTTCAAGGCTGCCGCCTGGCGAAGGTCATCGCCGACCTTGACCATGTACTTGGTCACCTGAACTAGGAAGGCAGAAGCTGACGATGGGATCTGAGGAAAAGGACGCTTACATGATCACAGCTGGCAAGTCCTGCCTCATTTTCGCTGGTCTGCCGCCTGAAGCCGCCGCCATTCGCTTCCAGATCTTGCCCGGCATCGCGAGTATCCTGCAGGGTCCCTGCTTGTGCTTCTGGCATCGCATACGATGATGCAACACTGCGGCCTTCCAGCATACCAGGAGCAGTGGCGCCGCATTTGAAGCCAAGATCTCGCCTTGGCAGGGGAAGGACCGCAAGGGCTGATTAAATGTCGGAGGCCTTGCTATATCTTCGTCGCAAGATAATCACTAGAGTCGACATGAGCAGCGCTCCAGCAACAGTTACAATGTGAGCTAACGAAGGCGAGAGCTGCCAAGATGCAGCTGCTGATGTCGACGCCCAGGAACGGCACAGAGGGATCCACGGGGGCAGAGAGGAAGGTCGTTGCGGCGCCCGAAACTAAACCTGACACCGAGGGACCAGAAAGCCAAGCGAAAGTGGACTTTGTGTTGCTGTGCCAACGAGCTGTCTGCTTGCCGTCCACGGCACTGGCTGCAGCCGTGGCACTGCGTAATTCAGGATCAACCTGACATCACAGTTGCTGCAAAGACCGGTCATGAAATCCACGCCAGAGCCAGGCAGGGGCTACCTTCAACCACGAGCTGCAGTCGAATCCTTGCCTGCAACACTTCTTCCATATAGGCATCTTCCGAGAGGTACTCCTGGTGTCGCCCCTCCTGGATTTATCCCATTTCTCGTCAACACCATGCACATGTATACAGGCAGAAGTGAAAGTTGACATGTTGTTGCTTGAGCACTCTAGTTTCAGAGGATCACTTGCAGAACTGCTTGGCAGGAATGTGCGCCGGGAAAAGCACGACATGCTCAGCGCGTGAGATTGCCTCCTTGCTGAGCCTGTTCGGGCAATTGACGGGTGATGTGTGTTGTTTGCATCTCAACGTCTGTCCTCCGAACCCTCGCGAACATGCGGGTTCAGCTGATGTTCATCCTTGTTCTTCAGATTATTGAAACCGAACTTACGAGCACCCTTGCCACCCTGAGACTTGAGAAGATGTTGGGAACTCCAGCCAGGCCCGACAGAAACTGAAGGCCGTACTGTCTGCGACCATCATGTCCCTGCATTGTAAGTTCTAGCAATGCCTACGAAGCCCAGGTTATAGAACCGTGCAGGTGTTGGTCGACCCCCGTCGGAACAATCGCCCCCGGGCAAAACATCACATGAAAGCCCGACATCCGACCTCTCAGCTCGATGAGGCCTTCTGTAGACAGATGGGGGAATCCACACGTTGCACTCGAGAGCTAGCTAGGTGACAGAGGGTGACAGATGAATCCGGACTACTGGTCACAAAACCCTGAGACGCTAGAAAACCCTATGGAACTCACACAGATGTAAGGAAGACGGTGCTCCTCCGTCGCCTTCTTCAGCTCCAGCAGCCGATTCCGCACTGCCCGGCTCTTCTCGGACGTGTCGCCGGCCTGTGGGCAAGCAGATTCAGCGTTGCTACTCGTCGTTTCTACATTATACTGTTCAAGTACTACACTACAACATGTCCTGGTATGCTGTATTTTGAGCAGAGTCTGCAGGAAGGCCAGGCCAGGGTTCGAACGGCAGTCGAACAGATTAACTGAATCGACCAGCGCATTACCAAGTAGCTGCGAAGTGAATCCTCTCGTCACGCTGCAAAAAAAAACAAACGAAATTGAAATAAGTGGTGCTAACATCCCCTTTACTCCCTGCATGACCATGTAGCGTAACCTATAAGATCCCCCTAAAGCCCCTATATAGTTACATAGTATAATATATCCCAAAACGGACTCTCTGGTTGGTCTGCTGCAGTCAAAGTACATACAGACTGCTGCAGTCAAAGTACATACAGACTTGGCCCAAAAGATGGTGAACAAGGACAATGGGATGACTGAGTTCGAAGATCAATTTCCAGAGCCTGCCTTAAGCTCCAACTCACCCCCTAGCCTTTCGTCTCGAAGTTTATGAACTTTTTTTCATGATCCTTTCCGCCTTTCTATGAACTTTGGGGGGTCAAAGTCTTGGGTGCCGGGCCTCGGGCTAATACTCACCGGGCGTTTAGGGTGCAAAGGCCCGGCTCGTGCTTGACCAACAGGGGCGAAGCTCATTGGACAGCCTAGTTTGAGGTTTCGGCGCTCACCCCTAGTTTGAGGTTTTTTCTTTAAAGATGCTAGTTTGAGGTTTAGGGAAAAGGGTTTGAACACAGGGGTGCATGCACCCTTACGGTCTTTGTATTATCAGAGTGTTTCGAAGCATAGAGGCTCACTGGAAAAACACACACACACAACAGTAAGAAGAGCATACTAGAATGAGCTGCATGAGCATACTAACCATCGTAAGCATGATAACTCTCACTCCACAGTCCCACCGTTTGGCCACCGAGGTCCGCCAGGCTGAGAGTTTGCTGCCACAGCGACGCCTGCAGAAGGGGTCACCACATGGGGCGGCGTTCGTTTTTGCAACAGAAAGCAAGAGCCTCCAAGGCGCTGGTATTGTGGGTTCACCCGGGTTCAGAGTGGAGGGACCGTGAACATTTAGGGGTTTCGACGCCCACACTCGCACGCAGCAGGCAAGGCTCCACATTTAGGGGTTTAGGGTTTCGGCGAGGGTTTAGGGGTTTAGGGTTTAAGGGTTTTAGGGCTTTAGGGGTTTAGGGCTTTAGGCACCCAGCGCCCCAAACCTGCTGCTAAGCTCTTCCATGCTACCGGCCGCTCGGTGCTAACACAAGAAAAATAGAGTTCTGATTCGGATTACACTGACCATCGGCTACTTGTCCGATGTAGTCACAGATTTGTGGCTGGGTAACCGAACGTTTCATTCTCCAATTCGGGCTTTACGCTGGCAGTCTTGCATGGTTGGCTGTTGACACTTCTAGCAGAGTGAGCAGCCTTGATTCTGACAATTATCATAGTGAGAAGAATCAACCCACGGGGGCGGAAAAGTGAAAAGGGACGATGTTTCAGGCCATGATTCAGCACACACATTCGGACAAGCAGGGTCAGTGAGAAAAGGGTATGTTTTTGAAGTGTATTTTCTCTCGTGACTCTCGCGTCTCGTGGGTCTGCATGAACCCTGTGAACTCGGGCAGCCTGCTGCGTGAGGAGGCGCAATGCAGCTTTGCGAAAGGACACGATGCGCTCCATGTCAGGACACCTGGGGTGTCTCTGAATCGTTGTATCGTCTTTGCTCCTTTTTGAGGGGCGGGCGTCTTCGCTCCGACTTTGCCAGATTACAACTTGACAAGAAATGTGCTGGTTGAAAACCTGTGTCTGCACTCTTGACAAAACAGAACCCGCAGGCGAAACCAAGGCGCAAATGGTCCAGGCGCGTGCCGCGGGCTCCGTCCCAGAACTCAATGGACCCAGCTAGGGACTTGATAAGCACCCAGCGTGCTTTGTCATATGTGATCCGCTCAGAATCCAACGCATCCTCTGACAGACACCAGAGTGACCAGTAGATCTCTGATAGAAGTGTCAGGTCTTGTGTCCCAGTGGCATAGCGGAGCAGGAAACTCAGCAAGGGCCGCTGGGATGCATCGATGGCGACCAATGCTCCAGAAGACGCCGTGGAGGGTCCAAGGCCAAGATGCGTGGGCTCCCAGCGCAAGGAAAGCAGCAGCTGAGTGAGAACCAGTCTCAAGACTTCCCTCGCTGCAGCGGGCGCTGGTCCATCACACTCCCGACTCTTGAAACTCGAAGCTGCGCTGTGACATTTACGGCGGGTCCAGATCGTACCCTGCCCGTCTGCAAACAGGATCTGCTTCCCCGTGAAGGATCCGAGTTTTCGTCCTTCCTGCTGATTCAGCACCACCTCCAAGACGGTGCCTTGGAACACAACTCCCAGGGCTTCCGTCTCTTTTTCCGATGCCATGCTGGAGGCAGAGCCTTCCTCGTTCTCAGTTATTTTCTGCCACCTTTTGATGAGCACGGCCCCTTTCTCAACGTCCAAAGTCTCCAGCCTCACAACTCCCCCATGTCCATCATCGTACTCGCCATCCCAGGGCAGAACCAGCGACCACAGCACATCCACCACGGTGCTGCGTGCCACCGCCGGCCGGTTGCGAGAACTCTGAGATTGGCTCAGAAGGCACAGGCCTTCCAACATGTCCTAAAGCTGTAGAGGACACCGAAACGCCGAGATTTGACGGGCCAGGAGGGATCGACACCCTGTCTTATTTGCCATTCAGTTTTGCATACAGGGTTATGCGATTGCTTTTCCACGATTCGAGTTAAACCTTAAACAAGCCGCTAGCCGCATCAACTCCCGATAAGGACCCTCCGTCTATGAACAGCTACCTGCTATAGGGTTGCCTATAGGCCAACTCTTTACATCCCAAGCAGCGCCGAGCAAGTCGAGACGCTGCGTTGCAGGGCGCGGGGCCTCCACACAGGGCGGACATGGGACATTCTTCTTTCTTTCGACAGGGTTGCCCCCGACAGTTGCGGGTGGCAAGAAGTTGCATGCAGAACATAGGACTTGCTTGCTTGCTTGTCCAGCGTTTGGAGGTAGGGGTAGCACGCACCCCTTCCTCCTGCGCGTCAGAGCTACGCAGACTCTAGGACTCTCTCTCTCTCTCTCTCTCTGCCGTTGCATCGAGAGGGTCTGGCAGCGCATGGTTCTTCAGGCCATCGTAGGACTTGTTTATGTGCTACTCTTTCTGTCAAACGGGCACCCAAATATCTGCTTGGGAGGGCCTATGTACTCGCCAAAAGTCCGAACAGCCTAACTGAAGGCCTGACCGCCCCGCAGCCGCGCGACCAGCACAGACGAGCTCTGGGGCGAGCCAACGGTGCCCAGCTCTAAGGACAGCCCCTGAGCTGCTGGAACAGAAGGGGGTCCATGTTTTCTTTAGGACTATGCTGGCAATGCGAGGATTGTACTCCGAGCTGTACTGGAGCTACAAGGCAGCCACAAAGAAACAAACACAATCGCATCGTAGATGATGGCACGAGATAGCCAGGAGACAGCACCCAAGTGGTCCTAAATCTGATCGACATACAGGGTCTGAATGTCTGTACACGTGATTTAAGGCCGTGGACAGGAGAGTAAAGATGCTGGCTAAATTCATGTGTATGTGTTAGGCAGGTAGTAGGTAGGTAGGTAGGTAGGTAGGTAGCTGGCTAGCTAGCCAGGTAGCTAGGTACACAAATACATGTTAGTATTATTTGCACACATCTGAACTCAAACAGGTTTACAAAACCGAATGAGGGCTCCTAACCGACCAGCTTCGAAAGCCAGCTTAATATGGGGTCGTCAAAATTATGGACCCTTTTTGGGTCCCTAAAAAAAAATACGGCACCTATTATTTAGGGTACCCAATAAGGGACCTTAATTTTGACAACTACCCATATGGGAATTGCAGGATAACTTCTTGGGATGATGCAAGTGTACAGGATACCTGGCAACAGGTTACAGTTACAGCTTGCCTGTCCCCTTTTCTGAGACCATGGCCTGTGGAGTGCCGAAGAGCTGGCTACGAGATCTGTTGCGCGCCTTAGGAGGATGCGAGACTTCAAGCTGGCTTAGGATGCATGCAGATTTGAAAGTAGGTTCGGACAGAAGACTTACATAGCCATACCGAAACCTTTTTCACAACCTCTGCAATCGATCTGATCTGCCCCCGGGGCTGCGTTGCATGACCTGCAGCCTCTTCTGAAGCAAGCCCTCAACCTTGAGACCCTGAATGCAGCCTTCCATTAGGCCGCGGGCTGCCTCCAGATCTGTGGGTGCCTCCCCATTTGGCAGCAGTCGGGAGAGCCGCGGGATGGCTTCCTCAGAGCGCGAGAGCTACCTCTTAAAGCTGGACGAATGTAACTGCTTTAAGTCAGTCTATTTCTCTTACTACTACTCCTACTACTACTACTGCTACTACTACCACTACGACCACTACGACGACGACTACTATTGCTTGCACCACTGCTGCTGCTACTACTACTACTACTCCTCCTCCTCCTCCTCCTCCTGCCTCTTGTCCTACTCTTACTCCAACTCCTGCTGCTGCTGCTGCTACTACTACTACTACTACCACCGCCACTATCACTACCAGCACGACTGCGACGACAACTACGACTTCTTTCTGTCGATGAAGGTGAACAAGACATACATCCACACCACTCCCTCTTGCTATTCTTCGCGCTTCAAAGGCTGACAGGCTTTCGACGTGGCACCGCCCTCCGGTCCCACCTGCAGCCAAGTGCCGGAGCTACCTGATACCCTCCGTCTAAAACCTGTGAAACATTGTGAAACGATCTACTCGCCCAGTGGCGATGCCTCACAGCCACGAATCGGCATAAGCGCAAGGCATGTTACAAGTCGCACGACAAGCGGCGGAAGAGGTAGTCGCATCCTGGAGCGCTCGCATCTTTGGCACTACGACCCATACCTTCGCATGGCGATTCAGGTCACGTCTCGCATCGGATGCATCTGCACACCGCTGAATCGGTCAGCCGGCGACTGCTCACAAAAGCGTAACCCCTGTCGCGAGCCCTACAGTAACTCTGATATTCATCCTTATGCTTGTAGTAACTCTTACAGTAGCTGTAATTCATTGTACGATCACCCAGAGCAACCTCAGCAGACGCAAAGACCCCAGACTGAGGAGACTACGACGGCTGCGCTAAGAAGTACAGCAGCCAGCTCAAACTCCTCGGTGATGAAACTACAAGATCGGACCAGGAAACCCTCACCAGCCCTACCACCACAAGATTGAGGTGCTCCCACCTTTGTTTCCTTTTGAGGTAAGCATCGCTGAGCCGCTGTAGGAAGACGAACTCAAATCCGCCATGCCACTGGAGCATTTTGCAGATTATGAATGCCTCCAAATACTTTACCTGAGCAAGCTTCCACTGGAGTCGAGGAATGCAACCACTCAGCTCGTTAGGGCAGGCATGCCTGCCTGGCAGGATCGGATTCTAAGGCTGCGGCGATGTAAAACCCGGCATTAACAAACTGGAAAGCTTCGCGGGGGTCGAAGACCGTGATGTTCACGAAGAAAAGGATCTGAGACATGATGACTGCACTGGCGACCTCGAGACACGCAATCCCCTGTAATCCCTGAAAGCTTCTGCACAATCACAAGTCTAAAGGCAGTACAGTAGAGCCTGTCTCTCTCGCGGACTCAGAGGTCTAGTGTCAAAACAGCAAAACACATGTCAGTTATACCCAAAACCCCAACACACCAAACCCTAAGCTAGAACAACAGCAGGATTGTATGAGAGTTTCAGAAACAAAGGACCCTGGTATAGAACCCCATTTTGGGGCTACTTGTCACAAGGATCCCTAAATGAAGTGGCCTAGCTTTCTGAAGCCCCACCTATAGTCTCCATTGTAGTTCCTTTTTGGGGTTACCTTATAGGATCCTTAATATATGATTGGTTAAACCAAAAGAAGGAACTACAATGGAGACTATAGGCCATGTCAACAGGCCTGGCTCCAGGCATGGCGACAGGAGAGCCGCCGCCGCGTCCAGCCCCAGAGCGTAGGCATCAGCAGTAGCAGGACGCTTGTTGTCACGTCCCCCATCCTGGCATGCTGTTGAGGATCATAATAATTACATATAAAGTAGTGAGAGATGCCATAATGCTTTACGTTAGAATTCAATGCATCATAAACAGTCTTGTTTTCTACCTGGTGACACAATATTGCAGCTTAAAGTGAAAGTATTGAACAAGACCCAGCCCAGCATCCAAAGGAAAAGAAGTGGGTTCCACTTGTCGAAGTGGACAGTATGCAGCAGAAGGCAGAGGGGGAGCCTGTTCGCGCCGTCACATGAACTTCACACTTTGCTTTTCTGCCCTCTATGCTGAAAGACTACACGGCTCGAAGATGGACCTCATCAGAATCTCGATGAAGTAGTGTATCTGCACCAGCTTCTTGTGTGTGCGCACGAAGGCATCATCCACCCAAACATAGAGCACCACATCCTTTCAGCTGCGATGGGGAAACCTACAGCACATGCCCATGCAGCTGCGAGTAGAGAGCTAATACTTTGCTCCGACGAAGCTTTAATGTCGGAATCTGATTGAGAAACCTTGGGCCTTTATGAAACTCTCGCAACTCGGGCAATCCAAACGAAGTCTATGCTTGGGCCTTTATTAGGGTTCCTTATAGGCATCCTACTACTTTCGTAATATAGGCCCCAGATTTTCTTGATCAGATTCCTACATTAAGGCTTTCAGCTCTCACAGTCGGAGGCATTGCTTGACGACTGGACCAATTATCGGCTCCAACCACCACGGTTTGAGGGTTTTAAGAGCCTCTGATTTTGGGGCTCTGGGGCCACTAGACTTCACCACACACCGTGCAACTTTGTCGCCCGGTGAGTGCCTCTAAACCCTCAACTCCAAGAATTCGCATGCGGCGTAAGTTGGACAGGCCGACAATGCCTACAATGCTTGCTCTTGATACAACAATCTACGCCTGCTACGGCTGCGAAGTAAGATCTTGATCTTGCCATCAAGACTCCCTAGTTACTTCGTGTATAACACGACTTGCCTTACTGCCACAGCATTAATGTAAGTTAAACTCATAAACAGTGATGAACATGAAACGGAGGCTGCAGGCTTCAGATCAACCTCAAACCAATTGTTTGACAGCAGGGTGTCGGCGCATGCCATGGCCAAGCAAACGATGCCCACGGCCAGCGCTGATGCTTCCGTGAAATAATCTGCATCCCATGCATGCGGCTCTTGCGCGATTTCTCGGAGCCATGCCTCACAAGGAATGCGCGAGTTGTTGCAACGTGTGTCCGGTGAGCCTGTTCCATAATCTGTGCGGGAGAGCCGCGGAATGCACGATTGCCGACCTCAGTGCCAGACACTTTCAATCGGAGCCGATCCGAGGTCTTAGTCCGTTTGATTTCCTTCTTTGTGTTAATCGCATTGCACTCGAGCCACAGAAGGATCAAAGGCAAGCTAGCAATCGTCAGCTTTCGCAGGCCACGCATCAGATTCTCACCATACCGGCTGCCTTTCATCTCAGCCATAGCCTGGCGTCTCGACCGCCGAGCCATGCTAGCGGATGAAATGGGCCCATCGTGTGGAGAACTGACCACCTTCCGGAAGACATGCTCTGGTGCTTTTTGATGCAAGTCTGTGCTAAAAGCCTTCACGAACATAGGTGGTGAACTGAGGCTCTCACAGATGCCACCGAGCTCAGCATGTCCTCCTCGCCAATACCCCAGCAGAACCCATCTCCAATCTTGTCCACCATTTCGACAATCGGGGCAAGTTGGATTGCAGAGATGAACAAGGCCAGGCCCCAGCCATATGGGCGGTTCTGGCGAATTGCAGCACGGTGTCGGCTAAGTGTCAGTGCCGATAAAGCCGTTGAAGCCAATGCTCCAAAGCACAAAAGCCAGAAGTTCGTCTGCTGAACCTGCACGGTTAAGGCGTTAGGTAAGCTGTTGAGCCGCGGCTGCCTTCTTGTTGCTATTAGGCAGTGTTGTTCCAGCCAGAATCTCCAGATAGCCCTGCGACAGCCGTGATTCGAGGGGTAGCTTGGCTTCCTTTTCATGTTTCGCTGATCCTGGCTCCTGTTCGACCCATACTGTTCTGGGCGCAGCCAGTGATGCGCGAAGCTGCAGTGTGGGTGTGTGTGTGTAGACAGATGTTCGACTTGTTACAAAGGATATCAATCAAGACTCCTGCTTTTCAGGGTGCACACTGTGTGCAGAAACATTCGCGATGTGGGGGAACACCCATGCTCGTGTCCACTGCGACAGACTGATCTTTTTGTACAGATCGGCAACAGTCCAATAAAGCCCCCGTAGCGAGAACACAGATCGCAAGTGAGGCTTTGTCACGCTTGGGTAAGCCTCCCGACAAAGCGGCCATGGCCAGTTTCTGCCGAGTGGCCACGTCGAGCCAAGTACTCGAAGGGTCAGAAATAATTTTCCAGAGGCTGAGCATGTCGAAGCCACGGTCAGCAGAGAGCAGCGTTGCTTTCAAGGTCAAGCCCAGAACACGCTGAAAAGTAGCATTCGACCTCCACCTCTTCAGGGCAGGAGAGGATGCATCTGAGTGTTTAGTGATGGCCCCCCATTTCAAAAGGGCTGCGAAAGCTAAGGAGTCCTAAGAGAGAGCTCCCCAGGCTGAGACGGCTGAGCAAGCGGAACTACCCAGACCTTTCACTAGTGAACTAGATACTAGTAGCCTGATTGGGATTATGAGTAGTTCTAGATTCTAGATTAAAAGTATAGACAAACCTCATAGGATCATGACAGTGTGGGGATGTGTGGGGTGCATGGCTCTGGTACTTACACACCGTTCCAACCTGACGCTCTGCGCTGGCACGAGAGGGGCCGCCGCCAACGCGCGGGCATCGGAGCTGTCTGTTCCGGGCATGCTGCACAGGCCAGGCGTTTGGGTTTGTCGTTGTTTGTTTCTGCGCTTGCTCCTGGAGCACAACGAGAACGCCTGCCAGTGTTGTCGCCAGTGTTGACGTGACCGTCTCCGCTGTAAGTTGTTTGCCCCTACTCGTATCAAATCAGTGCCGCGAAGTGAGGATCTGAAAGAGATGTCGTGTTGCACAAGCCTACCTTGTTCTTGTTCCCCTGGATGAAGACTAGATAACACTACTATAGACTACTGTGACCCTCAGCTGCGAGTCACTCAACCTGGCTGCATACTGCTTCCTAGTGTACGGCTGTATGAACCAAAAGGCTGCGTCAAGATCACAGAACTCGCACAGCTTGCTTAAGGTAGGCCGATGCCTTGGGCGACAAGCAACAGAAATCCCCATCTTTACACAATCAAGTCGTGGCAGCTGCAGTAACAATGTGCTGCAGCTGGCTGTCGCTCGCACAGTGCTTCTTTGATGTTTGCTTAGAGCTTACAGCCTTCGAAAATCTCAAACCTGGAATCTGCCATGTCAGGAAACAGAGATACCCAGAGACTCCAATATCCCTTCATTAAGGAATATATTTTAAGTCATATTAGGGATCCTACTATAGTTTAAGGTATATTCCTTAATCAAGGGATATTGGAGTCTCGGGGTAGCTGGCTTCTTGAGAGCCCGGCCAGGGCAAGAAACTCAGCTGCAGCCCGCTCGTCATCTTCCTTTTACCCCGGCGGCTGAGTTCTGGCTCTCCGGCGCTTGCGGCTACCGGCTTACTGTGCCCTGGCGGAGTACATTGGCGTCCATGCACAGGAACGTTCAGCCACGTCGCGTCTACATCCTGACGTGAATTTAATACCCTTACTGTGTCGGAGTATGTCTGCTCAATCTTGCTATTGAGTTGTGCCTGTCAATACTACTGCCAAGGAAATGGTGGGGGGGTCATGAAGTCGGTGTTAAAGTTTTGCTTGGATGCCTAATTGCGAGAGTGACCCATATCCCATCCCTGCATGAACGGGACCCAAACATTCAAGTCCCCAGGAGGCCTGGTCGATGCGAAGGCGCTCGAGCATCTGCACAGCAGCCAAGCCGGGCTTGTTGCTTGGGGTTTTATGCCATCTTCATCTACTGGTTAGTTGGCTCCTGCTTCAGTCAAGCTCCTTCTGCTCCCAGCAAGGCGAAGCAAAGGCAATTGCACTGGGCTCCGAGCCCCTGCGATGGCGCTCTCGGCATCCTGAATGAGGCTATCTGGTTGAGTCACTGAGGTGCTGGGTAGTCATGCCCTACGATATAGTTCCTTAAACGTAGTTTCAGCTACCTCGAAGTGACCCTGACCATCCCTGGCCTAATATGCCTGAGAGAACCACACAACTGACCCCGACCTCTCAACGGAGTGAAGCTGCAACCATCAACCGCCACCTTGACGTTTAGCCGGCATTCCTGAAGTCCTGAAGTTCAGACGCATCTACAACGTTGGCCACCTGTTAGGATCAATCACCTCCCAATCACCGTCCTGACCCTGAACTTCCTCAACCTTAATATAGGGGCCTTAATCATTAGAGTACAGTAGGGTTTTGGTGCCCATTATACTATAATCATAAAAAGGAACCCCCAAAATAGTATTGGTATGTATTTAGGCCCCCAAAAGACGATCTCAACACCTCTGCATCCTCACCTCCTTCAAATCCCTTGCAGCCCTCGCGTCCTTGGCCAGCCGGCCGTACCTTTGGCCCTGGTCGACCTCCACTCTGTCAGTGGCATTCAAAGAACAAACTCAAAAGAAATAATAGAAAAAACAGTAATACATAATAGTAACAAGAATAATAAGAATAATAACAATAATAGTACAACATGACAACACACTAATCATGGCCAAGTTCAAGTTTCGCCACGCTTCGTTTAGAGTGGCTTGCAGTTGGCCTTTCTTCCGTCTGCAAGCATTCGAATGCGGTCAGTGTTCAGGGCGGATTCTGCGCATCCTGGTTGTGTCGGAATGACTTCCCCCGTCCCACTTGCTCCGAACTTCCTTCCGACACCTTCCGTTTTGACCCTATTACACTTGTTTTGGTGCGTACGATGCCTTGTACCGAAGCCATGCGGCAGAAACGAAGCCATCCACGAAAACACAAACCTCCCATAAATTTGTCAGCGCACCCCCTGAAATCGCAAGGCCTCTGGCCTGCATGCCGCGACCGTCATTTCTTATGACTAAAGCCTGTCTGCATGAAAAACTTAAAGGCTCTTCCCATCTCATCAACATCCAGGCCGCCACGGTTCATGCCATACTGTGCCACAGCTTTAAAACTCCTCAGGCGCAGCAAGTTCAAATTCGCTCTTGGAACCCGGATGCAAAAATCACCCGTTTTCCACTGACTGCTGCAGCCCACTGGAGACGCCTGAAGTTGGGTTCAGGTCCTCTAGGTTCGAATGGACGAGGGTTGCTATCTTATGCACACAGCAATGATAGCATTACGGCTAATACCATGATTCTCTGATATTCTCCAGCATTTGTGACCGGCCCTGCCTCCAAGTTCAGGAGCCCCGCGAACAAAGTGCCAAATGGCCGCAAGGCCAGGTAAGCCCGCCTTCACTGCGACAGCTAGGATCCCTATAATACTTGCAAGACCCATTATGAAGGACCCGAAGTGAAGTCACCAACAGGTCGCAGTCTAGCTTTGGTCTACGTCCATCTTCAAGAGCCCCGGCTCAAGATTTCGACTCTTGCGATCGGGCTGTCGAGTAGATACTCTAACGCTGCATAGCTTGGCAATGCCCACGGTCTTGGCCCGATCATTTGACAAAACTGATGTGGGATCGGGCCTGGTCAAGGTGTACAGCTGGTGGATGCGTTTCGAAGCCAGGAGAGCTTGTGCCTCAAGTGCGAGGCATGTGAAAAGTCTGTGGAAAGTTCGATGCTCAAGCGCATCAGACGTAGGCACATACACCTGAGATTTGTACTCAGGAGGCACTCATGCATGCAAAAACCAAAAAGTATGAGCTCTTCTCAGGGCTTTGGCTTAGGCTTGTAAGCGTAACTCTTTTGCAACAAATAGATGCTGGTTTCGTTTGGCTCTTCCAGGCCAGGGTGCGACGGCAGCTCCTACGTCGACATATCTACACATCGAAACATACATGCGATATTGTTGTGTGTGTGTGTGGCGGGCATGCATAATATGTACGTACGTGCTTACGAAGGTCGGCCAGTGGGCGGCACTAGCTAGGCAGGCTGGCAGCCACACAGGCAGGATCAGGCAGGTATGTTATCAGGATTTAACCCCGTCTCAGTGCAGTACGACTTGGGCCGGAAGCCTGACCTGCGGTGCGAAAGGCCTGAGTAGGGCGAGGCTTTAAAATTTCATCTCAGCCACCACTAGCGTAGCAGTCAACAAATAAGTGTGAAGTTAATAGAATCGCTGGGTAACCCTTGAGGGGCAGGCTTCGGGTCCTCTCCCAGGAAGTATCCGAAATCGATGTGGAAAAACCTCGGCTCGGGCCGGGCCGTGGATCTTCACATCCTCTGGCATGTTGTGAAAGGGTTGATGCTGCTGGTAGTCAACGAAACACAACCGGCTTCAACACCTGGTACTCCGCGCTTAAGTTTCAACGAATGTGCAAACTCTTCTGCTACCGATTTACATGCGCAAAATCCGCAAGTCAAACCTTCTCACTCAGAAATTACCAAGTTCTGCTCGGTTTGCAACAATTGCGTCTGCATCTTATCAGCTCCGAAACTAACGGCGAACAGCCATCGACAGATGGCCAGCGCAGCCAACATAAAACTTCCAAGCGTTCCACAGCGTCTGGGAAACTGTACAATAATACAAAAAGGGGCCATAACAATAGATACTAGTATTGGTGTTTCAAACCTCATCTCCTCGGTGGCCAAGTGATGCACAAAACCCCCAACCAACCCCGAACCCCGAACCCCCCCAGATCCTAAACTCCAAACCCGAAACCCTAAATCCTAAACCCCTAAATCTTACTAAACCCCTGAACCCGAACCCCTAAATGTTACTAAACCCCTGAGCCCCAAACCCTAAATCCTAAATCCGGCTTGAGCGCTCCACTGCCCCTGCTTTGTGAGGCAGATGTTCTCCAAGTGCCGGTCGCCCAGACCCAAGACCTCGGGTAAGAGGGGTCGTATTAGGGCTTCAGGGTTTAGGGGTTTTAGGGTTTTTTTTGACACTCACACTCGGACAAGCCTGGCAAGGTCTGCAGAAGTAGGTTCGACGCTTTACGGTTTAGGGGGTTTCGGGCTTCAGGGTTTAGGGGTTTTAGGGCTTTAGGGGTTTTTTTGACACTCACACTCGGACGAGCCTGGCAAGGTCTTGCAGCAACACAGGTTCGACGACACATTAACTGGCTCGCTGGACCGGTATCGTCCTGCAAGTCCAGCTGTCAAGCACATTGAAGACTTCACGCGACGACCGACTAACAATATCTAACAATCATATGTAACAATGGGTCGACAGCAACCCTCCAGCAGGAACAATCGAGCCTAATCCCACACAGAAAGCCAAGCACCCCATTTCTTGGTTTCGTCCTGTGAAGGGCACGTGAAACTTACTACCTGCCCCATCTTCGAGGACCATAGCCTCAACGACATCGTGCAAGCTTCAGAGCAACATGCATCTGTCAGGAACACATAAACTCTTCAGGAGCATGCACAAAATCGCCAAGCTTCTTGCTTTCCAATGCAGCTCTTGACTTACTGGCTTTTGCACCTGCAATATCCGCGCTCTTCCTGGTGTCAGACATGCATTGTCCACCCACCATAAGGTTTGTCTCATGCAGCCGCACAATGCTTATATCATGCAGGATCAGCAAGGCACACACTTCCATTTCAAGATGCACTAGCTGTTCCATTGTGCATATACCATGCAATGCAGTGTATACTGATGCAGTGTACTGGGCACTCAAGGGCACATGCAGCCGACTTTACTCATGCGCTTCGTGTTACTTCTCGTGCACTGATGGACCACCATGCAAGTGCGCTGTGTCATGTGTTCCAGTAGTTTAGTTGTATGCCATGCAGTGTGCACCAATGCAGTGTACTGAGCACTCAATTGCGCGTGCAGCCAAATTCTGCTCATGCACGTCCTGCTCATGCTGCTAATGCTCGTGCACTGATGGACCACCACGCACGTGTTGCTGCGCCAGTTGCTCCAGCCGCTGTGTGCCATGCAATGTGCACCAATGCAGTGTACCTCAGGATGCAGAGTACGCAGCAGCCGTATGTAGCAACTTGTTCTCCCCAATGCAGGTCATTCAATGTAGTTCTGAGTCCAAACTACGCCCAAATTAGCAGTCGACGTCTGCGTGGCCATGTGAGGAAGGGCTTATATACTCGAATGGGTTGGAAAGATTTAAGTCAACACTGCGAGGGAGGCTTGCAACGAATTGACTAGGGTGGCGACATCGTGGTGAGGTAGACCCAGCTGCAATTGCAGCGGTGCTTTTGTAAGGCTGGGCTGTTGTCACTGTGGCCTGTAATGCCAATCGCTGCTAAAATGTCTCTCACCACTTCGGTCGGCACCGCCAGGCGAACATCTTCTGGACTTTGCTCGTGTCACTGCGCTTCGGTGGCAGTGCACTCCTCCCAGTCGAAGTAGCGGCGGTTGATGCCAAAAAGGCAAAAGGCCTTGGGCAGCATCTTCACGTAAGTCTGCCACGTCGCCTACCGTCCGCGCAAGAATCGGAACGTGGCGATCATCGCGGGACTGGAGCATGGACTGCCAATACAGTGCCCCAAATCCGGAGCTAAAAGGGTTGTCCGGCTCGTGCCCGCCGTAGTCAACTGACCCGAAGGCAATGAATACGCTGGATCGGATGCAATCCGACTGGATGTTCGGGGCGGTCCCTGTCGAGCCATCGATCGTTAACTCGATCTCGAATCTCTGCAGGACTTGCTCTAGAGCACGTGCCATGGCCACCAGTAGCATCCTGAAGCGCAAGCATCCGGTCATCCAGTTCCAGGCCTTGCTCGACAATGAAACGGCATCCGTCATCTTGGCAAAAGATAGAAGCAGGGCCATTCGCCAAGTGCAACATAGCTGCTACAGCGCCTAGAGTTCGAACAGCACCCCAAAGAACCTTTTCCGTCTGGGCTTGTGCTGTGGACAGATATGTGGCGCATGAAAGGTACAACAACTCCAAAGCTTCCGCCCTGACAGTCCAAGATAAGAAGGCTATATAACCGTAACATGGAAGCCAAAATGGCATGAGCCGTAGCCATGGGGTTTAGGGCTTTAGGGTTTAGGGGGGTTAAGGCTTTAGGGTTTCTTATTAGGGAAATCTGGCATCCGATATTTTGGGGGGTTTGTGTAAAGGTTTTCTTTTAAGGGGGGGGGGGGGGGTACCTGCTTATTAGGGTATTAGGGTTTTGTGGCGTTCTATATGGGTCGGTTGTACAGGGTTTTCTCTTTGGGGGGAGTACTTGTGTATTAGCATGCACCGAAAGGAAAGCTTCGATGTTGAACAGCTTTACGACTGCACAAATGCACCCCGCCCATGTGCATATCGTTTCATTCAAGGTTTACGCCAAAGCCTTTTTTGCTGCAGGCTTGCTTGCAAGGAAAGCCTTTTTGCAGCAGGCCTCGTTGTCCAGCAGCCCGGTTACAGCAACAGCCCCCTTTCCCAGCTTCTTCAAAGCAAGGAAAGCCTTAAACCCTAAACCGGAGGGCTCTGTCGGAGATCACAAAGCCTGATGTTGTGTTTTATGCGGGTCTCCTGCAAAGGAAGGTACGGTTCCTTTACTTCAGTTTGTTGGAAGGATTTAGACCCAAGGTTTATTCGGTGAAGCAAGCGCCTCTGTAAGCCTAACAGTAGTGATTAGACGAAGTTTTTGATAATGATTTATACAGTTGCGTCTTATTCGGAGTTGGAAGAGTGTCAAGTCAAGACAAGACCTTTTGGCACAGACTTGTGCACGCCCCCCTGGATCTCAGAGCGGCTGCACTTGTGGCAGAAACCCTAAGCATCTGAGACATCTGAAGCACTGAGGAAAGTTAGAACATTGCATCTGATGATGTTGACGTAAATATCAGAGGGTTTTAATATGACTCCATAACAGCTGCCGAATTCAAAACGAGGAATACAAATCTCCATGAAGCTGGCGCCGCGGCATAAGATGCAACCTAAGCGCGGGCAAGACGGCAGCCAGTGGATACAATGCTGACGGTGCCTGGTGCTTGTTACGCAATCCTTTGTATCGCTACTGCCCTCAGCGAGTACGAGTACGATGTCTACCTCTTATGTAACACTAATACAGAAATAAACATGCCTTTGGTAGGCATGATTAGATGTGGATATAAATAATACAAGGCTCCGGTTGATTGCAAGCACAACTGTTTCTGGTCTTGCAAAAGCTCCTTGCATAAGCTTCAGTAAGGGAGGTGGGTAGTCTCTACAACTCCTCCCCGCATTACGATGCACTCGCCGCCGTTGCATCTCTCCTCCACCCTCTGGGCACTGGGATCCCGGCGCATCCAGCTGCAACTGTCCCACAGAAGTTGTCCATGACCTGTACCCCTTTTTGATCCCGGTTGTAAAGCTTCTGCAAGGCTTCGGTGTCGGTGCTCAATGTTCGAAGTGGCCTTGTTGGGGGTTTGCCTGTTCACATTCTCGGTCTTCGGGCTCAGGGTATTATGGCATAATGTATGGCATAGTAAGTACAGCTAAATACTACAGTAAACTATAGTATAGCAGTTTGGGGTGTAAGCTTAGACAATTCTACATTGCAGTGAGGACTTGGGCACTTGGGGCGACGGGCCGCCCCTTGCTTTGAGCGGCCTGCTGCCTTGCCTGGCTACAAAGCGATTTCGCCAGGAACCTCACAACACAAACAAACCATATGGGTGGTTGTCTAAATTAGGGTCCCTTTTTGGGTGCTTATTACAATACGGCACCTAATATTTAGGGTACCCAAAACGGGACCATATTTTTGACAATCACCCATATGATGTTAGCCGTTGGTTTCAGCATTTTGGGGATCCTCCCACGCAAACCCAACCAGTATCCAACATTACACATGAGCGAAGCAAGGACGAGTGACTAAGTCTGCCGTCTTGCTACGCAGACTGGAGAATCTAGAGGGAAATTAGGGGTACCTTATTTTGGGGTCCTTATAACATCTTATAACCAGGATCCTACTATTTAGGGTACTATATTAGGGTCCCCTATTTTCGGAAACTCCCAAGTGACCTGGTCGAAGTTCATGCCCGGGGGCCTTGGCGAAGCTTTCAGCAATTCACTTCCGATGCAGGTTCGATAGCCATGGTGATGAAGTTGAAGCTGCATATGAGCTCGAAGGGAGTCATAGAAGAGTTCAAGAGAATGAATTCTTCTGCGCTGACCTCACGAGGCACCGGCGTGTGTTCGACCAGCCAGGTTCCAAGGTCTCCTCGTGACCTTAAGCATTTCTACAGGGGCCTAAATAATTACAATACTGTTTTGGTGGTTCCTTATTATGATTCACTTAATATACCCCAAGACCCTATTCTTATTATTAAGGCCCGTATATTCTGCTGGCCCCTTCTCCATGTCCGGACGTGCTGCTCACGACCTCTCCGCAGCTTTTTGACACCTTGACCGTAGCGTGTGGCGCACATCGCTGCTCCGTCAGAGCACTGGGAGACGCCTTTCTCAATGTTTCTTCTTATCGGAACTTGCTGCAACGGCCTCTCTGTACACTGTACAAAGGCCCTTCTTGCAGCACTCATGGGTGCAGGGCTAAGAAATAGTGGCTTCAGTTGCAGTCGACGGTCCCTTTGCAGCTACTCCCAGGCAGCAGGCGGTCATAAGGTCGGTGAAGCAGCCACCGCAAGCGAGACTGCTCAGTCGATGGACCAGAGTCTGAAGTTGTCGGGAGAAACCTTGCCGAGCAACGCTGCTATTCTGACCGTGACTGCTCGGACCAGGTTTCAAACGGTTTCACACAGACAATAGATGCAGAATCAGAACCAATGCTTCAAAGACTCTGAGGACTTACGCAGCACGGCGCGTCTGCCCGAAGCAGATCGAAACAACCTGCGCAAATAAGCTTGGCATGCGGCATGCCAGCAAGTCGTACGGGCACTGGTGCAGTCGCATTCTTCGTCAACATAATCCGAAGCGCACGCCAGCAGTCATGTCAGCTATGCACGGAGCGTGTCGAAAGATATGTCCGAGCAGAATCCTGTTAGAGAATAACAAAAAGCATACCGATCCGCTGGAAATGTCACGACAAAGATGCAGTCGAGTGCTGGCGTGTAGCTGCGGATCCGGATCAAGCGAATACTCAGCAAGGGAGACACCAAGAAGCTGTCTGCCAACATGTGCATGCCCTGTCTTGCGTCGGACGAGGCATTGCAAAGAACCATGCCCAAGTTGCAAGCCGGCATGCCGTCGCGAGCAGGAATGCTCGCACATGCGCCACCGACGTAAACCAGGTACACAAGCCATCTTTTGAACGACTCTCCCCTTGCAGGCCTCCCCTACTTGCAAGGCGCATCGAGATAAGCCAGGATGCAAGCGTTACCAGTGGTAACAATTACCATGCATGGTGCCCAAAGCACCTTCCTGGTCGAGTTGCTCCCCAGCAGGCGCGTTAGCCCATCGCCCCGCTGTCATTCACCATTTCACCCATGGTGCGTTGGCCCCAAGGAGCATTGGGAATACCCGTGCGCACTGCGCCCCACACCCGGCCAACGGTGTAGAAAGGAGTGCGTGTGTGGGGTGATGCTATCTCCTTTTGGGTAGGGTAGGGCGTAACGAAATTCACAAAACACACGCTGAAGCAGTTGCACACATGACAGTCTGCATCCATGAATGCATGGTACATTCACCTTAGAAGATGCCGCAACAAATTACCAATTGCAGCAAAAATCAGCAAAACAAGGACTGCAATGCAAAGCACCCTTGTATGTCAGCTGTCTGCCGTGCTCGATGGATGCTTGCAGCCGCAATCGCATCATCAATCTTTCCTGCATTCATTTCCGTAAATTCTCATGGCCTTCCCTGCCAACAGCGTGCATCCAACTCCGACAGAGTTCGAAACCGGGATGCAACAGTTACAATGCATGGTGCCCAGAGCACCTTCCCGGAGGGTTTGCTCCCCAGCAGGCGCGTTAGCCCATCGCCCCGCTGTCATTCACCATTTCACCCATGGTGCGTTGGCCCCAAGGAGCATTGGGAATACCCGTGCACACTGCGCCCCACACCCGGCAAGCGGTGTGGAAGGAGTGCGTGTATGGGGTGATGCTATCTCCTTCTGGGTAGGGCGGAAGCCACAACAGACTCACTCAATGATTTGCACAGGTGCTGTTCCGCGCAGTGCCGGCAGATGCTCCTCAGGTGCACTCCACATTCGGGAACCGAAGCTAAACTATCGCGTTCTGACTCTGGGACTAAACCCAAGTGAAAAGCTGTTGTCTCGCAGCCCTGCTCGCAATCACAGCTTCGAAACTTTGCATGAAACGTCCAAATTAGACGATGCTGCCCTTGACTGCCCACCGCCCCAAGACAACAACTCGGCCTGTGATGCGCACCCGTGCATGCAGCAATCTGCCGTGCCCAGACATAGTTTTATCTTCTATCTTCATGAATTTCATCTCGTCAATCCTCACAGGCCTGCCCTACCAACAGCGTGCATCCAACTCCCACAGAGTTCGAAACCGGGATGCAAGAGTTACCATGCATGGTGCCCAGAGCACCTTCCCGGAGGGTTTGCTCCCCAGCAGGCGCGTTAGCCCATCGCCCCGCTGTCATTCACCATTTCACCCATGGTGCGTTGGCCCCAAGGAGCATTGGGAATACCCGTGCACACTGCGCCCCACACCCGGCCAGCGGTGTGGAAGGAGTGCGTGTATGGGGTGATGCTATCTCCTTCTGGGTAGGGCGGAAGCCACAACAGACTCACTCAATGATTTGCACAGGTGCTGTTCCGTGCAGTACCGGCAGATGCTCCTCAGGTGCATTCCACATAGGAGAACCGAAACTAAACTATCGCATTCTGACTCTGGGACTAAACCCAAGTGAAAAGCTGTTGTCTCGCAGCCCTTCTGTGATGCTGCCCTTGACTGCCCACCGCCCCAAGACAACAACTCGGCCTGTGATGCAAGCCCGTGCATGCAGCAACTGCCGTGCCCAGACATAGTTTTATCTTCTATCTTCATGAATTTCATCTCGTCAATCCTCACAGGCCTGCCCTACCAACAGCGTGCATCCAACTCCCACAGAGTTCGAAACCGGGATGCAAGAGTTACCATGCATGGTGCCCAGAGCACCTTCCCGGAGGGTTTGCTCCCCAGCAGGCGCGTTAGCCCATCGCCCCGCTGTCATTCACCATTTCACCCATGGTGCGTTGGCCCCAAGGAGCATTGGGAATACCCGTGCACACTGCGCCCCACACCCGGCCAGCGGTGTGGAAGGAGTGCGTGTATGGGGTGATGCTATCTCCTTCTGGGTAGGGCGGAAGCCACAACAGACTCACTCAATGATTTGCACAGGTGCTGTTCCGCGCAGTGCCGGCAGATGCTCCTCAGGTGCACTCCACATCGGCGAACCGAAGCTAAACTATCGCGTTCCGATTCTGGGGCTAAACCCAAGTGAAAAGCTCTTGTCTCGCAGCCCTTCACAATCACGGCTTCGAAACTTTGCATGAAACGTCCAAATTAGACGATGCTGCCCTTGACTGCCCACCGCGCCAAGGCAACGACTCGGCCTGTGATGCAAGGCACCCGTGCATGCAGCAACTGCCGTGCCCAGACATAGTTTTATCTTCTATCTTCATGAATTTCATCTCGTCAATCCTCACAGGCCTGCCCTACCAACAGCGTGCATCCAACTCCCGCAGAGTTCGAAACCGGGATGCAAGAGTTACCATGCATGGTGCCCAGAGCACCTTCCCGGAGGGTTTGCTCCCCAGCAGGCGCGTTAGCCCATCGCCCCGCTGTCATTCACCATTTCACCCATGGTGCGTTGGCCCCAGGGAGCATTGGGAATACCCGTGCACACTGCGCCCCACACCCGGCCAGCGGTGTGGAAGGAGTGCGTGTATGGGGTGATGCCATCTCCTTCTGGGTAGGGCGCAAGCCGCAACATACTCACTTCTGCACCTTTCAGAAACTGAGGCTGCACCCAGTCCACAAATCCCAAACTACGACGGCGATGCAAAGCACCACCGTTCGTCAGCAATCGGCTGTGCTCCACAGATGCACAAAGCAGGAATCGGTTGTGCAGTCGGTGTGCGAAGGCCTCCCGGCTCAAAGCGTACCCTCAATGTCAACTCCGACTCGAAACCGGGATGCACCCCCCAGGGCCCTGGTCCTCTCTCTTTTCTGTGGAGGACGAGGCGAAAGTAAACATAAACGGACTCACTGCTGCAGGTCCGTTCTCTAACATGTGCCCCTGAAGACTGAAGATGTACCGCAGGGCTATGCAGACCTGCCTGGACGCACTACTTCGAAAATATTCCAACACTGCGTAAGGATCGCACATTCCAGCACAGGTCCCCTATTGAGACCCCGTTACGTAACTACCAGCCATCTTTGCATTCTGATCTAGTCTTCCATGCCCTAAGCCGAGGAACTCACATGGAAAAAGCCCCATGCACCGCACTGGCCTGTCGTGCAAAGCCTCAGCGTATCCTCCCAAGCCTTCCGGATCGAAATCTGCAAGGCAGATGAGCTCCACCTGTCAAGACAGTGGTCGCGCACTTCACACATGAGGCCGCCAAGCTCAAGGCTTGACACTGCTGCCTTCTCCGCAATCGCAAATGCTTCGGCGGCTCGCAGAGTGGCGAATACATGCCTGCAGGCGTCCTCTGAATGAAACAGGATTCTCGCGATGTGGCCGGAGATCAAAGAAGCGGTGTGCCAAACACAATCCATAACCGCCATAAGCCATGCCATGACTGCTTGCGGGACAGTGGATGATAGTGGATGCACAAGCAGAGTGTCACTGTCTCTCCATGGTCCCTGGGTCGATTTTTGGTCCTCAGCTGTCCCTTTGCCAGCTGCTCCATCCTGCATGTGCTGCAAATTGCTACCAGAACTCCAAACTTCAATAACTTGAAGACAATCATCTTGGACACACCTTGTGCATTCAAACAAGCAGCTGCACGTACCGCATGCGATCCTCATCACAGAGCTCGTAGACCTTCAGGAAGAGCCCGTGGTGATCTGCTCGTCTTCCACCAAAGTCAATCCTCAGCCAAGTGCTGGCAAGTGCCATTGTGGCCGTGTTCTGCCCGGATGTGCCCGGATGGCTAAGACAGAGACAGCACGCTTCGATGTGGCGGGCTGGGTATTTCAAGCCCGCCATCGCGCGAAGAGATGGGTGAAAGAAGCACGGTGTGCACCTCCAGTCAAGCGATCATGGACCACTCGCACACGGTCGATGTCTGGGCAGAGCGCTGAGTCCCTGACAGATGGCGCATAATGCTTCAGGAGCCTTGGTAATCACAGCACGGGCGGCACGGCGGCCGTTCAAGCCCATGTTCAGAACGCTGGCAGGTTACCGGAAGCGTGTGAATGTCAGAAATGACACATTAAAGACATTGAGATGTTCAGTCTGCATTTGGCTGTCTGGGCCCCCGGAGGAGTGCAGGGAAGGACTTGAGATTTAGAACATTTAACTTCATCGCCACAGGCCCACAAAAGCGGGGCAGAGCAGCTGTCAGAAGCATCCAGTATCGTATTTGCACAGGTTAGTTGCGCCAGCAATCGGCACAGAGCAGTGAATGAAATTTTCACTCTGAGCACACTGAGTTTGTCTTCCTCTTTTGTATTCTATTCTCGAGGCAGTAACTCGTCGTGCTTCTGCACACACCGGGCACGAAACCGGGTCTTCGAGAGCTAGCGGAGTTTCTTACCGGCGGGCAATCAGAACTACTATTACTACCATATAACTACCATGTAACTACTATATTACTTATGGAAGGGCACAGCGGCCTTGATTCGGGGCACCCGCCCACATGTTCGTTGGCATGATAACATGAGCCGTGACATCGTAGGACAGATGTTCACGTTCTGGCTGACAACAACATGTCACACATCAGCAGGTTAACCTGCAATGCCACCTGAAAGTGCAAAACGAGCAGCATGCCAGGTGCCATTTGCGCCTCGTCATCTGGCTTGACAACTGGGTCCGACCTGCCCGGCGCATGCCTTTAGTTTGATCACGCAAACAAGGAGGTCCCCAGGCGATGACCCTTCGGACAGCACTTGGAACGTCTTGCGAAATTCCGGGACACACCACATCGAGGTCCGAATCTAGGTGCAAAGCTTCTGTGCTCGAGATTGCAGGAGTTGCTTCAGTTCCGCCACCCACCCACTCTGCCCAAACTGGGTCTGGCAGTACAGACGTGAGGACTAAGCAGCTAAGCCCGGAAACAGGACCTGCCAAGATTCGGCTTTCAAGCTCGCCTCTGCAAGTGGCCGTCTTCCGAACAGCATGGAGGGGATATGCCGATTCCCTCTTGAGGCTGAACTGTATGCAAGAAGCGCACTTGCTTAGTCCTGACACCCGGAAGATCCCGACAGCCAAAAGCTTCGTGGAGGATGTTATGTTATACCATGTTATACTATAATATACTATATAATACCAAATAATGCCATGTTATACTATATTAAACAATGCGCTCCGGCGGCCACGTGGGCTGTGCAGGCTGTGCACTGCGCTTTGGTTCTGTTCCCTAGCGTGTGCCGCACTCACTGTCTTTTTGCGTGGCGTCATCCTGCCGCTAAATCCAATACACCGAGGGCATGTTGTGTACATAAGGATAGATGAAGTACGCGCACAAAATTTGCACAACATCTTGGGCAGTTATCGTGTTTGGATCCCTATACAAGAATGCTGACCAGTTAAAGTTCGTGGGAAACTGTTTGAGTGCTGCCCGCATGCCGGGTCTGTATTGGACACAACAACTTGGAATTCTAATCAGCAGTCGACCATGCACTCAACTGTCAGGATTGCCTCGGCTTTCGCGCTATGGACACCACAGAGATGCTTTCCTGCTCAGCGGTGTGGTAACATGGATGCAACATGCCTGCAGTGTTGATGGTAAGACCTCACTGGCCATTACGGTAACCGGAGGATTTCTAGAGTCATCCGTTCTGATACTATCCCCTCTGCAAGGCTGTCCCGGCTTCAACTTCGAATACCGTGTTGGCGACATGACTCTCCTTCGACAAGAACCTCAAGTTGTACATAGTCTTCGCGAACAAACCACATTCCATGCTGACGTCATTTACGCATCGGAGGATGTCTGACAGATGCTGAGGGGACTACCTAAACTGTGCACCTGGCATCTGTCCCTCCAGGCGTTCATGAGATGCCAGGGTTCCATCTCAAGGCCTTGCGAACCTTGACATCTGATCAATGGATATCAGAGGTATCCAAAACGTTTGACATAATCCCTCGAACTAAAGCTCTACATATAAATATATGTGTGTATATATATATATGTATACTTTAAATCCTCAACCCCACACCCAGCGAGACGTTGGGCACCTGAAGCTCTCCGCGTCGAAAGCACTCTCCCAGATAGGACTCCAACCTCGCAGGACTGACCATGTGTAGCTCTCTAAAGTAGGGTTTAGGGTATAGTGGGTAGTTCTCTAAAGTAGGGATAATCAGAACAGGGTTTTGGTGTATCTTGTGTAATAAGGTACCCCAAAATAGTACTCTAAAGTAAGGCCCTTTTTCAGGAGTCTTGTTTAGAATAGCGCCATGGTATTTCGGAGCATAAACAGGGACCGTGATTTAGAGAACGACCCACATGTTCACGTAGTTGCGAGTCGTGTTTCAAGCTTACCATATCAATACCAGCATATATTGGTGTTGCACTACTGCCATAACACGTAGTACTGGAATTCGGACACACTGAAGATTTGTTGACTCCTCTTTTCGGTTCGCTGTGTCCCGAAGGCAAGTGTTGCCTGAGGCCTGGGTTCATACGGATACAGTTGTGCAAACCTGCCTTCCGCCTCACAGTACATCCACGGTAGCCGCTAGCCTTCGATCTGCCGGCGAAACTTTTGTCCAAGCGTCCGCTCGCGCGGCAAACCGCCTTGTCGCAAGAGCAGCAATGATTTCGCCGAACTTGCGAGGTCGAGCTTCACCACGGTGGACCTGAGCTGAAAGTGTGCAAGGCTGTGGGGTCTGTGGTGGTCTAGGGATGATTGAAGTTTTGGGATTCGCGCTGGGGTCGAGGAAGTGCTTTAGGGAAGTAGATGAAACCCAGTGCAGACCCAATGGCTCAATGCCAACATTGCAAGGTCCGCCATCCAGGATCTGAAGGAACGGCACGTGCTGTAAGTCCTTCAAGAAAGAGCCGGGAATGTGTGTTGAGGGAGACCTATACAGTAGCAGTTCAGTGGACCATGAGCTGCTTCCCACCATTCCCAAGCCGTCACCGTGAAGCCTTCTCTTGAGAAGAGGCTGAGTGCACAGGCGCTCATGCTCAAATCCCCTGTTAGAAGCCATAAAACCCTGAAGCCCTGTCCCCAAACCCTCCGAGCCTGAAGCACGTGGTCGGGAAGCGTCGGCGAAATATGGCCGAAACGATTTGCAGAAGGCGCTGCCAGCGGTTTCTTAGATGTTGCAACGCTGAACAGCAACAGCCAAGACTGAAGGACGCCCCAAGACGCCAATCCGACAAGGCCCGCACACCGGCGGCTTCGATCAACTGCCTTGCGGATGTTTCCATGCCGACTGAACTAGTAGGGAAGGGGGAATGGATCCCTATAGTAGTCCCTACGAAATCCTAGTATAGTAGTACCTACGAAATCCTAGTAATAGTCTCCATAACCCATTCCCCCACTCCCTACTAAGAACCAGACAGAACAGCCAGCAGCCTCCACCGGGCCTTGCAAGGGGATGGGACGGGCAGCGCACTGCCACGAAGCCAGTGCTGGCTGTCACCTGCGGAGGAACCACCGGGCCTCGGCTCGAGGAAAGACATGGTCGTTCCTAAAATAAACTTTCCGATCTGGCCGTCCTTACACTAAGCCCAGAGAGCCCAATACCCTTTAATTAGGGAATATAGCTTGAATCATAAGTTGAATCCCCTTATATTTTAAGGTCTATTCCTTAATTAAGGGCTATTAGGCTCTCTGGGAGGGTTGTGTTTGTTGCGTGGCATGTTTCCTGGAGATTCCCACTCTCGGACAAATCCAGGCGAGGCCTCCGGAGCAACCAGACTGGATTAACTAGAAATTGGTCTTGATATCACGGCAAAGCAGAACTTTGTGCTTCACAAGAAAAGTAATTATAGTACAATATAGTCTAGCCTAATATGGCATAGTATAGTATACACTTCACCAGATTATGCGACTACATGAATCAAGAGTCGCTGATCGAAACCACGGGCGGGCTCCGAAAACTTTGGATTCCGTGCCGTCAATCACAGGCTTGAGCCAGCGCTTAGTAGCCATAGCTCATGTGGGATTGGAAATCTGGGAGTTTCCGAAAATAGGGGACCCTAATACAGTACCCTAAATAGTAGGATCCTAATTATAGGGACCCCCCAAGAAGGTACCCCTAATTTTCGGAAACTCCCATATGAGTTCTGCTACTACTTCCGATAAAGCTTGGGTTTGACGGCGCCTGGTGGCCCTGGTGGCGGCGGTGCAATAGAGGGGCCTTAATCATTAGAATAGGGTTTCGGGGTCTATCATGCTATAGTTGTAATAAGGAACCCCCCAAAAGCAACTTCTGACTATTAAGGCTCCTATACTATAGTACCCTAATATAGATCCCTTATAACCCGTATAGACCCCTATTCCAATTATTCAGGCTCCTACTCTGATCCTCTCTGGCTTCCTTCTCTGATTCTCGTGCTCGATGGCTGAGGGACTGGCGAGCAGGGCCCACGATGCTGAGGGGTCCCGGCCAGAACTCCTGCAAAGCAATGTGGGGGTTTCCGAAAACAGGGGACCCTCAGAAAGTACCCGGACCCTGAATAGGGCCCTTATTATAAGGACCCCCAAATAAGGCACCCCTCATTTGCGGAAACTCCCACGTCACGCTATGGTACCATCATCAGGATTTGTAAACTCTTCTCACACCATGATCTTTAGTTGCTTTGTGTCTGGCAGCTGGTTCACTCCCCTTTTTTGCACAAGAACTTGCACATATGCCCGCCCAAAACTCTCCAAATCGCAAACTCGACGCGCTATCATCCTGAACCCTCAAGTCTGAGGATCCTAACCTCTAAGTCTCAGACCCCCAGAAGCCCGAAAGGGATGCGGCCTTCGTGAGCACATCGAAGACAGCTCTGGCACCCGGATCCAGGTCCAGAAGCGCATGCCTCGGCAACCGGCAGAGCTCATTTTAGCATCATCCTCCTCTGCAGGGCGATTTAGGATAGGTCTTTTGGGATGATGTTGGGTTTTCAGTAGGATTCATGAGGGCTCGATGGTGAGTTCTCCGCCGCTCAACTCCCGACTTCTGAGGCGCCTACGCATCTGCAGCCTTGGACACGTGCAGGATGCAGGGATCTGTCAATGGCCTGACACTTGGAAAACGCTTTCTTGCTCTGTTTCATTCGAGACTTAGCAAGGCGGATAAGTGCAATTGGGGGCGAAGAGGCAGAACACACATCGGTATCAAACCGAAACCTGTGCCTCTAGACCACACTCCTGGAATGGGTTTCTCCTATGCCGAGCCTGCCCTTCGCTTCGAAGATCTGCAGCACTGCATCCGGGTCCAAACCGTTGGCTCCCAAGCCATACCTTGCCACGAGAACTTTGGAAAACAACGGTTCAAGCAATAGTACTCAAATCTAGCGGACTCTTTCCCAATCACATAAAACCTGCTGTCTAACCGTCTAACCTGACGTTTTGGATGTTCACCAACATCGTCGTCATCAGTGGCATATTCTGATTTGACTGCAACCACCAGATCCGCAACACCTCGTACCGCATCCCCGAAAGCTGTCGTCATCATGATCGCCACGATCGAAGACGATGACCACCCAGGACCCTCATGGCGGCAGGACCACGATCGCTCATCAAGATCATAGTGGCCAGAATGACGAGTCGAGCATCGGTCATCATGACAGCTTTAATCAGCCCGCCGATATTTATGATTAGTCGTCTTTGCTAGTCGTCGTCACCACGACCACCACCACCAGCGGCACAATCGGCATTGTCATCTCAGCGGCTGCTGCTGCTGATGCAGGTCTGAGGCAACCTTAACCATAAGCATCGCTGTATGACTCATACTGAAACCCTCAGTTTTGGGTGTAGAGGCGGGCCTCGTGGGAGTGCTGAAGACCCCAAGCCCCGACCCGAAACGTTTATATAACCCCCAAGTACCACAAACTCCCAAAGCAAGAAGACTCCTAGTCTCCGAAAGCACCCGTACCAAGCCCAAAGCCTCAAGGCTACAGAAAAGTGCATTGGTTGCTGAAATCCTACACCCCAAATCCCGACTCTAATCCTCCTAACCCTGAAGCTTAAAGCCCCAAGGCGATAGTACCTAAAATGTCCTAAACCACAACCGAAATCCTGCAAAAACCCTCATGAAACCTTAGAAAAACCCGACCTGCGCCTGGGCCCCCGGGCACCGTCTCCGTGGGAAATGCCACGAGGCGGCCGCGGCGCAGCGCCGCGCCGAGGGCTTCGAAGCGCTCCGGGTGGTGGGGCCTCGGCTCAAAATGAAAAAAAGGCACCGGTTTTGGAAAGGTCTCTATAAGACTAATAATCATAAATGCAAACAATAATAACAGTAATAATAACAAGAAGCGTTTTGGTAGAACTTGTCATCGGGATCTCATAAGAGGCTTTATGAGGGCATTTAAAGGAGTGCGAACCTCACATCGCTGAAGCGCTGTGTTTAGCAAAGTGCGCATGCTGGGCATATTCCACCAGACCGCCAGGCGTGCGACCCCTTCAAAGCGCAAACTTGCACATCTCGAGCGCATTAGTAGTAGTATCCCCTCACAGTCCGCAAGGAGTTGTACGATCATCCGCGTTCTAACAAAAAAGGATGCCCCTGTACTGTGAGGAGCTGTGCGCTAGGCACTGCAGGTCGAGGTCTGGTTTGAAATTCACTGGCTCCGAGTCAGGGCTGTCGCGAATTCTGTCGACACAGCTCATCACTTGAGATGCATGACTTCCGCATGAATCTTGGGTGGGGCTAGTTTCGAACGTGGCAAAAGACAACAAGGCCCAAACGCTCTGCCTGTCACGGTTAGCACATAAGGATTGCCAATATTGTGATTATTCTTCCAGGTCCGTGGGCTCCGGGCGGCCGGAGGATGCAGGCAGCCTGGCCGTGGCAGCACGGAGGTTACCAGAAGCTGCTTTCGGTAAAGTTTGGACTCTGCGAGTTGGGTTCGGGACTCGGGACGTAGGGTTATTTTTGACACTCACACTCGGACAAGCCTGGCAAGGTTAACGAATTTTTGCCCGGTCGATTCACCAAGCAAACCTGCTGTCAAAATCAGCACCCGAGAAGCCAGGAACAAGTACTCAACTCATATCACATGCTGGGTTCAGGGACATACCTGAGCTGCCTTCAGCTTTCAGGGTGCAGAGTGGTATAATCACGCCGCCTCATGTCTGATCCCTTGCCCACCTCCTCCTCCTCCTCAGCCAGGGCAGCCGCCGGTCTCCTGTTCTGTCCGAGAAACTCTTCCGATGCAAAATCCGACTTGTGATCGTGTTGGTGATGGTACTCACGATGATGATGATGATGATGCTGATGCTGATGCTGTTGGGGTGGGGTGTGGCTGGCAGAGGCGGTGGTGTTGATGAAGATGATGAGGTGAAGATGACGACGATGATGATGGCGGTGGCGGTGCGTGTCATGCCGATTGCGGTTGCACGAGAGCTGATGGACTAATCACTGAAAGAGACTGAGGCAGCATCAGGGGGACGAGAAGGAGGATACTGAGTCGCTGGTGGCGAACATGACAAGGATGATGGTCAAGACGAGGATGAGACATCCATGATGCTGCTGGTGTTGATGACCACGATGAACAAGCTAATCTTGCAGCGGACAGCATTGTGATGATCAAAGTGACGATCCCCTCGCAGTAGCCCTTGATACAGTGGACATCAAAGCTCTCGACACGGGTAGTCTTTCAGCAGTCAAGATATCTGCCTTAAGTCTCTGCAGGTGCTAGGGTGTCACTCTCGAAATTCAGACTCTGCAGGTGGGGTTCCAGCTTGTCCAAAAAGGCACGCTGAAAAGGTGCCAGAGCATTTGATCTGACAGCCCAACGTAAGATGCGATGCGAGACCGAATAATGTAGCATAGCATCATGTAATGACATACGATGTAACATAATACAAATTTATATAAGAAAGTTTACACCATATAGTCACCATATCCTGCTTTAATGTAGCACGCACCCCCCACCCCCCCACCCCCAAGTTTTAGACGAGCAGCTTGCGGCTTGTCATGGGAAAGCTGGCAATCTCATGGCACTACTGCAGGCCCCGAGTGTCACGAACCCTGGTGCAGGGAAGCTAGGAAAACTGGACGCTGCAAGTGAGCCCCGACTTTCCTAGTAAACAAGCTTGGAATACAAACTCCGAAGTCACTGCTGAGCTGATACACATGTCGAAATCTGCGTGGCCCCACTATCTTTCTCATGTTGCTGGAAGATGCGGTCTGTGGGCTGGCCGAATGGGATTTGCAAACAGACCTGCCGCCCTGCAAACATGCAGGCCATGCTACACATTAGTCGTCGGCTGAGGTCCAGAGACAACGCTCCAAGCAGTTCCCTGTCACCACGTACAGTGCAGCCTACACAGGTATGCAAACCGGCATGCGCTGCAATTCGCTACGGACAGCTTCTGCAATCCCTGCATCTGCACTGAGGTCTGTGGCTTGTGCAAGACTTCGGTCAGACTCGTAGAGTCGGGCACAAACTTCACGTAACCGGACCTGAGCGTGCGTTCGTAATGGAGCCTGTGATTTCTGTTTTGATTCCTAGAAGGCTTTCCCTTCTTCCGTGGCCTATCTTCTGAAGAGCTGCTTTTGACGGAAGGCTTGCGAAGCACAAACCAACGGCAAGCAGGGTCCGACATGGTCGGACGCCCTGCAACGTGGTCCAAAGAGATGCATCTTGATGATTAATAAAACCCATTTCAGATTTTATAACAATAATCATATAACTTTGGATGTTCGAAGAGATCTGCGCTGGTTCTGGACTCGCGCTCGGTGAAGAAGGAACGGCCGTTGAAGACGTGCTCTCAGGAATTGTCGGCCACGTATCTGCTCAAGGAATAGCTGGGGAGGAACCCGAGCTTGTCCCACTCTATCCTTGGCTCATGATCCAAGAGGGGAGCTTAAAGAACAAAATACAGCCGAAAAGAAACAAGGGTCCACAGAAGTTTCGCAATAGCTGCGGCTGGGCATCAAGAACTCTCGCACTCTCTCTGGTTGTTTGCAGGCAAGGCAAGTCTTCAAGAGGGGTTCCACCAGGTCCTCCTCTAAGATGCCACCTTTGCCTATAAATTCCTCAAATATGAGCAGCGCACGCTCCCAGTTGCTGGTTGCTTTGCAGACTTCGAGGGACAAGCCAAAGGCTTTGACGGGTCTTGTCAGCGCAGAGTCCTGCATCTCGTCAAAAAGAGAGAGGACCTCATCCCATTGTCCAGAGTTGGCACATGCTTGCATAGCATGTACAATGCAGAAGGAAGTCGGGCTCAGCCCGATCTGAGGCATGTAGTCCAAGAAGGCTAGTGCCCTCTGCCACTCACCTAGCTCAGCACAGGAAAGGATCGCAGCAGCATAGGCCTGCGCATCAGGCCGTAGCTGAACGGTTTCCACATCATGCAATAACCACAGTGTCTGATGGTGCTCGCCGCTGTTGCTGAGGGCTTTAATGGCAGCAGCATAGCACGACACGTCCGGTAAATTGGACTGGCTCTCCGCCGCCGCCCACAAGCGAGACAGGGCGGCCTCCCACTGCCCGCCTTCGCCCAGAGCTGTCAAAGTGTGCTGGAGCGATTCAACATTAGGCTTCACTCCAGCAGCAGCAGCCGAAGCAAGCAAAGCCAAAGCATGCTCCCACTGCGCAGCGTTGCCCAGGACCCTCAGAGCCGTGTTCCTCAGCAGAAGGCCATCCGAAAGCCTGCCTGAAGCACCTCTGAACCCGTTTTCGCGAACTATAACATAGTATAACTTTAGAATAAGGAACCCCCAAAACCCAAGTCTTATTATTAAGGCCCCTACAGTAGATCCTGCTCAAAATTCAAGCCGAGCCTCAAGGCTTTTACATCTGGCCTAAGGCAAGGGCTTCGAACAAGACGGCTCCAAACATCTAATCCGGCTTCCCAGCACCTCCGGGCCCCCACTGCAGCCAGGATATCCGAGTACTCCGGCAGCGTCTCAAGGTGGCCACTTTGAAGCAGAGCATGGCAGATTCTTCGGGCCTCGCTGGGCCTCGTCTCCGGATTCCACAGCCAGCCTCTTAACTTCAGCTTCCATTTCTGCACCTGTGCCGCAGGGTGCAGCTCCATCGTCTCTGCAGGCGCTGACATTCTCTCATCCTGAGAGACCCCCACCACCTTCGCCCAAACAAGGGTCAAGGCAGCCCTATACACTGATCGCTACGGGACTACCTTGGATATGCTGTGCGTCGGGACTACCATGTGAGAAACTTGCTTTCAATTCTTCTGCTCAGTCCTGACATGCACTGCCTTATGCCTCATGCAGCGAGGCAAACTTGTGGTATGAGGGAAGCATACCAGCCCTGCTCAAGCCTGAAACAGCTACATCCAAGGATGACCGGACATGCCATGCTTAGCTCGGATTGAGACTTGTTCAAGCATATATTTAGCTGAGGCGAGCTGCGTGGGCGTCACAGCCAAGACTCGAAACCTCAGAAGCCGTCGCTGCTCCAATCGTGTTATGTTATCTGGCGCATTTTAACTCACCGCAAACCCGTGGCTCCCTGGGAAATCGCTGGCTGCTTCAACCCATTGGCCTCACTTTGTGCAGTCCCCCCTTCTCGTCTGGGGTCTTGGCAACGGCAGCTGCACCAGCCTCGCGTCCTGGCAGGGCTCCAAGCATTTCGAACAACCAAACAACTCCCACTTCTTCTGGCAGGAGGCCGAGTTTCAACACTCTGAGCCAGGTACTCGGACAGAACACACAAAACAGCTGCAAGGTTCGGCGGATTGGGTTCTCATCCCGTTTCGACGCTCAGACGGCTTCGAACTAGCACGGTCGGACAAGCAGTCTTACGTCAGGTCTTGGCCATCGTGAAACCCGGAAGGCAACTACTCCGACTCTCAGAACAGGCTGTGCTTCAGAGGGCCCTGCGAAACTGACAACTTGGTAGTCGCTGGCCAGCGCTTTCGCACGGACTGACTAGAAACGAAAGTTACTAAAGTTAGTAGAACAGCTACAATTTGATGCTTGGCTTTCAATCAGGCTTCGCCAGGCCTGTCCCGGCAGATGATTCCGCCAGATGCAGTTGCACAGAGTCTCAGCTGCGTTGCAGGAGCAGTGTTCTAGCCGCTGGAAGGACGATACGCACACACTACGACCCAATTCCGCACTCATCATTGAAGCACGCCCGCATGAAAATTATCTCATGTGTAGCAGTGCAGCATGTAGCTGATGTTGAAGTGTCTGCAGGGCCGCGGGCCATCAGCTGAATCACCAGCTGATCCTGACGAAGGTCATCGCCGACCTCCACATCACACGTGGCGAGATGCGGGGAAAACGCGGAAAGCGTCGCGATCTTGTTGCAAGCAGCAGGCTGCAAAGGGAGCTAGATGAATGCTGACTGCTGTACAGCACCCCCCGGTTGCATCTTCCGTAAATCCTGAGTGCACCGCCTTGAGCAGGTACTTCTCCTGGACTTGTTCTCCGGGTCGCCTTGCGGCCTCGGGATCACACGGAACATTGAGCTCAGTAGATTCAGTTGGTTGTTGCCACTAGCACCGTTCTTCAATCACGGTCATTGTTGCTACAAGTATGGCTGTTGCCATCAGCGTTATTAAGGCATGTCCATCGTTCTTGTGATTCGTACAGCATTGCTTAACTTCTTCCTCTACATAGCCTTAAGCATGCCGTCAGAACAGGACAAGGACTAGGAAATACCTTTTTGAACGAGGGGTTGCCAGCCTCATCGATGGCAGGACTAGGAAATCCCTCTATCCCAACCTCAAAGCTTCTAAACCTTAAACTTCCAGACCCCCAAACCCCAAGCTTGAAACCCTAAACCCCAAACCCAAGACTTCTCAATCCTAAAGCCTATACAAACATCTAAACCCTAAACCCGAGACTTGTAGACCCTGAGCCCAAACCTTCTAAACCGTAAACCCACAACTTCCAAACCCTAAGCCCTGCTCCCTGCTCCCGAAGAGAGGCGCCTGGTGGGATCGGGACGGCGAGGTTGCCGGGCTGTGAGCCAAGGATCCATGCAGCTGGTTATGCCGGGTCCTGGCCACAAGTATAGGGGGCTTAATACTATGATTTAAGGTATATCCCTCAATTAAGGGGTTTTGGGTCCTGGCCACAGTGGATGGGTTTGCGGTTTAGACATTTATTCCCTCCTACCTAGCAAGGACAGGTTAAGGTTTTTTTGACTCTCACACTCGGACTAAGGCAAGGTCTGCAGCGATACTGGGCTAGGGTTTAGGGTTTCGACTCACACACTCGCACAAGGCAGGCATGGCTTCAGGCACTGGGTCCACTGAGCTTGCAGGTTTAGGGTTTAGGCGTTCACACTCGGACAATCCAGGCGAAGCATATGGTTCGAGGTCTGCTGATGATGAAGTGAAAATTCGAGGGTTTAGGGTTTGGGGGTTGGGCGGGACGGAAACTATACTGATGACGACAAGAATGGCAATAGTCGACTTTAATTATTGTCACCAAAATGCATCTTACAGCGTTGGATGTTTTGCCAAGGTGGACGCATCCGCACCCTGCATGCATCTCTCGGCGCGTGCCTGCACACCAGCATCAGAGGTGCCTGCTTCGATGCCAGCACTGCACCTGTCGTCTGATGGGGTTCTGGCAGCCGAAACAATGTGGATTGTGATTACAGGTTCCGCTGGGGCCCAGGCTCTTCTCTACCACCGTACCCTCGAAGCGGACACTTGGATCCACCGGTAACCTTGCTTTTAACGATTCCATACCCGGCACATTTGTCAAACGACCAGCTGCTGAGCACGCGTGGGACTATCCGCATGCTTGGGGTCAGGCGAAAGGAAAAGGTGGTCCGTCTCCGTGTCAGGGTCTACAAGATCCTGACAAGCCAATCCATGGCAACCGATTACGCCATGTAGAACGCATTCACAGCAGTGCAGCACGAGGTCGTGGCAATGCCCACGGCTGGAGCCTGGGCGGGTCAATGCAAACACTGGGTACTTGTTAAAGAATTTAATGCACGTTACCATAACCGCGAACTCATACGGTTTCCTCATTGTGGTACCTTGAATTAAACCACTTTACAAGAACCCAGAATAGCAGATTGTCAACCGAAATGCTGTGAACTGCGTCCCAAGGCTGGGCACGTCACACGAGTTTCACTCTTGGTTTGACTTGGACGCTGGCCCGGTGACTCGGCCTCGTGTGCAGAGTCCCGGCTTCCAAGTCGTTCACAGGCGGTGCGAGTCCCCGCCACCTCGATCTTGGGGACGCCAGGATGGCTGCATCCGCTGCTGCGAGGTTAGTGTCAGAGGACTCCAAATCGAGGGCACTCTGCCGCCTCAGGTCGCGTGCCGTCAATCGAGTGTGGAGCGCTTTGCATTTGGGTGCGCAGCAAGACGTGCCATCTGCGAAGGACCTTGCAGAAGCTGAGAAGCTTAACGTTAACTGTCGTGGCTGCGTGACGGGTCATGTCCAATTGTGCGCTGCAAAACTAGCATCACTTCGCGAAATCCCAGCGCTTGTTCGAGACTGAAACACGCAGCAGCACCGGATCCAAGCAACTGCCGGCCTCTCGCAGTTTGGTGGTCCTGCAACTTCAGGAAGAAGTAACATAACACAGCAAAACCACGATTTAGAGCTCCATGAGCTGCGAAAACATCGCCAGTCACGTAAGTCTTCGCATCAAGACCGCTGACTTGTCAAAACCCTTGCGGCTCCGATGATGGAAATTGCCGCCGCCGGAACTGGATTGCTTGTTGTGGTACTGGATAAGAGCCTACAACAAGACATGCAGAGTCAACAATAGTAATAACAATAAGAATGTTCATAACAACTCTTAAAAGCAACTAAAAAAGAATAGGAACAGTAGTAATAATAAGCACTCAGTGAAATCCACGATGAGCGGCCGGTGGCACTGAGGCGAGGGCGGTGTGCTGTCGCCAAACTTCGCACTGCCCGCCGACGCGCCGCCTGCACTCCCAACTAGGGTCCATGTGAAATTAAGCCCTAACTGGGCCCGTTACAGCTCCTGTTACTGCTCTTTGGGGACAGAAACCTGGACCCGAATTGAAGAAATACGCATGGGCCGTCTGCGAGCGCCTGGTTTCAATATGATGATAACACTGAGGGGTCGAAAGAGCGTAAAGACCCCCAGCAGGTTCCCCACCATCGGTCGGTCTTTTTTCCTGTCAGGCGGTGTGTCCTGTCGTTCAGAAAGACGGAAGCCAGTGCAAGGGCCAAGATTGCTCAAGACACGGATTCAAATCGATCCCTCATATCTTTTGCGAGCCTACGGCGGCTCCCTCATTCCTCCTTCAGGCTGGGGAATTTGTCCAAAATGGCCAAACGTGTCTGAATGAAGGTGGGTTTCACGGCCAGGACGTAGATGCAGTAGCCTTTCTTGACTGCATACTATGTACGATGGGTTGACGCTTCATGAGGATTAGCTGATTAGCGTTCTTGCCACTTGACTGGGTGACTGTCGATGCCGCACTGCCGTTCACAGGGCTTGAGGGATCGCGGACCAAAGGATGGAACCTGCTTGGGTTCTACACTACTACTGTAGGAACCTGATTAAGAAACCCTGGGCCTGCGACCCCAAAATAGTAGGATTTATATAAGGAACCCTAATTAAGGCCCAAGGTTTCTTAATCAGGTTCCTACATTATTCAATCTTCCCAGCATTCCCACTGGCTTCGGGCTGCTTGTTACGACTTTGCCAAATGCCTATACCACCCAGAGCTTCTCAAGCAGCCGCCACAATGCAGTCGCCGTGCCTAATACTGATTGCGCTAACCTACTGTTCACCTAAGCATCTAGCAATGAGCCCCGCCTACTTTGGAACAAACCCTAAAACTACCAATCCCTGAAACTTTCAAGAAGGGCAGTGATCGTATTAGGGTCCCTTCGTACAGTCAATATACCAGAAGGAGCCAAGGCGACCATTGCCATGGGTTAGAACCGTTCCCAAAAACTAGCCTGCTACAAGACTTGAACTCCTTTTGAAATCATTCCTCATTGATTCTTGAGCACCTGTGGGCACGAACAACGCTGTATGAACCAATTCTGGCCATAAACTGGTCTTGATGCATACAAACCGACCACGATGTTCATCAACCCCTATAGGCCCTAAAACCCTATTAGCAAACCCCATTTGCCCTTGAAGCTACACTGCCCCAAGCCCTCCCCAAAACCCTAAACCCCTTCCGAGCAGCCGAAGCAGTAGCCGTGGATCGCGGACAAGGCGTAGCCTGGGCTCTTGGGAATTTAACTTAAGTTCCTTATTATGGTACCCTAAACCCCAAAACCAAAAACCCTGGTAATCCCCTTGATAAGAACCCAGTAGCGCATGGCGGTGCCACCGAAGCCGCCGCCGCCAGCAAAGCCAACCTTTGAGGCTCCAATGTACCTTTTTGACTTACCTTTGGTTAGTAGGGAATGGAAGAATGGTAGTAATAGTAGCTATAATTGTACCCCATTCCTCCATTCCCTACTAACCAAAGGTAAGCTGATTCGGGTTGAGGGTTTACGCTCTCGCAACTCGGACCTGCCGGACCAGCTCTCTGTGTTCGGGTGCACACAACAATACTACCACTCTACTGCGGGTTTAGGGTCTCGTTTTCGGCTGTTTCTTTCAGGGCTTCTTCTTTCAGCGCTTTCAATGGGTTGGGCCTTCTTCGAACGACCGTTTTCCGTCCGGCTTTGACCTTCTTTTCTTTGGAAGGGGGGACCCCTTTTCCTTCTTCATGTTCTGCGTCCAGAATTCCTGCTTCCCTCTCGCTCGCTCGCTCGCTTCCGGGGATGAGTCTGCGAACAGGCCCGGGCCTAGGCCCCCCCCTTCCTGCCTTGTTGGTGGAAGGAGGCATTGGGGTTCTGTGGTGGGAGATTTTCCCCCGTTGGTTGTTGCAACTGGTGGCGTGCGTACGGTGCTGGACCCCCCCCTCAACCCTGTACACTAACCCGCGTCCCGGCCTCATCGCCGCGCCCTCTAAGGCTAGTTCCTTAGAACCTGCACCATACGCGTCACCCCCCGTAAGTCAGCGTGGTTGAAGCAGCCCCCCTCCTGTGCATTGCCGAAACATGCCGAAACAAACAACTGAGTACCAGGCCAAGCAGATCACTGTACGATGCCAGGATATACCCACTAAGGCCCGAACAATGCATCACCACAGTGCACTTACAACACAGGACATGCGCAAGCTGACTTCCCCCCGAGCTGAAAGATCCCTACAGCATCAAGGTTCCTACTCAAAGTTGAGTTCAGTTGCCGGCGAGACTCTGTCACATTGCCAATTTTGCTCCAGCGGCCCGTCACAAATTAGGCTTAGCTTCGTAAGCTCTTCAAGAAAGCAAAAGTGACCTCTCATATGCGAGGTCGAGGACGGCTCGAAAAATTTCCCCCTCACGCTCACTGCTTGTAGTTCATGGTGCTCTCTCCCCTCGCATGTGTGCTTGCACACGGCGTACGGCTCTCCACATTGGGCCTGGCATCAGCCGTACTCTCCTTGGGCCGCGGTTCGGCGAGCTTGGCCTGGCTGTGTATTCTGTGTTGGAGCGTTTTGCTGCGCCTTGTGGGCTTCGGTTCGCCTTCGGCTGCTTCTCCCCTCGCTGTCTCCTCGGGCTGCGGCTCGGCGTTCTTGGTCTCATTCTCCCCCTCGTACTGGAGCTTGCTGCTTCTCTTCCAGTGCTTTTGCTTGGCATTCGTGGTTGCATCTCCCCCCTTTGGGGTGTTGCATCGTCGTCTCGGTGGTTGTCGTCATCCTCGCCCCAGTCCACTTCGTCCTCCTTGTAGGTGGTGGCCGGTGCTGTTGTTCGGCTGGTCTCCCCCGTGGTTGTCTCGGCTGTGGCTGGCCTGTCTCGGGCGCTTCCCCTTGTCGTTGAACGCCCCTCCTTTGTCACACGTGTCTTCTTGGTCTTCTCGTCCTTCTTGGTTTTGGCCTTGTCTTTGTTCTTCTTCTCCTTCTTGGCTTTCTTTCCCCCTCCTTCTGCCAGGGTTGGTGTGAGCTTGGCTTTGAACTCCTGCTTTGGCCTGACTGAGGAGTGTCCACGGGTGCTTGGCCACGTAGAGGAGGAGCTCTTTCATTACCTTGGGGCTCCTTGGGGTTCCCCTCCTTGACGATGGCAACGAGCTTGTCTGCCTGGCGTCCTGTCTCCCTCCGGGCGTTGTGTCTCTGGACATATTGCTGCCATTCCTGGGCATCGGCTTCATTCAGGATCTCCCCCGTCCTCAGGTCCGTGAAGTTCCCCTTTCGCCAGTTTTTCTGGATGCTTCTCCCTATCCATCTGTCTAGCGGGTCCGGTTCGTAAAGCAGCGCTGTCCCCTGCTCACTCTCAAAGCGCGCATACTCCGTGTATGGTCGCGTCTTTCCTGCTACTTCGCAGGATCCCCCACCTTGGGGCTGGTAGAGGTCGTGCTCGTCGGCCTCCTCCTTCTGCTTCCTCATGTCGCTGGGTGCTGCCGTGCTGGCAATCCCCCCTGTCGCCATTCGTTGTCTGTAGCAGGTGCTACCGCTGTCGTGGGACTTGTGGTAAAAGGGGCCTTCCAAGCACGCTCTGCAAGTCACCCCCATCTCCCTCAGTCTTTCCGCGAGCACACATTGTTCCTGCCAGGTTGTTTTAGTTTTGGCCGGCTTGGCTTCCGGCTCCCTTCGGATTCTGCTTCTCCCCCTTGTTGGGCCCACCTTCCCCTCTGACTTTGCTCGCGATGCTGAGCTTGACATTCTGGATAATGTTGAGGTAGTACAGCAAGATCCCCGTGGTCCGTGGCGACAAAGTATGCTCCGTCCCCCTACTGGCGGGCCACCCTCAATGAGGGTCCGCGGTCAGGTTCGGGAGGATGCGTCGGCAAAGGGGCATCTTAAGCAAAATGGCGTCAGGCGGAGGACTCCAGCGTCCGCTGGAGGAAACGCAAAGGCTCCCCTGAGGTTACAGCCTCAGGTCAACCCTGCGTCTCCCCCCCGATGCCAGGAGGGTGCACAGCCCTCCAAGACAAGGGTGCAAACACTTGAGCCAAAATGGCCTGCTTCCCTCTCTCGCTCTGTCTTTGCCGTGCCATCATCAAGAGTTCCTGGCTAGGAAGAAGTATTGGAACTGAACCTCAAGGCACCGGAGCTCCACAACAAGTAACTAGCAGGACAGTGTAAGTGGTCGGCATTGGTTAGAGCTTCAGGATTTTGACTCGGCTTTCGAGCTCTGGGCGCCTACAGCTTGGCGACCTTGGCAAGACCTCTGCTCTGCATGAACTTCTCAGGCTCAAAGGCACAGGCTTGAAGGTTCTAAAATTTCTAAAGCGAACTGTCGCGAGCTCTGGTGGGGAGCTCAGCTCGTGTCGAGGCAATCCTGGATTCAAGGGGTCGGTCGGAAGGTTTCAGGGTCTGGATTCACAAAACGGGTTGGCTGTTGCCTCTTCGGAGCAAGAACATTTGCTACTTCTGCGGTTTTGCGACCAGACCTCTCGAAAGAGTGACAGTTTGTATCCAAGTTGCAAAGCCATTGCGGATCTAGGATCAGCGAGGCACGCAGAAGCTCGGACAAAGGGCGAGAGAGGCCTTGACCCAGAATTGCTGCGTTAGGAGACGCATGAGCTGGCTCTCTCCTCCAGCAAACTACGCCACAGCTGCTAACACTCCTTTAAACTCCCTTTTCAAGGCAGGCTTGTGGATGAACTTGGCCACAGATCTGCTGTTTTACTCCAAGCTCGATCGCAAGCTCGCATCTGCCATGACAAGAGCTCCCTCAAGAGTGTAGTTCCCTCCGATGAAGCCTTGGGCAGCGAATTGAGCGATTTCCTGGGCCTTCCTCCTCAACCAAGGACTCATAGCTCATGGCAAGAAAATGTGTGCGCGTGTGTGCCCGTCGCCACTTATCTAGGAACCAGCCCACGCCCCCAGCACCTCTCGTGACACGAAAGCCATGGCTTGAAAGCAAAGCAGCCGTTGACATGGACGAAACAGGATCCTGCGCGCTGGGAGGCTTCACTTTCTGCACGGTCACGCTTGACATACCAGTCACACATGCAGCCGCTCACTCCTCGGCTTCGTTTCTTCGGAGAAACCCTGCTACCTAAAAGGATCTATGCTTCTATGTATGTGCATCACAGTACTATTGCTGTGACTACGTAGGTATGAGTACATGGAGGCAGCTACATCTAAATCTCGCAGTCCAAAGACAAGTAGTTGAGCAATTCTTGTATGTAAGAACTGCCAACACAAACCGACGGCAGACCAATATATATACAATTGAATTGTGTATTTGCAAAACTCATCTGAAGCTCCTTCGATTCCACTGGCTTTCTCCAAAGCATCGTCCCGCAGGCCTCGCCAAGACCTGGCAACAGGGGGCTTTTGCGCTGGTTCTGTTAAGAGATTCCCTGTAGCACCCCTGTTGCGGATACCGCTTTGGAGAGCACAGCAAAACCCTAAACCCTAAACCCTAAAGCAACAAAGTGACAGCTGAGCTTGGCCATAGTGCACTCGAGCAGCTCTGGCAGGGAGAGGCGATTCGTAAAGAAACGACCTTCGATGGGAACGGCGCGTACCCGGTAGAGGTCCTCCTGAGCTCCCATCGCTTTGGACTCTAGGGTTTTCGGGGTCTCCTCCGTGTGTATACTATACTGTTCAACTTGACTGTTCGCATCCAGCCTTGCATCACATAGCAGTCTCCTGGCTGGCACAATGGTACAACAACAACAACAACAACAACAACAACAACAACAATCACAACCACAGCCACAACCACTCACAACACCAACAACCCCAACAGCACCACCACTACTACCACCACCAACAACAAGAAAGACAACGACGACAACGACAACGCTTTAGAAGAGCTCAGCAACATGATGTTGCCAGCCATGGCTCTTCCGGGTAGACCTTGCAAAACTCAAGACGCTCCGCGCTTTCTTTGCATCATGTCAGTCTCTGGACCGGCTTTTACCCCGAAGTGGTATATTAGTATACTATGGATGGTAACAGCGACAAGGCCTTTGGAAAAAATGAAACCGCTTCTGAGTCCGAAACAGTGCTTTCTGCAATAGATTCTGAAACTCTCCGCTGTTCACTCTCCACTACGCAACATATGCTCTTTGCCAGGCACTATACATGACATCAATGACTGTTCTCGTAAATCGCACGTAAGACTCGGACAAGCAGGAAGGCTTGCTCTTGCGCAAAAACACGGACACCGCATCACAGCACAACTGTAAGCATGAAAACCCAGTCCAGAGAAGCGTGCAAGTCATCAGCTCTCCAAAGATTATCCTTCAGTGCTACCTCTCACACTCCCTATGACCCCAACGCCCGTGAAATCCAAGTATCATCCGTATAATCGCCAATGATAATGATAACATCATCAAGAATTGCCACCAGTGTCGTCGTCATAATCGTTATCCTCGTCCTGTTCTTCCTCCGTGTTGTTGTGTCCTCTTTGTCGCAGTCGTCAGACGCGTACGTCATTCACTAGATATCAGCGAGGCGCATCATCAACGCTCTGTCATGGTTTTCGTCGCAGTCTAGTAAAATAAGTAGAAGTTGCAGTGCAGACTTTGTAGTAGGATGTAGTAGGAAGACGTTTCCACGGACTTACGTAGTCTTGCCAGGGAGGAATGTGCGGTCTTAGAACGGGCATAGAACAGCATAAGCACAAACATCGATACACAAGACATGAGAGACGGGAGGGGGGGCGACAGAGAGAGAGAGAGAGAGCGAGCGAGCGAGCGAGCGAGCGAGTGAGCGAGCGAGAAAGGGTCAGTCATATCGACACAGCTTCCGCTTCGAGCAGAACCGAGGGCTGAGAAGTCGACGATGAATTTGATGTGACCCTCCAGGCAAAGTTCGCGCTCCAGGTCAAAGATGTGACTCCTGCACAGTGAAGGGGTTTCAGGCGGGCCCGCAAACTGCGGGTCGTTTTACAAGGATGCCACTAGTCCTACGAAGTCGCAACCTACTGGTCTGTATGCTGGGACACACTCACATAACAGGAGCCACAAGAATGAATCAAGCAAGATCATACAGACATGCCGAATTCGTCGATACGACTGATTGTGCTGCTGTACCACTAGTACAAGGACATCATGATGCTGACCTGCTGCCTGCATGGTCTCGGGCCTCGGATGTACATGTCACCATCACCATCACCATTGGGAAAGGAAACTCACCATAGCAATAGCTTTGTGCCGATACAATGCGTCAGGAGTCAGTGAGCTAAGCTGTGACTTGACGACCGAAGTTCCTAAAGACGTGCCGTAGATCGCTGCAGGCACAGCCACGAGACACATCGATGCACGAGATGCTGCGCGCTCCTCCATGGAATCTTTCCGGAGTCGAGCAGGAGGACCTCTCCGGTGGAAAGATTGAAGTTGGCGTCACGTCCGAACTCCACAGCTTTCAACTGAAGACGCGCCTGTCCGGAGCTGTGGACTTCCTCACGAGCTGCCATCGCCTCGGCCACGCAGGCGCGTGCCGGAAGCCAGGACTCCACGACGTCGCTGAGGACCTCGGCACTACAATGCTAGCAGTGGCAGGTATCTCTCAAGGCAGCACGTGGGCGGCAGGCCGGAGCGGGCAGGCGGGAGTCCAGGCTCAGAGGTGGGAATTCGAAAGCCACCGTAGACGTCTGCAAATTTATACCGAATGAAAAATCGATGTCAATCGGAACGAACGAACCGGTCATGCATGCTCTATGTGCCGGCAAGTGTCCTCCAGGAACTCTGAACCACACAGAGCTGACCTAGATGCGGCAGGTGACCATTCCTCCATTCTGACATTTGAGTATATGCATTGCATACAGCAGGACAGATGTGCAGAAAAGGCCCACGCGCAGCCTCGAAGCGACGCTGCAAAATTTCGTCGTCGCAGGCCTGCTAGAAACAGCGTCATGGCCAGCACAACCACGGCGATCAGCTCTCACCAAAAAGCCCTGAATTTGGAGAACCGACGTGCGTGTGAAGCAAACTCACTCCGAACATCGACCCCGAAACAGTCTTCCACACCTCATTCCAGCGAGGATTCAGCCGGGCGATACGAGCGGAAAGGCCCGTGCAGTCCTGCTCCAAGGCGAGACGATGCCGAGAATAGATAGTACACTGTCCGGATAGGCGTATGACTCGACAGCACTTCGTGCAAAGGGGTTCGAAATTATTGCCAAGTTTTGGTGCGCCATGTCCACTGGACAGAATGTATCGAGGACAGGACTGGTGCGTCAGACAGCCGCATCATCTCGAGTCCTTGAAGCGGGGGATGCCTTCAGCGCACATCTCAACCTTGATCAGCACAACAGTGGTGAATGCTGGGCTTCACCCGCACCCGCACCCGCACCACCACCACCACCACCACCACCACTACTACTACCACTGCTGGGATGCCTGCTGCTGCTCAGCAGGCGTTGACTGCACAACACATCCACAACGCAGTTGGACACTACTCAACCTTTCTATCAGCAGAGATATCATCGAAGCAAGAGGAACGTCTGCCGAATGGAGGCAAGTGTATACGCCAACAAGCCCAGCCCTCATAGATAATAATGGCGAGCGGCCCCGTTGTCAATGGCATCGATGCACTCGACGAACCTGTCATAGACCTGTCATGGCTTTGCTTCAGAATGATGCCGTTATCCAAATTCTTTACGACACCGAAGGCGTCTACTCGCAAGGAGGGCGCCTCTGCCCAAACAATTTCGGTGCTCTCGGCATCTGTTGCTGCAAGCTGCCGGATCAGATCCCGGCCGAAGTGCTTGTACACCAGGCCTTGGTGATATCTTCGAACAGGGGTTTTGTAGCTTCCGAAATAAAGGGGTACCTTGTTTTGGGGTCCTTGTATTGAGGATCCGGCTACTTCAGCGCTCAGGATCCTACTATTTAAGGTACTATATCAGGGTACTATATTAGGGTCCCGTGTTTTCGGAAGCTCCCAATTTGAGCTTACGGCTTACATCGGCTTCCTGCTTAGGCCTAGCTCCAGGAGACGTGCCATATCGTGCCATGATGGGAGGCCAGAAGGGGGGTTTGAGATTTTTGGCGTAGGAATTCCTTAATATGAACCCTACTATGGGAACCCTAATCCCGACTAAGCCCCCATAGGCTAACACCTGTTTTGGCCTCCTCCTATGCTCAAGGAGATGTTGCCAAGGCTCCGCTGGACGAGAGTCGAGTCTTCCAGCGGCCAGTGGCCTGTCCCAGACCCCCGGGAGGATCTAGAAAGTAGATCCCCTAATTTGGGGGCCCTAAACAACCCTGATAGAAATTTCCCCATGAAGGGATCTACTTGTTGGATCCTCCCGGATATGCACCAGCACCGGACGGAGATCTGCCGATCAAGACCACTTGCCCCTGACTTGCGCCGCTGTCACACAACCTATCAGGAGCTGTGACAACTTGAAGCGGTACTGGCCTCGTCCGGTCCTTTAGCTGCGCCAGGGACGCCATCTGCAGTTTCGAAGAATCCTCGCTGGTGATGGTCGAAGCGCAGCTGGCCAGGATCGTAGATATCACCGACCTGAAGCGCAAGGGGCGTATATCACGGGTGGAGTAGGACCTCGACTACTTCATGTACAGGAGGCGAATCGAACAGCGCACGAGCAAGCATCGCTGTCCGCTTCTTGGCACGGCAAGTAGCATCCACGACGATGTCCATCTCGGACAGGATCCTGACTTCGGCTCACGCTCACCTCTCAACCGCAGAATCGACCCTACACACAAACTTCCAGTCCACCGCCCTTTTGCCCCAAAACCCAAGGCCTCTGCTGTCTACTTCGCGTCACATCGCATCCTGCGAACTCCGGCAGCTGCTGCAGCATCCAGCACGCCAGCGCCTCCTCGGATGGCAATGGGTCTTTCTAGCACTGTTGTCAAAATTAGGGTCCCCTGTTGGGCACCCTAAATAGTAGGTGCCTATTCGGGACCCAAACCGGGATCCAAAAAGGGACCCTAATTTTGACAACCGCCCACTTGGATGGTGGAAATGGGTAGAACAAGAGAGTACCTGCCTTGTATTGGCCCAAATGACTCTTCAAGATGCATCGGTTTCAGGGTCTCACATGTGTGTGTGTGTATGTCGTAAGTTCCTCCCTGCCAAGGAACGTCAGCTTGGAAGCTGCCATCATGAGTGCCAAGCCTAAGCAACAGGAGCGAACTGGTTCACTGGGGAGGTCTTGGCTTGCAGAAAATTGCGAAGGTCGCGCATTCACGCACGAAGTGCTTGAGGATACATGTCGTGGCTCATAAAGAACATTTAGCAAGGCTTGCCGTTTTCCCCGAAGAATACTTTGTCACTGGTGCAAGACTCAGTCTTCTGTTTATTTGCTGAAATTGTCATGTCAAAGTACACACTGAAGGAAATGGCACAACAGGATGTAGAGGTGACATGACATGCTGAGTGCTGGTCCGAGGTGCTGTGACACCACGCGGCATGCGCTTAGAGAGTACCCTAAACCTTCTTGTGCGTCCGGCTTTCTGATTCTGATCCCGAGAACCCCAGAAAGCCCCGGGAAAAGACAACTTCTCCTGCAAGACTCAGGCCGAAGCTTCTTCGAGGACTTCGGCAGTGCCCGCGTTTTAGCGGTCGCTTGCGCAGCAAATGCCGCCGCCGCAGTCAAAGCCGAGCAAGACACCGACCCATGGGCCTTTTTTGTACGGATTGCAGAGGGCTTTCATGCGGGCTATGCAAGCACTTTATGATGGTTTCGAACCTTATGCGGCTATCATAGCGTTGTAAAAAAAACCATCGGGTTTCATCTGCAGCACTTCGGGAAACTTGTGTAGGGGTCCTTAGGATAAGAAGTGAATGGCATGGAGTGTCGGGGCCAGAGTTGAAAGAGACATATAGATGTAGAAAAGGATACAGATAAGGATATGGGTACAATATTACGCATAATACGTATGTATTATGTGAGAAGAATGATTGTGTATGTAAAAGCATAGGTCGTGTATATGTTGCAAATTATTCTGTGTATAGATATGTATGTATGTACATATGACTGAAGCTAAGACTCGCATGCTATCGGGCAGACTGTCAGCAAGGAGTCGAGATGTTTGGGGCCATGCAACAACAATTGCAACTGTAGCAAACAAGTGGCCTGTTCACGCTGTGCACGAAAGCGCTGATGCTGAAGCACCCTGGCCAGTCTGGATTTCTCGACACCCGCGACCCCTATGGCTTATGGACTTGCTGTTGAATTTTTCTGGACCGATTTGCATGATTCTCTAGCCCTCGGTCTGGAGTCACGGAAGGGTTCCACGTCGTGAAAAATCCTGTTGAACTCTATACATCTGAAACACCCCAACAGTTGCCGCAACCCATGTCTGGTGCTCGGTGGGTAGCGCCTGGAAGGTGTTGGCGTTCGTGGCAACCCAACGCAGCGGCCGATTGAGGCATGCCGCAGCATGCTTTGAGAATGGGGGACTAGTGACGGCACTCATGATACGAATAGCCGTAGCAGGTATGAAATGCTCGTAACACACTACGTACAACTAGATGATGGTTAATAACATGGATCGGACTTGAACATGGCGAGAGTGCTGGGCCACAGACGAGCACAGAGTCTTCTGGTGGCAAGAGGCACTGGTGAGACCATCTGGCAACCGCATTCACCAGCCGACAGCGATTCTCAGCACCCACTTTGCTACATATGATTACTACAGTACATGGTGGCAAGATACAAACCTTATGCGCGCCTGCAGTCCTGGAGGAAGTGATCGTCGCCTGGATGGTCCGAGTGGGTATACAAGGGCAAATGCATAAGTTGTAAGTCAGTTCAAGCAAAGTGCTCCAGCAAGGCACCCCGAGTCGAGAAGCCCATGCACAAGGCACCCAACTCCCAAATCTCTAGGAATTGCAACTTGACGTGAACTGATGCGAAGTGCTCCCTGAGTCTCCACCTGCTTGCAGCGCTTCCAGCAAAGCAGCGCCTAAGCACCACAAGGTATCTCATGTATGCATGCGTATGTATGCACGCATGCATGTTTGCAGGTATTGCATTCATTGTATGGACAGTATGTATTGCACGCATGGTGTGGCTATGTATGTGCGTATGCCTGCATGTATGATATGGAGACATGTATCTATCGGCGGAGCGTGTCTATCTAGTTATCTACCGATCCTTCTTTCCATCGAAGTCTGTCTACCTGTCTACCTATTTACCTATCTATCCACCTGTTTATCTATCTTCGCTTTGCTTCGCATGTCTTATCTTATCTAGTTCTCTTGCTGTCTTACCCGTTTACTCTGTCAACTCTATCTAGCCTAACCTAAGTTCGTCTTCTACCCATCCATCTCTGTAGTGTAGATAGTTGTGCATGCATGCATGCATTGACGGATGGATACATGGATGGACGGATGCATGGACGGATGGACGGATGGATGGATGGTTTGTATGTAGGATACATTTACAATTATACTCGCACGCTATTGATCATGTTGCAGTGCGAGTCTGCAGGTTTCTGCATATAAGAGTAAAGGAATGCTTCGATTGACTTCTCGAACCAGTATCTATCTATATGACGTTAAACTAGTACTATGGGTGGTGCAATGCATCTCCGACTGCCGAACGCGGTCACACCCCGGATGTCGCTGCTGGATGCTGAGATCAGCCGCGGGCCGCCTTGAAGGCCTCGCCACCTCATGACTGTCTGGTGGTTAGTAGGGAATGGGGAAATGGGATCCAGATAGTAGTCCCTATATAATCCCCAATGATAGTCTCCATAATCCATTCCCCCATTCCCTACTAAGAACACTGCTAAGAACCAGACAGATGATGTTTGTTGGGTTTCGGGCTTCAGTCACAGAAGCACTGTGCCTGGATTCAGCAACCAATGTTCACAGCCACGCAAGATTCGTCTGGCACCCACCATTTACCAGACTGCGATGAACGCAGCTCGAGCCACTCAGGCTGCAACCGTTTGGCTGGTGGCAGAGGCAGACCAAGGCCCAGTACAGCTCGGAAACCTGAGCCCCAGAACGCAAGCCCCAAGTTCTCCTGCTACGTTACTGGCTCATGGTTGAGATAGGATTAAAAATATGTACAATTCTATTCCTTATTGGGTTTAAGTATCCATAAAAAATCTAAATACCCACCTGTGGCAAAGGTTAGAGGACATTTTTGGGTTATCGGGTTGCCTTAAATGACAAGCAGCCACTTCTGGATGCTTCGTGGCAGAAGCATAGCCCAGCAAGAAGTCGAAGAGAGGCCTGCAGACAACACTCAGTAATGTAGGAAGCTCATTAAGAAACCCTGGCCCTATAACCTCCATAACTCATAAGGAACCCCAATAATAGAGGCCTAAGGTTTCTTAATCAAGCTCCTGATACAACGCCAGCCTCCAGAGTTGGGCAGCTCGACGCCAAGAATGGTTCCGACGGTTCTCGCACTGTTAATTAAGTGCACCTCTCGCGACATGCCTCCATCAACACAGACCTTTTTGAAGTACCCATCTGGTTCTTCGCACCAGGCGGCCAGGCGGCAAACTTGGGCGAAGCCATGTCACGCACGGTTTTTTTGTGCGGGACCGCACGACGCCGGCGTTGTGAAGAGGTGTTGGTCGGTTGGTCTGTCGAGTTGCGTTTGAGGGCTGTCTCTGCCTTGGTGTGATGCCAGTTAGTCAGGCTTTGGAGGGCCTTGTTCCCTGCCCTTCTGGCGACGTGCCGGCAAAGGCGTCAAAGTGCGAGAGTATGTGCGAGCTTCCAGTGCCAACGATGGGTGATGGTTCCTGGAGATTTGATCTTCTGCGACTTCCCCACACAGCTCCACTGCGATTGCGCTCGGTCATGCTCGGTCTCTCTCTTGCTCTTCTGATTACCGTCGGATCCCTCAGGCAGAGCCCCGTCTTGCTGTCTTTCCGGGAAAGTTGCACTCGTGGCCCGGCCGATCTCTGTCTGTCTTCACGCATCTTTCTGTAGGACTTTTGCGTCTTTGACTCCATGACTCCTTATGATACTCTATGCCAACTACCCCTGCTGCGGCGAACTTCAGCAACCGACCAATCGACCCAGCCGGGCACTAGATCTTTTGCGAGCGGGTCAGGACAGCGAGCTGTCTGGAGTTTCCAGCGCTCCGATTGAACTCCAAAGGTCAGTTGCGCGCGGTAAGCGTCGCAGCAGCCTCTGAATTGATTGCAGAACCACGTCCTGTGTTCCGTGCATCTGCTTGGTGCTTGTCGGAGCAGATCCCCAACAGATGATGCTGTCCTCACGACGGACTCCAGCAACAGTGTAGCCTTCACAGCAAACGAACTGCTGGGGGTGGGAGGCGTCCAGCGGTGGCAGCGCATGAATCCAGTACACCAAGTGGCGAAAAGACGCGCATATGTCTGTGTCATCTGCGGTGACATCCCAAGGAGACGGCAAGGCAACAGAATCGCGGGTCCGCTCGTCCAGCAAGACCACAGCCGAGAGCCGGTCAAGCTCCAAGATGTTCGCAGCGCTCTTATGCATCAGCTTGCGCCACAACTGCTGCAGACTTCCATGGCTTCCTTCTGCCGACAAGCGGGCCGCACTTTCACGCAGCCGCTTCAGCACATCTGCCTGGGCGAAGAATGTGGACGAATTCTGAGTTAACACGGACAGGACCAGAGATGTCGCATCCATATCTCTGGCATTGCAGGTCCTTCTCGAATCTTGCTTTAGAAGACTGTCTACATGATAAAGCCGAACATTCAACATTCGGTGATTGCAGACATCGTCACCCACGGGCTCCTTTGGTCCCGTCTGCCTAGGCCTCAGCCAAAGGTCACTCATGTCTTCCAAAGCTAATGTACGGCTTGTTTCCCCGAATGCCGGGGGCCCTACACAGTTTGCAATAGCCACTAGGAGTCCTCGGTCCATTTCAGCTGTCTGGCGCCATGCTTGTGTGGCGGCGACCACACGCCCCTGCCAAATCAGAGCTCCGAAGTGTCCCGAAGGCTCTTCAGGCTCTGCACCTGCTGGTGTCTTGACATCCAGGCACTTGAGCAAGTCATTCAAAGCATGCTCGGCGATGTTGCTGCAGCCCAGAAGAAGCCATTCCACAGTAGCACCGCACAGCCTGAGCCCCAAAGGCGGCAGCGGTCGTGAGGCATCCAGACTTGACCCGTATCTCGGGGTTGGAAGGCTCCAGCCGAACGGATCGCTTGCAGTGGAGGCTTGGGAATCCTCCTCCTCTGCCATCAGCTGGGCAACCACAGGGGAGAGGCGCTCCGTGAGCAGCCGCCGCACGGTGTCGGCTTGGATGTGTCCTCCAGCGGCTTTCTGCAAATCCTGGCCCAGGATCAACCGAGCACCCTGGTACAAGGCATCCAGTCGCCAGCGCAGCCTCGTCTCGAGGTCCCGGGTCCTCCCCGAAGCGAACTCCGAAGTGACCATGGCCAAGCCAAGACGACCACCCTGCTCCCCGTGGACTGCCAGGGCGATCGTGGCATCATCAGAACGAATGAGGCCCGGCACAAAGCCCTGCTCCAAGCTCGCAGTGACCAGTGCGTGAAACAAAGCGCTGGAAGCGAATGAAACGTCTGGATAATTCTTTGCAGCCTGGAATATGGGCCGACCTGAATCGTTGGAGATCTGGATGAAAAAGCCCATGCGTCTTCCGGAAGGCTGTTCTGGACGTATTCTACCCCTCACGCATACCTTGAAATCCTGTAGACTGTAGTCCTGACAGTGACAGAGCTTTACATTAAGACTTCAACCGGGCATGCTTTGTCTGGATTCTTTTTGCTCGGGGTCCAGTTACCTCTGCGTAATGCGGGGGAGCTGTGACCATGTCTTTGTGTTGCCACCCTAGAGCTCTTTGGCAAGTGGCTGACGAGCCACCCCAGCAGGAAACAAACATCAACGCCGTGGCCGCACCTCGCAAAACAGCCTTGCGAAATAATTCAGTCGTCTGGCGAAGACGGCCCGCCTTCCCCCAGGCGCTTCCTTGGGTCAAGGACTCTTCAGTAGAACTCTGCGGACTTCTTTGCTGCTTCACTCCCCAAGATCAGCACACTCCCTGAAAACATCGCCCATCCACCTGGAACCCCGAAAGCCTTACCTTCGGTTAGCAGGGAATGGAAGAATGGTAGTAATAGGATTTATAATTGTACCCCATTCCTCCATTCCCTATGAACCCAAGGTAAGAAGCTTGCAGTTCTCCTGAGGCCACGGGCAGACTGGGCTTCAAGGTCGACTTGCCCAGCCTCCGGCTTCGTGACAGCGCCCGGCTAACTGTGTTTTATGCATTCAAGCCTGTTGGTCGTAAGGTCCTTGGCATGAAACTTCGACACGTACCGTGCGGATCACGACATCAAAACGCAGGGACTCCAACATTAAACTGACCCATGTCTCGGAAATTGCACAGTCGCACGGGTGGCCAGCCACATTTATTCATATAGCGGCTGCACCACATTATCACAAAATTGTCTGCACAAGACAGACCCACAGCGATTACATCACTATTTAAGATACAGCCTGCACCCTGCAGGGTGCAAGAATAAGGCACAAGCTTCAGCTTGACCCCGAATAGCGGCTTAATTATCATAATTGTCGTATATAGTTGGGAGAGGGGGGGTTGTTCGCTGACAAAGGAACGACATCCCGTCATCTGTGCAGCTGCCAACTGCCAACAATCGTACATCCTGAGCCTAGCGCACAATAGGCAGGGTCGTCTGTTCCTACATGGGAGTTTCCGAAAATCGGAGACCCTAATATGGTACCCCAAATAGTAGGATCCTTATTATAACAGGGAGCCCCAAATAAGGTGTATATACCCCGAATTTTCGGCAACTCCCACATTGCGCACCCGAAGCCGCGGATCCGGCGGAGCCGATCTGACGGCCTCCGTTGGCGGCGAGGGTTCCAGCTCCCAGCCTCCCCAAGTCGGGGGGTTGTGGTATGGGAATCGTCGGAACTCGAGTGAGGTACCCAAGACTCCAAATATCCCTTAATTAAGGAATATATACCTTAAATTATAATGAGGGATCCTCCTATAATTTAAGGTATATTCCGTAATTACGGGATATTGGAGTCTCTGGGTATGCCGACACTGCAGGAGGATGTAGGGAACCAGGAACAAACGCAGCAAACCAAAATCTGGATGGAACAAACATGTCTGTAGCACACCTTGAATCCACATGCACACCTCCGGTTGCTCCGGTTGAGAGAATTTTCTGTTTTGCATGAGCAGCTATCGATCCAAGGCCCCCGACGCAAAGCTGCCGCTAGTTGGGGCCTCGATCAGCATCTGCTATTCACTCCATCCGGATAGGCGCACACTACAGGAACAAAAAGCGAGAGAGAGAGAGCGAGAGAGAGAGAGAGAGAGAGAGACACAGAGAGAGAGAGGGAGAGCCAGAGAGACACAGAGAGAGAGAGAGAGAGTCCCCTGCGCAGACATCTGTAATGAGCCGCCAAGTACCCGCCACACAACACACCCTAAGACAAAATCATTGTTCATTGCCGCGAGATATGTTCAATCAGATCGATTCGGTGAGTTTCGCCGAAGCCATCGGATGCTGACATCCCATGGTACTTAAACACGAACCAGCCACCTAAAAAATGCCAGATGTGTATGCTGCTCGCTAGAAAAACTGCCGAGACCCGGACATGATAAGCCGCACCATTGCCTGAACTCAGGTTGCATCCAAGCTGCATATTAGTACCCGAGGGTGCATTAACAGGCGGACGTGTATTGCCCAGGTAGCTGCACGAAGGATGGCTACACCTGCTCACCACGTGCATTGCTGAGCCGGGCACGACAGACTTGTGGAACGCATCCTCCTGCCATGACGACCACCACATCTGTTGCTCCCGGCTGAGGTGCTTCGGAAGATCATCCGCCAAGGCGTTCGAGGCGAAATGGATCCCCTTCCAAAAATCTTTTTCCCTCAACTCCCCAATTCCGAAGTCCACGCTGCCGACACGCTCAAAATTAGGACGCCTGGGATGAGGATCACGGCCCTTAATCCCAAAAACCCAGACCCGGATGGGCACGAAACGAGGGCGCAGGAGACCTCACCGGGATCATCCAGGCGAGCCCATCTCTCCTGTCAGCGCGGCACGAAGTTATGGATACCGATTATCAGCTGTACTTCAAGGCCACCAGAAAAGGATTCGCATATTCTATTGCTATATCTTCGCATCAGCACGAGCTGTACTGGTGCGAAGATACAGAACACATATCGTGCTCCTGTTAGTAGCTAGCTCTACAATTGGCTTTCGCCACACTCCACATGCCCAGAGAACCGCTGCAAATATCATCCACTTAAGCATCGCCAACTCGCTATGCGGTGTTTATGTGCGAAAGAATGCTCCCCACTGTTTCCTCAAGCTTCTAGCACTGCTAAGCCAGGCTTTTCCCCGCCTGCATGACACTGTTTCAATGTTTCGATGCTTTTGGTTCTAAAGTTCAACTTTCTACCAAGATCTCGTATTATACAAACAACAAACTACAAGAAGCACCAGCAGCAGCAGCAGCGCGTACAGATACTACAAGTATGAGTAGTACGAATGGAAGTAGAAGTGGGAGTGGCACTAGTAGTAATGGTAACAGTAGTAGCAGGAGTAGAAGTAACAGGTGGCAGCAGGCAGGAGCAGCCTCAGTCATAGCAGTTGCGGCGGCAAAACTATAGCTTCACCTTGCCAAGAGAATCATGACGGAAACAGGACATCAAAAATGATACAAGCTGCAACGACAGCAACAAGAAGACTGAAAGCAATGGCCAACCTCAGTTCCCCAACGTATCTGACGGCCGTCGAAGCGACCATGCCTCGCTGCCCGGGCACAGCTAAGACTGTTGCAACTGCGGCTAAGGTGAAGGCGAATCGACTGTTGATTCAATCTGGCGCTCACGCTTCGCCGTCGGCTGCATCGTCCTCCTCCTCCTAGCCATTCCACCGCCACCGCCCTCGAAATCACAACTAATCGTCACCACCACCATCATCATGATCACGAAGGTTAGTCCCAGTGTGGCCCAATTCACGTCGTCTGGGGCCAGGGCTTGTTGTCCACCAGAATGGAGTCATCCTCTATCCTCGCCTTCAACACCTGCCAGGCAAACCCGCGGCTTTCAACTCCACCTAAGAACCCTGGTCCTGGGTTCTTGTTAAGGGGTCCACTTTAATCTGTCATGATAGGGATCTATAGTACATAGTATGGTTTCATTATAATGGTAACTTGAATTGAATCCCTCAACAAGACCCCAGACTCCTGCCTTGGACAGTCCATGCCCTGGCCGGGGAAGCAGACATCAACACAGCTCACAACTCTCTTGGGCAATAGCGCCACCCTGTGCAGCAGCTTGCTGCACCGAGACACGGCCTTAATCCACAGAATCTCACTCGGAGGCCCAGAAGTCCTCTACGATCTCACTCCATGAGGAGTACAAAAACAGACACGACCACGTCTTCTTTTCCGCCGCATACAGAGTGCAGACCGTGCCGCAGGCCAGGGCCATGCGTCTCTCGCTGCAGCCGCAAGCTCCTGATGTGCCCTGGGCCTCTGCATCGACGCTTCGCAAGCCGCAGCCGCAAACTCCTGGCTTTGAACAGGAGTTGAGTTCTTGGCTGCACATGTTTATGGCCGACAGCAGCTTACAACTACGGTCAGGTCCTTCGCGACGCTGAGAGACTCCCCCATGAGCTGCATGTCTTGCATCCCCCGTAGCAAGCACAAACTGAGCTGCCACTTGCTGCCCGAGCCTTGGCCGAAGGGCATCTTCTATCCGCGCTAGAGATCCGGTGGAGAGGAATCCAGGGGGATGCATAAATCTGCCGCACCAGTCCGACCCCATGGTCGGTAGAGGCGTAGTAATTAGGATGAAGTACGGATGAAACAGCCAAGCGACTGCATGCAGCAAGTGAGGTCTGGTAGGTGATGTCATCCCCACCCACGTCCACAAGCAGCTTCAGAGAGCGCTCCCACTGCAAAGCCCTGCTGAAGCTGCCGAGCAGGGCATTGAAACCTGAGAGCAGCTCGACCATCGAAGCGAAAGCTCCGCAAGAAGCCGTGGCCTAAACCCGATTAAACCCCATTAAACTCTATTAAACCCGAATAAGCCCTATGAAACCCTATTAGACCCTAAACCCCAAGAGGGCAGCTCGACTTGGGCTCATTCACATATATTGGCAGGGCACAGGCCAGAGATGGCAATGGCGCCAGCTTGAGCCTCTGCTGTAAGATCTCTACTCAACCTCTGGTCATCTGAGACAGATTGTACTCTACTGCACTATGCAAAGCTATTCTAGACTGTACTATCTCTACTCTACTTTGTTATCACTGTACTTTGTTATCACAGACTCTCACGCCATACTTTCAGAGGAGCAGGAAGTCCATCATCTGAAGAGCCTGCTCCCACTCGCCGCTGATCTCAAAAGCCGCGAGGGCTGCCGTGATGCTTACTTCACTGGGACGAATGCTGGCCATCAGCATCTCTTCCAGCACTTGAAGCCTGTGTGTCGGTGCCGTGCTACTAGATCCTATATTATAGTATACTATACTGTCAGTTATTTCCTTGTTTCTAAGTTGCCGAAGAGCTCCCAACGAGCTACAGTACTAGTCGAAGCAGAGTGGCGCCATGTCCCAGCGATCTGTCTTTGCGCAGGCACTGATAGTCGCATTGTAGCTTATCTCGTCGGCGACAACCCCGTGCCTGACCGGTAGACAGGACATTCAAGATCGGCAAACTGCCCCATGAGAGCACAAAGCATGACATCACATCTAAAGCCTAAACCGAGCCTGGGAAACGCCCTCAAGAGGCTGAAAGCCATCTTCCGCTCGCCAGCCTATCGAAAGATCAAGCGGCTTCCTCTAAGGCTTAGAGGCTTAGCGTTCCGGGTGGATAGCCGCAGTCTTGTTTCTTCTTCGCAACTGTGCCAACCTAGATGTGCATAGACACTGGGTGATATGTGTGTGTGCACTGTGCATTCTACAGGGAGCTTGCCCTTGGGAGATTGCCCTTCGTCTCGCACTTTCCTTTTCCTCCTGAGAGGCGGAGCTTGGTTGGGCACTCCTGCCGGCCAAACACGGCTTACATCATTAGAATAGGGCTTGAGGGCATATTGTACCATACTTATGATAAGGAACCCTCAAGATTCACTGCATGGGAAACTTGGGCTTGGCTTGCTGCTTGCCTATGGAGGCTTGATCTCACCATGAGCCTCTGATGGAAGTCTAGGAACATCCGGTGCTTCGAGCTTGTGCCTGGTTTCATCCGAAACGCCTGGTGTCATATACCAATACCGGCCTTCTTCCTGAACGAAGTTTCGTAGCATGAAATGGGTTTCCCATGGAACAAGATAAGATCACTCCTAAGCTCGACGACTTTTTCGTCGACTTGACTAGACACCTTATGCCCTTGGAAGGCTTTAGCGATTGAGCCGGAGCGGTGGGGGATGCAAAGATCCTCCCTGAGACTTTTAGGCACAGCGAGATGGAACAACATTTATGTCCCGGGGCGAGGGTCTGAAAAGGAAAGTTCAGTAAAGACAAGGCAAGGACACTTGGAGGGGTTTCGTGTATTCCGGTTCCATCTGGTGGCCGTTTCGTCTTGGCGTTGCTTCTTCCACCCTCCCCTTGCTCTTCCCCGCAGGCCTTCTCGCAGGTCGTCAGGGCTGCATTGCACACCACCGAGTTGCGAACCACGCTGGCCGACGACATCCTCAGCCGCCAGATGCACGGGAAGCAAAGTTGCAGTTTAACTCTCTGCAGTGTTTGTCGTGGATGCAGAGTCCACAGGGCGTACATGGAGACAAGGCGCTGCTTCAGAAGATGCATCGCGAGCTGCCACCTCACGTACGCTGCAACGTTACCATGAAAGCGGTAAGGGCGGGAAGAAAAGAGCAATCATCTATCACGTCCGGCGCCTAAGCCCTCAAGAGCAAAAAAAATATGTTTGACATTACTTTAAGGTTTATATCAGCTTTTTGCGGGGTTTGGACGCTCACACTCACATAAGGCAGGCAAGGCTCCACATAGTCCACCGTATCTCTACTAGCACTGGCAGAGCAAATGCCATAGAACACCCAGTCATTGCAAACAAATCATCAGAATAGCGACAACATTCATTAAATATACATATAACAGCTGGTATCACCTGTTGCTAGGGGTTTGGGGCTCAGGGATCAGTCTGGCGTCTCTGCTGAATGATGGCAGCAGCTGATGCTGGTCGCAAAGCTAGCAGCGTCAGGTGTTATCCGAGCGCAGGCCATCCTGCAGACACCCGCCACTGTTTATTTCTCATGAACTTGGATGAACTTGGCCCAATGAAAGCCGGCAAGACTGTCCTTCCAAAAAGGGTCATTGCTCGCTGCCATTGCGAGTTCTGCTGCAGCGCGTGCATGCAGGCATTGAAGGTCGCGGCACCTCGTCACTTCGGTATCAGTTTATTTTGCTGTTGGGTCTGCATGAAACAGTGCTGCATGATGCTGATAATACAGTGGGTCATGTTCAATGTTTAAACACGGTGGTTTGCCATTCTGTTCTGATGACATTCTCCCACACTTTTGCGCGTGGCCTCGACTACTCCTCTCACAGTAGCACTCTAAATACCACTCTAAATACCGTTTAAATACCTGTAGAGGTCGTATGGCTCCGGCTGAGAGAGGCACTGGTCTGTTTGAGGGCCAAGGCAGCTGCGAAGAGGGCAACAGCTTGGGGCCACTGGCCACCTTGACCACAAGCGCTGATAGCAGTGTTGTGTGTGATCTCGTCCGTCTGAAGCGATTCCCGGCCAATGTTCTTGACCAGCGCCATGGCTATCTGCCACTGGGAGGCCGATTCGCACACACTCAGGAGGGCGTTGCAGGTCACCGTCGTGACAGGCGCACGAAGCGCAGTGGAAGCGGCTAGAAAGCCTACGGCTGCTTTCCAGTTCCCGGCTCGCTTGCAAGCGCTGATGGCAGTACTTATGCTTATAGCATCTGGGCAAACTCTGGCGCAAGGCATCGACTCCAGGGCCTTCTGCGCCGAGTCCCACTTGCCAGCTCTCGCATACGCGTTCAAAGTAGCGTTGAAGCTCACGACGTTCCTCGACACCAGGCTGTCCTGCATTAATTCAAAGAGCCCTTCCGCAAGTTGCCATCGTGTGCACTTAGCCATGGCAGAGATGGCAGCTGTGAAGCTAAAGACGTTCGGCTGCAAGGCATGCTGGGGCATACTGCAAAGCAGCGCGAGGGCAGCTTGCCACTGGCCCGGGAACCTTGCTTTTGCTGCTATGCGTGAGGTGTGGGCCGCCATGGCCGCCGTGTTGGGATGTCTGGCTGGCCGTGGCCATGCAGCAATAGTCTGCCCATCCGCGCTGGAGTGAAGGTGGAAAGTACGAATTCGAGCATGTTTTGAGAGGTATCCTTGGCATGCTTGCAGACTCGTGCCCCTGAAACCAACTGAAACACGCGGATTCTCGAAGCAAGCGGAACCGTGGAAAACGAAGCACACAACAACCTGATCCAAAGCTCCAACACATCCTTCCAGTAGCAGGCGAGCATCCCGCAGTCATCGCATGCCTTTCGGGGCAGATTTCTTTTGGCTGCAAATCCAGCCGCAACAAATGGAACCCACGCAGCAGCCAGTAATTAGTCATACTGTCATACATTATAGTCACGGCATTTGCGGATGCGGAGCTTAAGCAGTCAACTGAAAAGAATTCCGGATCATCAGAGGTCAACGCCGAAAGCAAAGCACAAGTCCGCACAGAATGACAGACAAGGAACTGCAAAGTGCCCAGGTCCCACAGCTCTTGCAATCGTATGAGACGTCAGCTTGGTCAGCCTGAAATTCCCCGCAGAGGCCGGCACGCCACCGCCCGTGGCATTCTTACGAGTGCAAGCTCGGAGCCAGAATAGCAATCGGATAAACAATCTCTGCGGCTGGCCAGGGTGTTCTCAACAAGTCCTTTCACAGGACCGCTGGGAATACGTGCTTTGCTATGTTGAGATCAGCAATGAGGAGATCCGATTCTGACAATAGGTGTCTTGAACAGCAGTGACAATCCTTGTATTGCAACACGTGCCAGGCATTCTTTGCCGATACTGCAGCAAGGCGGTGTCTGCTTTGACGTGGATCGTGACTTGGCCGCCATGGCCTCAAGATCGCCGAAGACAGGGAATGCAAAACATCATGTCGAAGGGGTTGCGTGCTTGTCAAGTCGAGATCACATCGCTGGCTGCAATGCGTCTTTCTCAGGCAGAACAGGGGCAACAGAGTGATAGTCGCACACAGTCTGAGAAGAGCCGAGGCATGGGCCATCGTCATAGGTGCCACGCCAAGGCAAGCCCTGACAGTGTAAAGCCCATCGAGGCAAAGAATCACAAGGAGCCACCCGATCATCAGATCTCTCCTTCCTCTTCAATCCCTCCCCACATCATACGGATGGCCGGCGGCCTGGAGCCAAAGTTGCTTCACCACCATCAAGGTCAGAAGGCTTCGTTGAGCTGGACAGGAGGCCTGCGCAGGATTACAACTTTGCAACGAGCACAGGGCCAGAAATGGTACTTGCGTGGCGTATTAAGGCATGCCAAAAGGGAAAAGGCACAACACCGCATTGACACGCTGCAAAAAAGAAGGCATGCCAAGTGCCAAGAAGTCACAACAATGCAAGCCAATCCCCAAGTCCACGCGTGGAAAATGCAAACATCCAGAAACATAAAAAACTGTGCGTGCCTGTGTGTTCCTGTGGTTCTGGGCAGGTGCAGGGGACACTCAAGGCCAATAGTTGGAGGTTTAGGGCGGGGGCACATACAGTTTGCGGGGTTGCTTTACCGCAGGGCTCTTAAATGCCCTGAGTCCCCGTGCACACGCTCCCGCGAAGTAGCTTGGAAGCCACAATTGCAATCCCCACGCCAAGGAAAACTGCCCAATCAAGCTGAACATCTCCGTGCGCTAACGCGTCAAAACCAAGATGCTGGTACAAGCAATCACCACGTACACGCGCATTCGATGCAGCTTTTCATGACGAAGTGCAGCTTATAAGGGAAACCAATGTTAGAATCGGTTCCCCATGTGCACGCTGATTATGTACGCCTTTTGGCGTGCGGCACGCCTTAACACATGACCCAAGCACTTTGCTCATGCAAAGGCTCTGTGTGATCAGTCTGCTCAAGCTCTCTTGCCTTGCTTATCTGGCGAAGATCCTCAATGATGTTCTCCAAGCCGGAGATGTGCTGCATGGGATGGCCGCCTCAACCAATTGCTACGCGTCTTCTTCAAGCGGAAGACATCCGTTACACTTGGCACCACGAGGATGCCCTTGCCCTTGCTCGGCATACGGCGGACAATGAGGGGTCGTACTTGCTAACTTATTTGGATATGCTCACTTGGGGCCTGGCCATCCCTGGCCCCATGGGACCGTTCTGACTCTGGCCGCTGCGTGCTGTAATCAGTAATCGTTGTTGATGGGCAGACCACCAAAAGAGACAGCCTGTTGAGTCCCCATGCTAGGCTCGTAGACACGACCCCACGATCTCCCCTGTCCCGAAATCTCAGAGCTTCTGGCTAAAGAGGCCCTGAGTTGCCTCCCCCCCGCCCCCCCCCAAGGCCCAAGAAGCACCTCGAGGCGTCTGAGCGGGCTCGGAGACCTCGCTCCGTTGCTCTGAGATTGAGATCCTGTAACAGTAAATTTCTACTACTACTACTACTACGACTACTACTACTACTACTTCTTCTACTACTACTCCTACTCCTACTCGTACTCCTACTCTTTACTCCTACTACTACGGATTCTTGCAGGAAGTTCCTTGCTTCTTAAGGACCTTGGTGGGATTGCAGTTTAGAACAATGCGCAAGTCTTGCTCATCCTGGCCGCTCTGCTTGTGCTGCTGAATCGAAACGTTTCAGATCAGCTCCGCAGGTCCGCAGATTGCAGGTCCTCAAATCAACCCAAGATCAGCCCCCAACTCCTGGAAATCACCAAAAAAACCCCAAACGGCAGAAGACCTCCCGCGCGCATACACATACATGTACATGTACGCAGGCACCTGTGCATACACGCCTACACACCTACATACACACAGACAGACAGACATACACTGCACACAATTATGCAGTATCAAATGTTTCTCACGCACAAGCCATGAGGACCCCACCAGAGGGATCTGGGCCTCCAAGTCCATGTCCTCCTCCTCTCCGAGAGGCTCCGGAGGTCAGTTTCCACATGGGCTGGTTTAGATGCTCGGTGATGCCACAGAAAGCTAAAGCAGAATGCAGGAAGCCGGCGAGTGACAGAACTGAAGTGCTAAGCGGCCGCCTCCACGGCACTCATTCGCGCCCGCTGCTCCGTCAGGGCCTAGTTGCCAACAAGCATTCAACTGACTTACCGACCGCTCCCACTGGGAGAAGGTCCAGTGCAGAGATTGCAGAGAGGCCGCAGCCCACGATTTTCCACAGACGTGGAGCAAGGCGCTCATGCTCGAGACCGACGAAAGACTAACTGCTGAGCGAGAGGCTGGTGCAGGCGTGAGGCAGCGTCTGTCCTGGGCCACTGCCACTGCAATCTTGCATGGGGCCGCATATGCTCTGACGAACAACACGTGGTGCTCGTGATCGCAGCAAGTGCCGTCAGCGGTCCAGCTTGTGCCGTCGCTCTGGTAGCCAGTAATGGACAATCCAAGCCTCGGTCCACTGGGACTCGAAGCACATGAAGTCTGGCTGCAGAGCTCAGAGCTTGAGGCCTTCTTCGGCAAGCCAAACAAGTCTCTCCGAAAATTTGTCCTATCGACTGTGCTGGTCCGTGCCGCTGGCATTCAGCACAATGAACAAGATGCCTCAGCCAAGCACAGCTCTGAAAGCCTACGTTGGGTTGCCTGGGCTTCGGGTTCCCGGCTCCAGTGCAAGATGTCGTTGTACCAGTGAAGCCAGCTGTCTTTCCTGCATGCCCGTCAGGACCCAACAGTAGTAACAGTACTACATCACAGTAGTACTAATAACCAATACAGATTGGCGCCAGTAATGGGAGTCTTCGTTGTCATCGTGACAGCGGTGGCAGCAGCAGCAGCAGCAGCAGCAGCAGGGAGTAGAAGTACCAGCAACAGCAGCAGCAGCAGCAGCGGCAGCAGCAGCGGCAGCAGCAGGAGTAGTGTGGCATGCCAGTAGTTTTGGTATAGTGATAGACATATTAGGGCCACCAGCAGCAGTAGTACTGGCAAAAGTGGGCGGCAGCAATGGCAGGCACCAATACTGTCAAGGTACCAGTCCATCTGTTCCATGGACTGCTTCCAAAAGCGCCGCCATCCGCCATCTCTTCGTAACTCAGGAGCGCATGAATTCCGATGGCTCACATAATTTAACCCCCGCGTAGTAGCCCTGCAGTATAGTGCCCTAATATAGATGCCTTATAGTAACCCTTATAGAGCCCTACTTATTTCGGAGGCAGCCGACTTGGCTCCAGGCTCTCGGGAAAAAGAAATCGTTCCCTGCCTTCGCCTGCAGAGCTCAGGACAGCAAATGTGGGAGCTTCCGAAAACAGGGAACCCTAAAGGGATCCTTTGTAAGGGTTCTCTTAAGGTCTATAGGGGTTCAGGGGTTCCTTTAATGATTCCTATAAGGGTCCCTATTTTTTCCCTCCTACCTAGCAAGGACGAAGCCCGCATTGCAGGGGTCCCTATAGGTTTGGGGTTTGGGAGCTTCCGAAAATCGGGGAACCCTTAAGCCTTAAGGGATCCTTTGAGGGATCCTATAAGGGATCTATAAGGGTTCTATTAAAGGGTTTACGCTCTCGCAACTCGGACAATCCAGACGAGGTTCTTGGTCGGCAACACATAAACAGTAGGATCCGTATTGTCAGGACCCCAAAGTAAGGTATCCCGAATTTTCGGAAACTCCCAACATGTACGATCAGTTCACGCATGATGAGCACGAAGGGGTTTCTGGATGCGCGTAGAACACCGGATTTGCACACAAGAAGTGCAGGCCCAGCATACAGCTTGTCCACTGAAGATTCTGAGCGCAACGAGCCTCCAGAATGCATGTCCACATGAACAAAGCTTCCAGGTATTTGATGTAATAGTAGACCTGTCTGCGTGGCGACAGAACGCTGCTCCGGCAGAATGCTCGCCGATTTGGGATACGTTGCGGCAGAACCGTTCACGAAAACACAACTCTCCCAATAGATCGCCCATCAAAATCGACTGCAGCCACAGCTAGCTTTGTCTTTCTCCAGTCATCCACAAAGCTAGCTTTTTACGGACAGGCTTCGGAGTGTTGGCGATCTGCACCCCACGAGATCCGGAACTCAGCACTAACGTGGGAGTTTCCGGAAGTAAGGGGGTACCTTGTTTTGGGGTCCTTATAATAAGGATCCTACTGTCTCCCTCTCTCTCGCTCTGCCGTGCCATCATCAAGATCCTATACTATTTGGAGTGCTACATTAGGATCCCCTATTCTCGGAAACACCCATATGATCACGCAGATCTGAGACCTGGTTGACGTGGTAGAAGGGGAAGCCTGGGAGCATGGATACATGCGCACAGGAAGAGAGAGAATGTGTGTGTGTGTGTGTCTATAGTATAATAGGTACTTGTACGACATTACAGATACACATATGCATGTATACATATATACATGCACGGTACCTTTATCCAAAAACAGTTGTACTCAATCGCTTATAGTAGGTAGGTATGCACGCATGCAGAGCGTGTTCCGGTGTGTTTCTGAATATCCATTGAAATATCTACATATGCACGTACGTGGACATGCATGCATATATTCCCACACACACCTGTTTGCAGCGCTCGCACTCGAGCAACTCAGGCGAAGTTTGGGCATAGAGTGAGGCGACGGAGAGGCCCGTCGGGATACAAACATGCACGAACATATGTACAGATACATGTTAACATGCATGACAGCCCAAAACGAACGAGCGAGTAACAGATAATGAACACAAAACACAACACACTTCTGAATATTCAAAAAAACTGCTCTAACACGTGCGACAATTGTGTTGCGAAGATGCTCTGGGGCCGCGCACATGGATCGAAAAGCACGAAGTTCACCATGAACATGGGAACAGACACCTCGGCGTCTGCAGCTACCCTCCGCCCGAAGATGCCGAAAGCCTCTCGTTCCGGAGCCGTGATGCAGCTCGTGACACTGATGACAGCAAAACTAAGCCTGCAGCGACGAGCGAAAAAGCTAAGTTGGCCTCGGGAAGTTGCGTCTTCCTCACAAGGTTCGGGAAATACATCAGGGCACGCAGAACGTGTTACAGGACTGCTTTTAGACCGTTTTCAAGCTCGTTTCATGAAAAGAACGGAATCATGTAGAGTGAGTAGAGACACAAACGCGCAGTGGTTGCCACCATGAGTCCAAAACAAAAGACTCGCAACAGCGCAAGTACGATTAATACCGCTCGGCTACTGTATCGGCCTTCACCTTCGGGGCATCCGGAACATGAGGCCGCACGGATAATTCAGCAAGCGACGGTTTTTCTGTCCTGGGGAATCCAACCAATTTAACTGCTCTGCAGCATTGCCGCTTGTGGATCAACGCACGTTCATATCGCATGCTGCGCCCATGTCAGAAACTCAAGATAAGCTGCACTAGCCACCGACCATCTTGTCTTGTCCCGGCCCTGCTTCATGAACTTTAATTTAACTGCATGCAGAATTCAGGGTCCCGAGGGCCACACTAGGTGCTGAACACTGATCCAGGTGCCCTGGCAAAACATTGACATCAGCAGATCTTGTCGACGGCCCCCCACTGGTAACTTTGTGCTAGTCCACTGCGGTCGTTCGGAGCACTGGCATCTCACCCAAGCGCTCCGCTTGGGAAAGTAAGCTCCAGGCTGGTGTGTCGCCGCTCCAGGATACTCGCCTGGAGGACAGCTTCGTGTACCTCAGCAAAAGGTCGCCGACAGTAAGGTAGAGTGCGAGCAGCTTCATGTAATTAGTGACAGTGATGCACTCCAGACTAAACCACACAAACAACACAGGGCCCCCCGACTGAAGAAGGGCACACCTGACAAGCGAGTGCGAACCCTCGCCACCTGTGTGGATCGCATAGCTGAGGAAATGGCGTCAGAGCAATGTCCACCACAAACAAGGAAACGAATGGTCTCTCGCCGTATCTTGGCCTGTTGCAAGGGTGTGGAAGCACGAACCGTGCCAAACAGACTTGACTTATCGTTGTCCACTGGTACTCGACACACACGCACCTAAATAAATAGATACATATATATATATATATATATATATTTGTATGTAATATATAGAGATGGTTATATGTTATTATGAGTCACATATGTCCATACACTCTCACACTCTCCGCAGAAAGTGGCAGAAAGCGCATGTCCCCGCAGCAAGCCTCAAGTAGATGCTGTATAGGAAAACGGTTGGAAGCCGGGCCAGGATCTCCACGACGTAGTGCAGGGTCACAAGCTTCTTGTTACTGCCATCAGCAGTGAGATCGAGGTGCAGAAACGACAGATGCAGGGCACAACAGAAGCTCGTGCACACCTCCGGACGAAAGCATCGTCCACCTGGGAGCTTCAGCACAAGAGCATTGGCAAAGGAGAAACAGCTGAGCAGCACTCATCAAAAATCAAACATAAGCTGCACGCCCATATGTACAGGACGAAGTCTGCGACCCCTGGGATCTGGTGGAGACATGCCACAGCGACGCCGCGATGATACTAACACTCAGGGCTCCGGCCGAATCCAAGAGACAGAAATCCGGCGAACAAAGCCACTCCTGATGCCAGCTCTGCACGAAAAGGCTACCCTTGCTGCAAGCTGCTCTTCTGCTGCTGCTAGATTTGGAGAATTGCAGTAACCACCACAACGTTGGGGCATTACCCTGATGCCCTTGTGCGAAGTATGCGAAGTGCATCCTGAAACCCTCATCCAACTTTGCCTCTAGATCTTGAGCAACTTACTACGACTACATGCTGTTGCTGACTTCGCAATTGTTCGAGATGCTGGCCAACGTTGTAGGTGCGCAGCTTTGGCCTTGGGTTGCTGCGCAATCCCGCGCACCGTTTTTTGACTATGAGTTACGAGAGAACCGTCCATGGACTGCGATGCTGACAGCAGAGACTTGGCCCACCGCAGCACCTCAAGGTGAGGATAGGCGTGAACCAAGAACTGGAAGTGAAACCTTCCAGCACAAAGCTTGCTGCATAGGTCTGTAGCCACTGACTTTATCACACTGCTCATGTACTGTCTCTCTATAATATGATAACACTATAATTCTATTATATTACTATACCACCTGGGACTTAAATGCCAGCGCGGAGCGCGGACTCGGAAAACTTGGCAATCACAATGCTCGCAAGTCTGCAAACAACTGGGATGGATGCCAGAAGAGCGGATGTGCCGCTGAGGCCGCGGCGAAAGAGATGCAATCGATTGCAGCATGTTGCACATGCTGAGTTTCCGCACCTGGGCGGGCTGAGGAGACGGACAGCGAGATTTCTCTAGCTCTGTGAGGCTCCGCTGGGGCTCACACGCCACCTTGGCTTCTCAAGCGTTCTCGATGCTTCTCGTGACAAAATCGAACAAGCGCTCACCACCACCCGCGGCTCCGCATCATTTGTGCATCTGAGTCACGCATGGCATTCTCACCTGGACTGCCCTTGAAGGGAAAAGAATCTTCCGGAGGCGCCTTGGCACCCAGAACAAGGCAGCACCTCTCTCAGGAACGGATGCATAAGTATAAGAGCGTTCGGCCTTGGCAACCTTTGAGACGGAACATGTCATTTTGCAGGGCCAGCGTCGCCCAAACGGCAACACAAAGTCCAGCCGATGCATTCTCGATGCGCTCGCTAAGACTGAGGGAGCTAGCCAAGTGAAACGAAATGACGAGGTCAAGCTCCACGTCACTCGAATGTCAGCTATGTCACAGGTTCCAGCCATTGCTCTCACACGTAGATCGATGCCCCATGCAGGCCATCCAAGGCCTTGGCATGGAGAACTCAGGATCAGGAGGCTGCAGAGAACGGAGGAGAGGAGCTACACGAGGTTTGAAGGGTGACTCGGAGTGACCGTAACCTGATCGACGAAGCGATGACCCCACGAAGCACCCACGTGCGGCCTTCATTTCGGGCTCGGTCAGCTGGAAATCGAAGATCGCAGCATCGGCTTCCTGGACTCTGGGTTTTGATGGTATGCTTTTGTCGGGATCACTGGTCAAAACACTACATACCAGTACAACAGAAAGGCAGCGGAAACCACGGGTAACCACGAGTAGCGAATTCCAGAAGTAGCCGCAGAACCGCAAGATGCCCCAGCACCAATTGATCTGCACGTTGTGTGTACTGTCAGGTTTGGTGTGCTGTCCTGGCTGCCACGGTCCCGTACATGACCGGCAGTCATGACCGGCATGCGTGCGACTGATCGCTTCGGATGCGTCTCGACTAACGAGCGTGAGAGATGGTGAGAGGTGAGGGGTCAAAAGTCTTCTATCATCCAGGCAGAAGCAGTCTACACTTGTTCTTAATCCCCAAACAACATCGTTGCATGCTTCACTGCTTCACTGAACGCATCGACTGTGTGATCACGCGTCGTGGTTTCATCTCCAGCCTTCAACCCAGGCCTCCTGGCCCCTGTTGGTAACAAGGCGATGTGCTGCCAGGCGTCGCCGCCAGGCGATGATGGAGATTTCAGCTCCGGTGTGCTGGATGCCGACTTGTGCTTCTCGTGTACCCTCTTAGGTGTTACGGACACTTCGCAGGGGCTCCAGCGAACCTGGTCTATGCCGGCATGCGCAAGTTTGTGGCAAAGCTTCTTGTTGCAGGGACTCTGCCGCTTCCGCCCCCGAAGAGACTCGCGCTGCGGCGGAACGACTCTCCCTGCCCTCTACACCATCGAAAAGAGAGTGCATCGAAAAAGTGTGCTGCCGAGGCCTGGTGCGCAGCAGAGCTCGACTGAAAGGTCAGGAGCCGCTCGTGCTGAACGATCCACTTCAGGGCAACCTGCGGCATCAAGGTGTGCCCATGGTCACAGCAGGGCCCTGCTACTCCCGTGACCGTGACCCTTTCTCAGAATGTACGGCTGCATCTGCATCCCGATCACAATTGTTCGGAGTGTCCTGGTAGGTGCTGATGTTGTGGTTGGCAGCAACACCCTGGATGACCTTGTTGCCACCTGAGCCGTGGCTGATAACAAGTTTCCCGAAGATGGGCGTACCAAAAAATGGCCTGGCAGAGTTTGGCCAACATGTGAAGCAGCACTGACTTGCTTAAACTGAAACAACCATGCGCTGCCTCACTGGGTTTGACTTACATGCTCTTCTACAAGGGGCTGATGTCTCCCGAATGGCCACTGCGACCGACAGGAGAGTAGGCTTCCACAGTAATGTTCAAGGACTCGGAGTACGCCAAGGCCTCAGTCTGCTGTCGTACTGGACTGCCATGGACTGCCCGGGACTGGGATTGCAGGAAACATTCGCGCGCAGTGGGGCTTTTCGGCTGCAGGCGGGCTCGGCGGACTCTGTGCGCTTGAGGCCGTCCATCTCTTAGAGATGACAGCAAGGCTCTGAGGCTTGCATCTGACGAACCGTCAGATGTCAGGGAGACGGCGAGGCTTCACGCACACGATTGCGACTCAGAATTTTGGGCTTACGGAGTGACGAGGCTTCCATGCATTGTCTGCTTTGACATGCAAAGCACAAATGCCATCCACCGCCGCACAGCCGACACTTGCACTAACAAGCTGAGCCGATAGCTAAGGTGCCAACCAAGATCAGCAGTCAAGTGGCGGAAATTCTCCATACACGCCCGAACCAGGCTGTACACATCGTTAAACCATCAAGGATTGAAGCCCTGATTACCTCTCGTGCTCTGCCCGACCTTGACAGCTCGACGTGCAGGTTGTTCAGTGCACTTTGGCACTTGCACTACTTGCATCGCTCCGTAGGCCTTTATGAACTGGGCCGTGTGCACGAGGTTAGCTGCCACCATTTCTGGGGACATGTTGTCATCCAAACTGTCCCAAAAGTTCTTGAAAGGATCCTCGCTTTCGATGATGTTGGTGGGCACGACAGGAACACTCGTGACGAATGCAAGGTCTGCCGAGATTCCCATTGCTGCAAAGAGCTTGACTGCTGCTTCCTCTGGTGGCAGGGTGGAGTCGATGTGTGCAAAGAAGTCCTCACCTTCCCAACCATCTGTGTTGCATGCGGACTCTTCTGCCGAAGGCTCTTCTGTCTGCGGTGTTTCGGTAGAGTTGCTGGCAGGCTCCTCTGCCATCAGACATGCCAGGGCGGCAGCATCCTCCTGTGACAATTGGGCATCAATCGGCTTCTTCTCCGAGATCTCACTGAGGGTTCTGTGGACATCCGGTGCCTCTGCTTTCAAGGGCTGCTCTGCTGCCATCATGGCTTCCATTGCTGCAGCATCCTCTGGCGTCATCTGCGTGTCCGTTAGCTTCTTCCGGGAGGTCTCCATCAGCATTGTCATAAAGGCATCCGCCGACTCTCCTGCCGCAGATTGCTCATCTTGAGGTGCTTCATTTGTGCTGCTTGGAGGCTTCTCTGCCATCATCGATGCCATCGCTGCAACATCCTCCGGGGACATTTGAGCTTCGACTGGCTTTTCCTGCGAAGTTTCTGTGAGCACCTGCCCGAAGGCCTTCGGCGCTTCTCCTGCTTCTGTCAAGCTGCTTTTAGGCCCCTCTGCCATCATGGAAGCCAGGGCCGCAGCATCTTCTGGTGACATCTGGGAGTCTGTTGGCTTCTTTTGTGAAGTCTTAGCGAGCATCTCAAGGAATGGATCCGGTGCGTCTTCCGCTTTTTCCACAACTGGCACCCCAATGGCAATGGAGGCTGCTGGCTTCTCCGAAGGTGCCACCACAGGCACCTGCTCTTGTACCACTGGTGCCTGAGCAGCGGCCACTGGTTGATCAACTTGCCCGAAGAGCTCCAAAAGAGCTTGTCGGTCTTGCATCTCCTGCTCAGCCGTCTTTTGGGCAGTTCTTTCGTTGAGCTCCTGCTGTTGCCGACGCTGGATCACGTCTCTCTTCAGGTTCAAACGGTCAGCACTTGAGACCATGTTGCGAACATACTTCCGCAGCTTCCAAACGAAGATCTCACTCTCGAAGAATGGAGTAAGGGCTTCCTCACCCTCCTCTTTGAGACAGTTAATCATGTTCCGCATATCGGGATCCCATTTGACTGCGAACCGCAGGCATTTGCACGGCGGCTGCAGCTCAATCCTGAACTTTGGGGCCTGCTCGTCTGCGGCCTCCTCTGCTGCAGCGCTCCTTGCGCGCGAGAGGGTGGCCAGGCGCTCGGCCAGAGCCTTGAAAAAAGCATAGCAGAGGATCAGCGCAAGGAGCAAGAGCTGTAAAGCTATGGAGAAAAGAGCCACATCGTGGCAGAGCGCGGGCAAAAGTACCACGTCTTTCGCGGTTGCCCGGTCTGTGAAGAAATACAACTCGATCATTCTCCCAACAGCTGGGCGCTGCAGTGAGAGACTTTCGCTTGAGCCAACTTGCCGTTCGGTGTTTTGACGCTTGCAGTGCGCACAACCTGTCAGACGGGGCTTTAGACGGCTTTACGACCTGCCGTCTGGGCCGTGCCAAAACGAACGTGCCGCTTCAGACTTGACGGAGATTCGGTTTCTACAGACCATCAAAAACATGTGCTGTAGATGGGAAACGATTTCGAATTTTGGCCTCGGCATCGTACTCCAAGACGTTCAGCTCAATCTGGTTCACCTGACATGAAGTTGGAGTCTCACGGCGCACTTCGAGACATGCACATCCACGCTTCATGATCTGTTGCTTGAGCGCGCCAATTGCGGCAAGAATTGAGCGCAGAGCAGCAGGTTTGACCTTGGCCGTCTTCATCAGTGACTCCTGGCGACAGGCAGGCGGTAAGGAGCCAGACTGCTTAAGCAAAGATCACAAGGTAGGTTCTGACCCCTAAACAACTCTTGCATTTTACTAGTACCATTAATGCTACTATTATTGTTGTTATCATTCTAAGTTGTTATTCGGAGGGCCTAAACCCAAGCCAACATTGCCCCCGTTTGCCACGAACTCCGAACTCCCAAGGCCCAGTCCAGAGCCGACTTGTTGAAGTTGCTCACGCCGATGGCTTTCCTGACTTACTACCATATTACTACCATATTACTATATCATATTACTATCATATTACTACCATATAACTACCATTACTACCATTCCCTACTAACCGTTTCCTAACCAAAGGTAAGTTTCAGGACGCCCTTGGAGTGGTAGCCCTCCAAGACCTCCCAGGCCTGGACCGGGGAGCGCTGTAGTCTCATCCCTCTTTAAATTATTGTTATTATTGTTGTTATTATTAATTGTTATTATTATTGTTATTGTTATGATTATTATGAGCATTATTAATATAGTATTCTAATTATTAGAGGCGTTTGGGGCTTTGGGACTTTTGCTAACCGCCTGGCTGACTGAGAGACACAGCGAAGAACACTAGAGACTAACAAGAAGGGGAGGCAGGGCATGCGTGAAGGGCCACAGAGCAACGGGAAAGCAACTGCCAACCAGAAAGTGCCAACGACCCGCCTGAAGCCTGTGAGACTCGCCGCTCGGACTTCCCAACCGAGGTTTGAACTGCATTTTGAATTAGCTAGAAGAAAAACACCGAGCTACAGAAGAGATTGATGACTCTTACGATCAGCTCGATTCTTAGTTCTTAGCTCCTTCAGAAACTGAGACGGCTCCATCTACGGGATCTGGGTTTCCGTTACAAGGCTGCATGCTCAAACATGTAGGAATGGCTCGCGAGGCCGCACTTCCGAGGGCTGCAAGTCTCAAAGGCAAAGGTCATGGCTTCTGGAACCAGGGTGAGGCTGCATTACAACATGACATCATTCATTCTGATGAATTAGCCCACTGCCTTGGCACAGTCTCCCGAGGGATAGTGGATGAGAAGCAAGTCGATGTAGTCCTCATGTGGAGGTTTTTGAAGACTCCTTCGAGGCGCTGTGCTTCGAGTCCGGGAAAGTCTCGCCTAGAAACCTCTGCTTTTTGCATGCTGCTTGGCAAAAAAATCCTGTGCAATGTCTTGGGGGGACGTTGCCGAACGGAGACAAGGTCGCCTGTGCAAAAGCTTGCCCATTCATCCAAGCTGCCGTCTTCAGCTGCTTCAGATCGTACTCAACGTTGGCCGTGGCCAAGTCACAGCCGGGAATCCTGCCAGCAATCGATATCCAGGCCCTATACATCTGTGTCAGAACCGCAGTTGTGAGGATTGCCAAGGATTAACCGACATGTCAGCCGTGAGGCTCTGTTCGAGCGACCTGCGAAAGCTCAAGTGGGTGCACCGTGTGTCATTCTTCCTTCAGAAGAACCGAACCGCAAAGAAGAAGGTCTATCTGCAGAAAGTCTGAATCCAAATCATTCTTAGCGCGACCATGCTGGCTAATGCGGCCGTGGCACTTGGTTGTGATGAACACATCCTTGCGGTCGATTCCTGCTTTTTGCAACTCCTGCCGAAAGGCATGCTTCGATGCACGGAGAGCACTTTCCTGTGCAATGCTAACCACTCGCAAAGCCCTGAACAATCACCCGAGCAGTACTACCACTGATAAAAAGACCTCGCAGACTGCTGCAAGCCCGAGAGGTTGGTGTCCTGTGGGACGATGTACTGATCCTTGTAGACCAGGGCCTGGGAAGAGGTTGCCACCAGATTCAACTCATGGGAGGACTGCTTCTGGCCTGAGCCTCGCGCGGTGTCAATGCCTCTTCCGCCAAGTTTCAGCCAGTTGGACACAATGGCCGATGCGTTTGCAGTCTCTAGCCCGCCGATACCTCCGCGCATAGTTAGGACAGTTAGGAGGCGGCAACAGTGTTTCAAGGGTTCTGCTCCCGCCTATGGAGATGATCGGCATCTGCACGCCAGTGGCGATCTCCCGCGTGGGCACATGCACTGCAGCATGTGCGAAAACCGCTGCCCAACCGAGCGCAGCAAGGCGTCCAAGCATAGCGATGAAAGGGAAACTGCTCGAAGTCGGGACAAGGGAAGAAACAGCTGCTTGCATTGCGCAACGTGCTGGTTCAGTATCAGTGTCTCCGTTGCCGTCGCCACCAGAGCGCGGTATGCTCCATACACCGCCCTTCTCTATCTAGATCTATCTAGAATCTAGAGCACCAGCACAAGACAAACTTCATGATAGAACAGGGTGCTGGGATGCCGCACATCTCTGATTGGCAGCAACGGCTGCAAACCAGATCCGCCTGCAAAGGCGGGGACGCGAAGCTTACCCAGACCCCCTTTGGAGGATCCAAGAAGTAGATCCCTTAATGGGGATTCCTATACCTAAAGTACCCTTAGTAGTATATGGCCCCAAATTAGGGGATCTACTTTCTAGATCCTCCCGGGGGTCTGGGTATACAGTTGCAGTGACACGTCAGAATCCACGTTCCCGGATTCCACGCTCCGCACGGCTCAATGGCGGCTGTCAGCGGCGTAAGCCCTCCATGCCCTCCCAAGTCCCAAGTCAACTTACAACACCAGGCAGCTCCCGGACGTGATAGTCACGTACGAGCCCCGAAGCCCTCTTTGGGCCTCGATATTTCACTTGTGGACGGCCAGCAGATAAAACCTGACATGGAACATGTGGGAGTTGATTTTAGGCGTAAACACCAACCAACCGGAAAGTATGCACCGCCTTCATGCTTCTCGGCTACTTCAGCTGTCTTGTTCGTTAGACTTGTACATTTCCGGACGCCCACTTCCGAGTGACTTGAAGCCCCATGCCCTGTGGACCTTGTCAAGCATCTCCCACAAAGGAGCTACCTGCCGTGGCGTTGCAAGGATGCTCTGCCCTGCAAGCCTAAACCCCTAGCCCATTTGTGAGTCGGGGCTGCGATGCACAAGCGCTCATGCCCTTATAGATCCCTTCTAGTAACCCTTATATTATAGACCCCTTTAAAGGAACCCTGAGACACCTTTAAACCTCACCTCGAAGCATAGCACTCACGTCTGGGACTCTCAGCCCCAACCCTCAAAAACCCTAAACCCGCGGAAACTGCATCCTCTTCCTTGGCCCCTTTGGCCTGCAGAAAAGAAGTCAAGGCCTCGGCCCCAGAGCAACAGGATTGCGTGTTTGGACATTATTATTATTAGTAGTATATTAGTATTATTATTATTATTATTATTATTATTATTATTATTGTTGTTGTTGTTGTTGTTGTTGTTGTTGTTGTTGTTGTTGTTGTTGTTGTTGTTGTTGTTGTTGTTGTTATTGTTATTGTTATTATTATTATTATTATTATTATAGTAATAGTAATCATAATAATAATAATAATGATAATAATAACAATGATAATAACAATAATAATAATAATATGAACACTCGGACAGTTTCAGGCGGGACGTCTGAAGTCGAATTGCAGGAAACGACACCCTCTGATGTGTCCAACCTCTGCACGCACGCCGCTTTTTTAGGCCCGCAGTGGCCGCCCTTTCGACAAGATCTCCCGGCTCATCAAAGCTCGCTGCGAAGTTCTCGCTTGGCAGCATACCTGCTGTAGAGCAAGACGGGCACATCAACTTTCCAAGCAGATCCGCCACCCGAGGCTACCGCCTCTCAGCAAAGTCGAGCTCCGTCTCGTGCTTGCTTTTCTGTTTTCTCCTGAACATTCTCTGGCAAACTTCGGCAAACCAATGCAGACTTTTTGCACCAGGTACAGCGCAGTGCTGCCAGATCAGATTGCGCGAGCGCACACCTCGTTGGAGGAACCTTGAAAACAACCACTGCAGTGGGCTTCAAAGATGGTTTGGACAAAGGACGTTTTTGATCCCGCTTCCAGGGCCCAGGGCATGGCAATGCCAGGAAAAATGGTGGCCACAGTGCAGAGATCTGGCTTCAGGCCACCAGACACAAGGCCCTAAGCCTAACATAGGGGCCTGAATAATTAGACGTCTAGGGATTTTGGGTATATCCGCCGAGGCCACAGGCCCAGGAGTTCTTGGGGGTTGTTTGGAGACACCCTGTTTTTGCGTTCGTTTGCCACCCCCTTGTCCGGCCCCTTCATTTTACCTGATTTGTCGGCCTCCCCCTCCCTCCCCTCCCCCCTCCCCCCCGCTCCCCCCCCCTTCCCCCCGTCCCCCCCCAAGCGGGAAGATGGCGTGTCCGCACTTGGGTATCAACAACCGTGTAAAGGTTGGGGTTGAGAGGCCCCCCTAGCATGTATACAACATCGACTGCCCCCTCGCCCTGCCGCTAAAGAGCCGAGGCGGGCGGCGTAGCGTTATAACTATACTATACTTACAACAAAGGAGCCGCCCAAACAGTATGAGTGCCCCTACAGTATAGACTCTTTTAAAGGAACCCCAAGAGCCCTGAACTTACAGCTCCTCGTGGCCGCAAAGCGCGCATGCACCTGGGCAGGCAGGGCTCAGGCATCGGCGGTCCTGCTCTAGCTCATGGGCTATAATATTTAAAGACAAATATATGTATATATGGTGCAGCGCTGCTAGGCCCCCCCTCCCCCCCCCACCCCATGGTATCCCCCCCTTCCCCCCTGTGGTTCCCTGTGGTGTGGGTTCCCCCCTGCCCCTCCCCCCTGTGGTTGCGGTCGGCTGCGCCCCCGTCCAGGGCTAGGCGTCCGGTTGCTAAGGGTTTGGACCGTAGGATGTGATACAGTTCTATTGAACTCCGACCTGCCCTGAGCTCCAAAGACAATGATAGTGTTGAGTATGATGGTGATGATAATGACGAAGATGGTGCTCATGATCCCCATCCGCACTCTCATCAGGTCCCTTGCTCAAAAGTCCCGAATGAAAACCATTCAAATACGTGCTCAAGCTTACTTGTAGCGAACCCAACCGAAACTTGGCTTGGAATGACAACGATCGATATGGTTTTCGCAAGAACATCACAAGCCAAGCACGGTTTTCAACTAGATAAAGCGATGAACATGCGGTGCCGAAGCCCAGAGCAACATAAGAGCAAAGGTACCACCAATAGCCACACTGGGACTAGCACATCAACATCATTGCGCACAACATTCTCATTTGTGCTCGAAGAGAGGGGAATGGAAGGGGCCCGGTGGTTCCCTGTGTTGATTATCCTTCCCCACCCCGCCCCTGTGGTTCGCCGTCTTGTGGTTCCACTATTGTGGGTTATCCCTCCCGCACCCACCCCCGATTGCCAAGGCGAGAGGCGAGGCCTGGCTTGGGGGGGGAGTTGCGCGGATGACGTGTGACTGTTTGATTGGACGAGACGCCTGGCTTCCGGGGGGGGGGGGCCTACCATGGGGGGTTGGGGGGGGGGGCCTGCGACGCGGCGACGCGGCACCATATGTACATATATATAATGAATATCCCAGCCCCAGAAAGGTTAACCCTTTCAATTATGGTAGGATTATATGATGGGGTAGGATCATATGATAAGATGAACGCAAACAGGTTAAGGTTACCGACTCAGCTACTAAGGCAAGGTTTGTCGGGCTTGGGGCTGCAGAGCGTTCTGGCGGAGGTTTCAAGGCGCCGTATCCCCATTATCCCGCCTTTTCGACCCTGAACATTTTGTGCCCTTGAGCTCTGAGTGTCTGCCAGAAGCAAGCCCTGAATCACGCATGCACTTGCTACTTGCTTGCCCTCTCGCAGCTGCGACTCTGAACCCTAAAACAAGCAGGAACAATAGACCCCTGTAGCCGTGCTGAACAACCAATAAGGCCCTTTTTGCACAGACTTGTATATGCCCGTGTCAGAGTAAGGCCCTAAACCCGACACCCACTCTGGCAGGTCACCAGGAACATGAGGCTCCCGCGACGTGCCACTGGAGCATGGCTCGGAGAAGCTCCCCTGCGGAGACCTGGCCATCTGGCCTGGTGTAGCCACTGGAAAGACAAGGAAGAGAGACGGAGAGAGACAGAGGAGAGAGATATAATATGCTATGAATGGTATATAGTATATATGTATATCTATATATATATATATATATATATATATCTATATATATATATATATATATATATATTATAACGTATATTATGACAACGACTATCTCACACGGAGAACCATAAATCCCTGGTGCAAGCAGACTCTTTTCCACCTGCTTCCGCAACGGTGGCGTACGTCTGCGTATCGATCGATCTTCAGTGAAGTCGATTCGTAGTTCATCATTCGTTACAGGAATGTGAGCGGTAATTCTGGGGAGGACCGACTGTTTCCCATCGGTCATAGTCGCGTCCTCCCATCGCAGGCGAACGCCACTCGCTCGGAAGGAAAAGATCCTACTGCACAATGTGCTTCAATCGTGCATGTAGTCTGCCGATTTCGGGCATATCGGAAAGGCCAATTGAAGAAGCGAAGTGAATGTCGCCAATGATCTTGGCGGCTCGACTAGTCAAGGCTAAGAGGGGCAAGTCGAGTTTAACCCAAAAGTCAGACTCTTCGACGTGCTCGAACCTGCTGATCCCGTCCGAGATGTAGCTCAAGCTTTCGAAGCTTATGCCAAAATCGCAACGGTACATAAACAAGTTCGCAAGAATCCATCGAGTACATCCACGGACCGATTCGGTGTGAAGGTGAGATTGCAAGTTGTCATTTCGCACAAACAAGTGTGTGCAGTGTGTGCTACACGTAATATATGAAATGAATATCTCTCTCTCTCACAGGGTTGAGCTGTACGACTTTGGCATAAACCAAAAAACAGGGTCGTGACTTAGACGGCTTGAGAAGTCGACCGCCTTTTTCCGCCCAATCGACTTCCACGGTTTGAGCAGTCGACCGCCTTTTTCCGCACAACCGACTTCCACGGTTTGAGCAGTCGACCGCCTGATTCTGCACAATCGAGTTCCTAGCTCGGGGCCGTATGGTGGAGTACCTTCAGTGGGATTCCCACTGAATGTGCTCCACCATAAGGCCACGGCAAAGCTGAGCAGGGACCTGGCGTCAGTGCAGCCCAGAAGAAAAAAGAGCTCGAGCCTCGAGCTTTTTTTTCTTCTGGGCTGCACTGACGCCGTCAAGGCCACATACATGATGGACCGGCTGAGTGAAAACAACGCCTAACACCATGAACTTAAAATACTGTTTCGTTTGCGCTCCACCATGAGGCCACGGCAAGCTGAGCGCCGAGACCGAAGTCGACCGGCGAGCTCAGGAATGCACCGGGACGGAAGTCGACCGGCAAGCGATGTGGTCACACCCCAGTGCTTCAATGTCTACGACCGTTGTCAAGGCCATCTCCGAACCTGGCGGCCGGTCCATCGGCTTGTGGTTGAGACGATTGGCCCAATCGTCCAGCCACATGATGGACCGGCTGTGTGAAAACAACGCCTATAACATGAACTCAACTTTTTCAATGACATGACCTTGACATCAGCATGTCGAACATGCTCGGTCAAGCAGTTCAACGAGAAGGCTCTGTAGGCTACAGAGCCTTCTCGTTGAGCTGCTTGGGAACCGTGGGGCAGCTCCAATGCGAACACCTCTCAGAGGGATTCGCATTCGAGCTGCCCCACGGCTCCAGAACTCCTTTGTACACTCAGGAGGCACGCAAAGTGAAGATTCAGCGAAGCTGAAGGACCGGCACTGTGTCTGGTCTTCCAACCAGCAGCCACGGACCATTTGGACGGCATGGTCGTACCATGTCATCCACCTGGTCGACCTGCTCTCAGAGGAGGGCTCACCACGTCTGCCTGGCAATGAGCAAACGACATTAATTAAGATTGACTGAAAATAGGCACGACCGACGTGGCACAGGATGAATCATGGAGCAAGTGTGCCAATCAGATATTGGGCATTGCACCACACTGCATTTTTTTTAACCGCACTGTTCTTCAACGCGTACAGGCCAAGGCGACCGCCAACATTACTCCACAGTTGGCCACATGCATTCCGTTGCCGACCTGCTGTCGGTTGGGCTGCCCCAGGACCCCATAGTTCATTGCCATTGCTGCTGCCATTTCGACCGGCAGAAGCCATCGGCTCAAACCATCCACCCAAATTTTCGTATTCGTGCGGAAAGTTGGCAAGCGACCATCTTTTGTAGTCATCTTAAGGAAACGTGCAGGGTTTTGGCTGAGATCAAAGACCGGCTCCTGCTCTTTGTCAGACCGGCACTGCTGCCAAGTTTCACGGTACTTTGCCAAGTATTTCTGCTGCTGCTCAGTCAGCAGACATTCCCACGACCGGCTTGGCGTCTGCACCATGTCTAAACCCTTTGCTCTGCGACAGAAGTTCTCCTCTTCTAGAGTCTCCTCGACCGACCCTATGTAACAATCTCTGATGGACAGTCCACCACCGACGGAATTGAAGAAGCTTGTCACGAAATGGTAGACCGTCGGGATATCGGCAACCGACGCTCTCGACCGATGTACTAGCACGGAATATACCCGTGGTCGATTCACACAGGTGAAGCCCACATGGTGTGGCTCGACCCGCAAGTGATGAATGACATACTTTTCCTGCATGAGATCCTCCAGGACCGACGTGGGAAAGCCAGACACGTTTTCGTGCAGTATGACCGGCGGCTCGTGCTTCAACATAAGGGCTGCCCATAGCAGGAGAAGGTCAGACCGACCGTCGGTCCAGCGCCTCTTCTGTCCAGCTCTCGACCATGGCTGGCATGGGCTACCGCTGATGTCGACCGTCACGGGTGGTGGCCGGCATGCAACATGACACCGACATATTCTTGGGACGTTGGCAGCTGCTCTCTTGGCCAGCGCCCACCGCTCTGCGACCGGCCGGTCAGGACCTAGCATTTCCAGAGTCGGAAAGGCATCCCTGATATCTCCAAAGACATGCTCCGACCGACCCATCAAAAGATTCTGGCAGGCCCGTGATACGTCACACGCAGACACGAACTGCAGCGTCGATCTCTTGGCGACCGCCCGCGTGGTGAACTTACACAGAAGAAGTTCTTGGAAGGCCTTGTGCACACGCTCGACCGCCTGCTCAGCACATCCAACACCTGAGAAATGTGTACTGACACGGATTGGGCCAGCCAGCATGGAACCTGGTCAGGGTGCTCAGAAACTGATAACGATTATTATTACTATTGCTCTGATAATGATAACTTATTAGCATTATGACGATTGCAAGAATAATTAATAAACGGTTCTTAATCGATGGGTTTCACAACAGCCATGCCTTGAAGTTGCTTGACCGACAAAATACGACTTAAAGCAATCATCGTGATCTCAGGCCACTGCTTGGCACCTGCCATGCCGCTGCCAAAATTTGCGACCGGCGTCGCATTTGCCTGGTCCACGTCAATATCTGGCATATCTGACGCCGGAAGAGACTCCGACCCACTCTCATCCGGCGACCAGCTCTTCAAGCTTTCGCTGTCTGAACATATCTGGAGGTCGACCGACATGGACTCAGACTCCGAAAGGAGCTCCATCTGCTCCATGTCTAAAGTCTAGTCTCAAGTGAAGTTCTCATGTATATTATAGGTATGATGATACGCTGATGCTGCCGTGCAATGGCTTTGTTCAGTCCCAAGGCTTGTTGCTCCCTGACACGACCACGGCTGCAAGAAACTCTCTAAGTGATGTGTAGTCGATGATGCTATAAGAGCTGAAGCACAGCTGGCAAGTCACTCAGACAGAGTCAAGCAGAAGGCCATGCCATCGTGACAGCATCGCCTTGTGATCGACCGACAAAGGGCTTACACATCGCCTCGTTGTCTTTCTTTCAGTGGCAGCGACCAGCACGGCAACCACGGCCTGGGCCACATGAGCTCTGATTCTTTGTCATTGTACGAGCTAATCACAGGACGGTCAGGTTACTAAAGAAGGTCTGAGCTTCCAACATGCCACCAGCTGGAGATGCAAAGCAACTCGGATCCACGATCGCCCGGCAGTGCCGGACAGTCGTGGGCCAGGGTTGCTTCGGATCTTCATCTTATGGCATTGACCGGCCTGCTTGACTGAAGATAACATGTGAGAGAAATCAGGAGGAGTGCAGCAAACAAACAGCTGGGGGTCCGACGAGACCACTGAAGCACCTAGTGCCCAACCTGAAGAACCACTTTGCTGACAGCAAAATGGTTCTGCAGCTTGGGCACCATGATGGCCTGGTGCTTTGCAAAAGACATGATCACCAACCGAGCTAGTGCTTCATATGCAACACACGGCCCAGTCCTTTGTGCAGCAGTGACCGGCGATCCAGTCATGGCCTGGGTGACGTGACTCACTCGAAAAGTGACCGAGCTAGATCTTGGTACACAAATGCAGTGTTCACAACATCGTCGGCATTTTTCTCAGCAGCGACCAGCTCACTTCCAAAGCTTAGCCCGACTGGCTTGGTACTTCTTGCCATCCTCTGATTCCAGCCACTCTTTCAAGTAGTCTCTCATAACAGAGGAGGCGACCGACTTCTGCTGAGCGTGCAGGACCTGCACTGAGGTTGGCAGCAGTTGCACTTTCCTTGGCTCTCTGGTCCTTCCAGTCAACTTGAATACTGTAGAGTTGTATTTTTTTAACAATTAAGTTGATTCCTTACATTTGATTAGTACATGTCATGATTGAGTCAAATAATAAACTAATACTATGTGCAGGCTGATGACCCGCCAACGACCGCCTTCTGCACAGCTTGCTGGAGAACATCAGGAAGATCACACGGCAATGACGAAGAATGTTGCTGCTGAATGTTCCTCAAGACGACCGACAATCCACCATCGATGTCTTGTGGGAGCAGTGGATCCAGCAGTTCTGCCATGTCCTGACGGCTGTGCCCAGAAAGCTCTTCAAACGACCGTCCAGACAGACGCACAGCATTGTTCTTCTGGCGGATCTGCTCAGTGGGTCCTCCTCCTCGGGCTCGTTTGCGGACCGACATGATCGACCGGCAGACTGCAGCTTTGAGGATTTCATCG